CTCATCGTACACATTATGCGCGGCGGATATTAGAAAAAAAAAAAAAAAAAAAAAAAAAAAAAAAAAAAAACGAACAAAACAAAAACTTGAATGGTATCTCCCGGTAGCCTCGCAATGCAATAGAGTTGATCAGAAAATGAAACAATAGAAGCATGCCCCCTAAGTTAATTCGGTCATCGCTGATATCGCGGCAATGACTCGTCGCCATGTGCCATACCACCCACCAAGTGATGGTCCTCATCATCATGGAAAACCGGAGCCGTGGGGACATCGCCCGACTCAGCTGGAGCTACATCCAATTCCTCGGGTGCGCTGGCTTGAGCCATCAGTCGCCGTCGCTCCAGCTCTTGTTTATCATCCTCCCTCTGCGTCGCCTCATGGGCAGCCATCGCACTACTGCCCGGCACGACCGTCTGCATTGACGCGGCTGAAATAGCCGGACGAGGGGTCCCATTTCCGACCGGGGAGGGTAAATGATGGTAGTCCTGGAGGTGATCGTCTTCTGGTAGTACTGGAGCCGTGGGCACTGCCATGTCCGAAGACCCAACTCCTGGATCATCAGCGGCAGGTTGGCTAGGGAGAAGCATCTGCTCAGCACGCTGTAGCCGCGTCTTTTCATCCAACGGCTCCTCCGCGAACGGGGTGGAGACCACCTCCCCCAGCGATTGATACGACTGCGGCTCGTCCGCATAGCCTTGACCCGGATACTCAGGCCAGTGCGACGGATCATAGGGATACGCCTGCTCTTCATGAAACTCTGCATCACCGTTGCTTTGCGAATTGGGCTCGCTTGGCCACGCATCTCGCTCAGTGACGGAACTGCCCTGCGAAGCTTCGTCGGGTCCCACTATCATCGAAGATGCAGATTCCACAGGTTTGACTCCTCGTTGCGAATCCCGCGTGCCAATCACCACCTCAAAAACGACTGCTACAACACCCTTCTCGCGACGAATATGGTCCGTATCCAAAATGTTACCCGACCAATTGGCTGTAATGGCACTATTGTTGACGTCGGTCGGGTTCAGCACCTGTCCACTGGGCGAGTAATTACCGCCCGAGGTGACCATGTTGAACCGCGGCAGAAAACGGTCCGGGGAAGTGAGCTTGCCCCGGAGATCCACCACAACCTCGACATAGTACCGAAAATTTATCATACTTCCTGGAGTGCGCGTGATGGTGGGGAAAGTGTCTTCCGGGACGCGAATCGAGGTCTTGATCACCGCCGTCATGGTCACCGGGTCCACAATAAGCGGTGCAAAGGTCTGCGTCAGGTCCTTTCTGAAAACCCCCATGGTGCGACTGGAGCCGAGCGTAAGACCCCCAAGACCCGTCCGCGAGCGGGGGTAGTAGTCCTCATAAACGGGTTTCTTGCCATCGGGTTTGCCCATAGGGATTGCCGGATGCAGATCTATCCGCCCCTGGCGGTATAGAGTTACGATGATGCCATGCGCACTGCGCACTTGTTTACAATGGTTTATTGTCACCATGATAGGGAGAGTATCTCCTGGCAGCACGCCCGCGCGCAAAACCTCGGCCTTGGCGGTGATGGTTCCATCTGTCACTGATGGCGTAATGCTTCGAGCCTCACTATTTCGCATTCCGGCACTAGTTGAAGAGCTCGGGTCACTGGGGACTCGAAAGCTCTGGCTGCTGTTGCTCGGTCGACTCGATGAACTGACGTTGCTCGGTGCCGGACTGAGCGGGGGACGGTTGTCGGTCGCGCTTTCACCATTCTCCGGGGGCTCGAGTGATTGAGTGTCGGGCGCGTCAGATCCTGCTGACTTAGCCTTCGCTTTAGACTTGGCGCGTCGAGAGACGGGCTCAAGGGTGACAATTCGAGGTTTCGGGCGAGGAAAAGGGGCAATATCAATATTCTCCAACACAGTGACGCGTCGTCGGCAGGTCGAGGTCGGGTTGATGGTAGTCGGCTTGGTTAGGGTGGATGTAAGCATATAGGAGATGGTTCCTCGTTCGAACTACATATGAGCCATGGGTCAGCATCAAACACTTTGAGCGAAGAACTTGGATTGTCACCGGGCACGTACGTTGATGCTGCTGGGTAGCGCATATGGTGGAAAGGACATCTCAAATCGAAACTTATAAACTCCTTCCTTGAGACGACCCTCTCCGCACAAGACAACTTCGTCCTCAAACAAGGTTGACAAGCCATTCCCCAAATATTCCGCCCCACGACGCCCGCGTCCGGGACCCAAGAAGCCCAACTCCGGTGATGACTCCCCCGTCGGAATGGTATTCTTGAATACTTTAACATAGCCATGCAGACAGACAACGAGATGTGTGATGCGAACAGGCCGAACAACGGTCAGCACGACCGTCCCGGTGATGGTGTCACCAGGGAAATAGGAACGCCAGGGGTCGTCGGGCTCAATGTAAAAGTCGGTGATGCTGCGATTGCGAGGGCTGATTTGGGAACGGAATTTGGCTAGAAGGGAGCTGCTATTTCGACGAAGCGTCGAGGAAGGTCGAGAGGGGAGAGGGTTGACGGACATGACACACGGCCACTACGTCGCCCAATCCATACAAATGGCGAGCGAGTTGAAATGGCTGACAGGCGGCGAACACAGTAGGCGTAGTAAATTTCAGCGCAGTCAATGAAGGGCGAGCGTGAGGACAGGGAGACTGCCGAGCCAGATAGAGCAAGGAGGGGAAGGGAGGGGTGGAATCAAGACGAGTCTCTCTGTTATTGCTGTCAAGTGACGAAAGCCGTCAATTCAGGGTCGAAGAGGCAGCAAGGGGGAGGGGGAGAAGAGATGAGGAAGGATGACAAGAGAATAGATTCCGACAGAAATGGAAGATGGGAATGCAATCGAGACAGCAGGGAAATTCTCCGTTCCTAACATCAAATCAACCAAATCAAGCAAGCAGGCGATCAAGCAATTCCCCGACAGGTCCGGCCCGATCTGGCCGTCGGGCGCGAAGGCAGTCAGCAATAACTACCACTGTAGTCCCACCTGGCAGCTAGCGCAGCAGCAAGAGAAGAATAAATGAATGGTGCGCGATTTCTAGAGACTCGCGTCGCTTCAGCCTTAGCTGTAAGATCACGCAGAGGACTGAGAAGCGCGTGGGGGGGGAGGGGGGCGATCCGGGGTGGGGAGGGGAAGACGTGTTTGGGGACGACCTCCCTTGTCCGACCGTCAGAGAACTTAGCACGGGCTAGCTAAGCAGAAAAAGGCAAATGAAAGAGCAAAGGAGGGCGAAGAATGAAGAGAAGAATTATCCGGGGGTGGGGGGGAGGAGGAAGTAGAAGGGATGGTCAGGGGATTAAGAGTTGGGCTGACTAGTCCGCATCATTTCTTCGGGATGGATGAGGACGCGGACAATGGTTGGGGGATGATTGAGAGGAAAGAAATGAGCGAGAACACGAGAGAGGGGAGAGGACAGGAAGAGGAGAGAGAGAGAGAGAGAGCAAGAGAGAGAGAGCAAGAGTGGAGCTGAGGTGGGAGGAGAAATGACAAGATGAGATGCTCGAAATGCCCCTTAGGCTAGGATGGCCAGGCTTGACTCGTAGTAGCAGTAGGTCCGAACCCAAAGGGCGTTGTTAGACCGTGAAGGGTCAAAGCTTAAGTGGGAAGTAGTGGATGGCTGGATGCAGGTGATGACTGCAAGTTAGGTATAGACGAGAGGAGGGAAAAGATGATACAAGAATAGAGAGATCCAAAACACAAAGTACAGAGAGAGAAGAGAGTCTAGTCTGGTGATTGTTAATAAAAAGAAAAACCCCGGGATGGAGGGGAAGAGAATAGGGGACAGGGAGGAGGTGGTGGGAGGAGAGAAAAGAGGAGACTTAACCACGGTAAGTGCAGATAAGCAAGAGGAGGCGAGACAGTCAAGCTTCTCTTGGGCCGTTCGTGGGCTCGGCAGTTTCCACTCTGTCCTGTACGTAACTTGTTCCTCCGCAAGCTAAACTCCGTATTCATTCGTTCAATGCATTCCATGATTGATTAAGTTAATACCTATTCATTATTAATATTTCATGATTCCACAACCACCAACTCAATCAAAGATCTCCCGTAAACCCTCTCCCTCCACATACTCTTCTTCCCCATAACATTCGCGCTGCACTGCCCGTAGCACCGCCCGATCCCCGCCAGTCAGCCGATTGACAAACCCTTCCAGCACGTAGATATTCTCCGTCCACATGAGTGCCTGACGCCGAAACTCCTCCGTCTCCTCCTCCACGCACGACAAGCTTTTCCCGTTGACTCCTCTTTTCTTGTCACCGGGGCCTGAAACCGCCGTCAATTGCCCCTGCAGATGACGAATCTCTTCCTGCAACTCCACTTTTCGTAGCATCAACCGCTCCCTCTCTCTTTCCCTATCCTGATTCTCGTCATCATCACCACCACCACCGACACTACCCTCTTCGGCATTGTCCCTCTCTTGCTCTGCCTTTCTCTCGCTAACCTTCCCTTCCGTCTCCCTCACCACCCTGCCCACCCGCTCCACCTCTGCCTGCAACCCGCGCAATCGGCTTTCGCGCTCGCGCAGTACCTCCCCGCTAAAGCACCAGTACCAGTTCAAGCTCCCGATCTTCTCCACCCGAATTTCATTCTCGTCCACCAGTTCTTGGAGGAATTCCTTGACCTGGATCGCGTTGATTGAAGCTACTGCGGGAAGGGACTTCTCCAGGTCCTTGAGCGTGTGGCACGTGCCACTGGCGCGGAGGTACGAAACGATAAGGGCGAACTTAGCGCTTTTGGTGAGTTTGGGGGGCTGGTGGTGTTGTTTGGGCTTAGCCTTGGTTCTGCTGATGGAGGATGCATGGTGGTTGGTTGTTGAGTAAGAAGGATTGGGGTGGGGAGGGAGGGGGGGAAAGAAAGGAAAGTGAGGTGTAGAGCGCGATTCTAATAACCAGAACTGGTGAAGTGGATCCTGTCGGCTTACCATGATTGTGATTCGTAAAGGCTCGCTAGCAGATGTAGAGGTAGGCTTGCAAACTGTGTTGGGATGAGGCAGAGGCTTGGGTCGCGTGCGAGAATAGTATGATTGGGGAGATGAAGGCGATCAGAGCATCTCTGCAGAGTTAAAGGTGAGTACGCAGATAAGAAATGGATGAGTGCAATGGTATTGTCCCAATAGAGGTGCTGCCGCCGCTGCAATCCGCGCAAACAAAAAGCCGGCTACTGATCCTCTGAATCAAACATCCACCTGTGAGGATAGGGATGACAGCCTTCGTCGGGCAAGATAGGTACTCCTACGGAGTCAATCTTAGTGGTTACTTAGAAGGTATGCGCTACACTCTGTTACTGGCTGGGCTCAACAAAGTGAATTCTTATCAATGTCTGATGTCTGATTGAAGCGGTGACTCTCTGACGCCACCCTCAGCCTTTTCAGCCCTATTGGCACCGTGCTACTATGACGCTGACGCCGGCACCGTCTTTGCATACTTAGACATGCACCTCTCGGACGAATCCGCCTTCCTTTGAAGTCTCCTCAGCGTGGGGAAATACGTCGCCTCCTTTACCGACTCCGACTACTCCACCCACCACTGCTTGGTCGCCATCGAAGTGTTTGGCAATTTCCTCAAGCGGCGTCTTTCGGGTCTCGATATAAAAGAACCAAACGACGGTCAACTCGACCCCGAGCCAGACACAGTAGAAGATGTAATACTTCCAGCCCAGGTTGTCCAAGGCAATGGGGTTGATGTACTGGTTGAAGAAGACTAGATCAGAGTTAGCCTCAATGCTGCGGTCTTGCCACCAGCGAGGAACACTCACGTGCAGCATCGATACAGAACCACATCACCGTCATGCCCTTAGCTCGGATACTATAGGGCAGAATCTCGACCGTGTACCCAACTAGCAGGCCGGACCAGGCAACGTTGTAAAAAACATAGTAGATATAGATCATCGCCACGACAGCGTTGGCCGCCCCGTGGTTATGAGCAATCTCATACCGCGCCGAGCAGATGGTCCATACAATAAAGGCAACCAGCATACCGCTCGTAGAGATGAGAAACAGCTTGCGCCGACCGACCTTGTCCACGACAAAGCACATGGACAGAGCGACGATGAAGTTCAAGATCTGAAGGCAGCCGTTAATCAGGTTCTGTTCAACAGACTTGGTATAACCGATCGAATTCAAAATCTTTGAGATGTAGTACGAGACCAGCCCATTGCCAGACCATTGCGAGAATAAACCCGCAGTGATAAGAATGACCAAGCGATGGCGATTACCCTTCGTCCGGATCAACTCCACCCAGCTGTTGCTTTCGTACTCTTTCTCAAGCCGAATAGTTTCCTTGATTTCGTGCATCTCCAGCTGAACAACTTCGTCATCTTGGTTACCGTTCGCGTGACAGTCCGCCAGGACCTTCAGGGCCTGCTCATGTTTGCCCTTATAAATCAGGAACCGCGGAGACTCCGGAACAAACCAGATGAAGATAAGCTGCAGGATAGAGGGCACAGCCTGAACCATGGTAGGTGCCCGCCAGGACCAGTTATTTTCGATGTTATTGGTGCCAAAGGTAAGCCAAGCAGCGATAATAGCACCAACATACCACGTCGCTAAGACCAAAGTCAATTTTGAGCACATCATACCTGTTATACTAGAGCTTACTATTATAGATTGTGGTAAAGACGGCGCGATGCTGGGTATGCACAAGCTCCGTGATCAACAGGGGCGAAGCTCCATGCGCGATGGCAACTCCGAACCCAATCAAAAACCGGGCTGCCAGGAACATGCCATAGTTAGCGCTGACGGCCTGCAAGACGACCCCCAGTATCCTAATCGAAGCAATGAGCACACCACGGTTTCTCGGAACAATGGCTTGGGCTACTTACATGATGAGACAGCCGATGAGGACTCCCATGCGTCGGCCAAGATAGTCGGCTGTATAGGGCACTGCAGGCAGCGCTGCCAACGAGCCCAATGACATGATCGCACTCAAGATGCCGAGAATTGAACCGCTAGGATGGTTGAAGTAGTCTTGCCAGTAGTGCAAGGTCTGCAGACCATTCATCATCGAACCATCATAACCATTTGTTGCCTGGGACCCTGTTAGTCACCTGTCATGCGGCCTCGCCAGCCCAGTCAATGCACATACAGACGTCAACACGACAAACATGAGGCAGATGTACGTTTTCCTCATGCCAGGGTCCTTATACCATGTCACTCTAGGAAACTGTCGGCCAGCGAGCTCGAAAGTCCCGGAAGAACCCATTTTGACAGTTCGTTGTAAATCTCAAGGTGTCAGGAAGCCGTTGCGGTACACTCAGTCAGCCTTCTCGCAGAATGCAAGAGATTGAAGACACCCTAGAGGTGCGGGAGCAGGCTTAAAATTAAGTGTCTGCCGCTTCTCCCATCCGGCTATTTGACGTACGACGGACATGCAGAGTCGTTGAATGCTCCAAGCGAGTTTCTGAGCTCGCGGCTAAACCCACTCACGCCTGATCAGATGCTTTCCAATTGCAAACAGCTACACGGAGAAGGATTCAGGGCGTAGCCCAACATTGGCCAAAGGGCAAGAAGTCGACAATCTCGAATTCTGGTCTCGCAGTGAGCCAACCATTGAAGGTTAGGCCGGGCCGAGACCCTAGGTTTGTCTCGCAGATACTAGCTGGAGGTTCTGCCAAGATCAATCAACGTGGCTGGTAGATTGTATATGATATCTTGATTTAGGCTAAACATTACGCACCAGGCCAGCGAAAAGCCTATCATGATCATCCCATCAAAATCTGGGGTTGCGGTCCGGGGTGCAGGGCGTAGGGGGTCTAATCCCATTCATCCAGGCAAAAAAAGAGTGACTATTCCAGAAACTGCAGTGGCCAAGACCTTGGCCTGCGCCGCCCGGAACGCATTCGATGAAGGACTCGACTGGAGACTGGTTGGCCACGTTGGACGAGCCCGAGCTAAATTGAAAACACTCTTCGTTTGAGGCATGAAGGCAAAGCGACTGATACGCTGGCCACTTTTCCCAAGCCACGGATAATATCGTGCGCTCTCAGCTGATGGCGTGAGGGGGTCAGTTGACACATGCCACTGTTTGCTGACGGCCTTGGCTTTGTGGCTATTCTCACAATACCCAACTCGTATTGTGCCTCGGCCATTAGCCTTTGTGTTCGAGCAGAAGCTCGAGGTCGTTGAACAAGTCCCTCAAGAAGAGCTTAAGGTGGCAATGAAGAGAACTGCTCTACACGACCCGGACCTATTGTGCCTGCATGCGGTCTAGGCTTTGGAGACAAGAGGACATGGCGACTTCAGCCAGTGGTTGTGCGAATGGCATATGCAGTGGTCATTAGCTGGGCATGACTGGCGGTTTTCTCAAAAACGTTTTCTCAGTCGTTGCCTTCCCACGTCTGAGAAAATTGATGTTATTGGAGTTCCTGGTCGTCGCAGAAGGTCGATCTATGGATAAACTCCAAGGCTTATAGAAGCTCATCGAGCTCTGTGTCCATATCGCTTGTCCACGCCTTCCGAGCCAATCTGCGCTTCTTCTGTCGTTTCGCCACAGGCTGAAGCTCATCACCTGAGCTAGCATTTTTACTAGACTGTGTATTTGCCCGTTTGCGACCTGCGCGCCGGCCTGCTTGCAAAGGCAACCGATCATCGTCGGTAGACAATTCCTCCCCTTCAACGAACACCAAATCTCCCGTTTCGCCCAGGGACTCCCTCGCCATCTCCTCTAGAAGTATCCCCATGGCGATAAGTGCCGTTTCATCCAAACTATAATAGACGTCCTGACCGCGATCGACAGTCGCGTAATCGTAGAAGTCGGCCGAGTACGCGTGGACAGCCTCTAGCATCTCCGATGAGGGAAGTGGACGATCGGAAGGCAACCTTTCATGGGCAAAGTAGACATCATTCTCCTCGTATCGCACGGGCGCATTCTGTCGACGAAAGAGTACTTCTTCTGGCCGTACTGCACGCGTGCTAGATGAAGCGGTATCGCGGTGTATTGAGGCATACGGTACGACGGGAAGAAAGCCGTGCGCATTGATCCGGCCTTGAAACGCGACCGGTCAGATTGGACTCACTTGGATGCGAGATACGTGATAGATGGCACCGACTGACCTGCTACAGCATCATAGACCGTCGCCAACCGCCTGGGCTTTGTCCCTTCGGACTCATTCTGTCGATCATCAACTTCCTGCTCGTCCCCAAGGTCGGGCGGCTTCAAGAAGGAATTCTGGCTGAGGGCGAGAGATCTTCCTTGAGACATAGCCGTCAATGAGGGAGAGGTTCAGCCCGCGCAAAAGCATGGGTATAGAATGGTTGCGCCACCAGGATATGATTTGGAAGGCGAGTACGTGTATCGAAGGGAAAAAAAATTGAGATCGGCGGTGACGATCCGCCGTGTTTTAATTTTGGTTTGCGACGGAGCGGGCGGGGAGGGGGGAAGGGGTAACTTGGCGGGGAGAGTACGGAGGGATTACTCCGTACAGACCACGGACTACAAAGTAGGTGTAACAAACACCTACGTATGGTGTTCCAGTTTGTCCGGCTCAACCTTCTTCCTTCCCCGCGAGCCGACGGATTGCATTCAGCCCAGCGCAACTCGAGATGAAACCTCTCCTCGACTGTATAATTTTAGACTCAAAAGTTCTGAGAAAAGGGCTCCTCGGTCACCCTGATGAATGAATTCTTACATTTTCAATAGGACTCTGGGGTCCATTCATGCGTCCACATTTCATATCGCTCAAACCACTCGCCTAGTCCTAAACCTTGAGCCAGCACCTGGCATACGCTTCGCCAGTCAGCACAACCCTCAGTCGGCGCATGGCCAATCCCAAGAGAATCATGACGGTCTTCTAGGTATAGAAGAGGAAGTATACGCTCATAAAGCCGGCGTGAAAGTGCTTGCTATTGATCAGAATGACGGCAGATTGTAAGTCATCTCTCCCCTCCCTCCACGTCATACGACTAATACTGGACGCGAACTCAAGCATGATCTCCGGCGGCGCAGACCCGTCCATCCATTTATGGGATCTAGAGTCTCGCGGGTCCGAGCTAAATCATGTTCATCGCTCGGTGGCGTCCGTCAATAAGACCACACATGAGGATGCTCACACACATACTATTACATCCATTTCAATATATCCGTTTGACCCAACCCCGTCCACCATCTTGACCACCTCGCATGATGGTACGCTCAAACTCTCAGCATTGACCTCTGAGGCCATCCTTCCTGTGCACACATTTAATCTGGACTGCACACCCTATGCGCACGCCATGTCATCGCACCCCGGAGCGCCGCCCCTCATCGCCGTCGGCACATCCGAGAAGACCGTTCGCTTGCTGGACCTGCGTTCGGGTCTATCCACGCACGGCCTCCCCGGCCACGAATCAGCGGTGCTGTCAGTCGCATGGGCGCCGCACCAGCCCCATATCCTAGCGACATCGTCGACGGATAACCGAGTGATCCTCTTTGATGTTCGCCGCGGCGGGCACAACTCCGCCATCGCCGCGTTAGACATGAACGACGCGGTGGGACTTGTCCGTCCCGCAATAGCCTCCACATCCTATCAACCTCGGCCAGCCTTCTCGCCGCATGCGCGCACACACAACGGAGCCGTCACAGGTGTCCGGTGGACCTCGACCGGCTCGCACCTTGTCACCGCGGGCCAGGACGCCCGGATTCGCGTTTGGGATGCCGGGACCGGGGCGAACACCCTGGTCCACTTCGGATCCCGGGTTCGCAACAGCGTCTCGTCCCATCTGGCGGAGCGAGCGCCCCTCGTCGTCCCGCGTGGGCTCACGGCGGCGGGCCAGGAGACGCTGCTGTGGCCCAACTTCAACGAGTCCGACGACCGCGGTGAGATATTCATGTTCGAGCTGCATGAAGGAGCATTTATCAAGCGTCTTCGAGTGCCCGGATTGGCGGCCGTCGCTGGTAAGCAACTGCGAGGTCGCTCAACTGCGCTAAGCGCGGCGCGGATCAATTCACTTGTATGGCGCGGCAACGGCGCATCCGGCGAAGGAATTGAAATGTTCTCCGCTCATGGGGATGGCACCATCCGCAGCTGGGTTTCTCGGGAACCAGAGGGAGAACCGGACGAAACCGAGGAGGCCGAGCGAGCCGAACGCAAACGTAAACGCGATGTTCTCGACGAGATCTACCGTGGCTTCATCAGTTAAGACACATACACTTATAAATATGACTACAACTCGCGAACTTCTGTGGCATTATGATCATGTTCATTATACAAAGCTTTCGGCCGAAAGCTCACATCATCCATCGGATATCTATCATACATTGATTCATTCTGTCAAAACTTGCTGTCCATTAAGTCGCATACCAGCCGCGACCTGTCATTTTTGAAAGCAGAACACGAAAAAGAGAACGATCAGGTACTCTACTCGTTCCGGATCTGGTGTTCACCTGCAGCATCATCCTCCTCGGCGCCAAAGCGCTCGAAGGCACTGCGGTTCAAGTTCCGGTGCTTCAGATCGCGACCGTGGCCCTTAGCACCGGGGTGCTGGTTGCCGATGAAGTTACGCTTAGACTCGCCCTCGGCGGGGAAGGAGTTGCCAGTACCAGTCAGAACCTCGCCAGTGGCGCCCATGTCGCGGGCACTGCGAGGCATGTCGGTGGAGTTGTCCGCCGCGAAAGCAGAGGTGGGCTGGCCGATGCCGTAGTTGTCAAAGCCGCTGTTCTCAGCCATTTGGTCTGGGCGTGGCACGGAAGGGATAGTGTTCTGGATACCGGCGTCATTGGGAATGGAGGTACCGGTCGGGGCCATATCCTCAAGTCTGCCGCCGCGGTGAGGAGAAGACATTGTAGCGGTTTGTTGGTTTGAAACTGGAAGGGGGGAAAGCGAGAAAAAGCGTTGCAAATAGTGTGGGAGTCGTAAAAGATAAGATGGTTTGATTGCGTTATGGATTATCCTGGAGAGCTCAAGTCATATTCTTTTCACCTGTCGATTGCAAGAGGGGTTATATAGGTTCGATGCACTGAAGTGGTGGTTCCATCTGATGTCACTTTTCGCCGTCCAACATGGGTCAATGATGAAGCTATGATATCAGATCCGATCCGATCACATTACTGCAGAGTATGAGTCTTTCATGCCCTGCACTCAAATGCGAATCGGAAACCCCAATGATTGCCAGTGAGTGGAGGCTATGATGAAACCCTGAGCTATGCCCATTCTTGTACGATTCTAGAATCAGTCTTCCGCTTAAAGATCGGGGCCGTGTCGACGTTAAGCCCCACCTCATTTGCCGTCATCCCAACTTCGGGGTGGCACGTGCTACTCCCGCCACTTGGTTCGCAGCCATCATACACATGACTGTGCATGTTGTATGCACAGGAGGACCGAAAGGGCTGGGCTATAAGTCATTCATGGAAGCTCATCAATAAATGGCTAATAGTGTAGGGAATCAGAATCTAGATATAAGGATGCATACTAAATATCCTCTAGCGGGCCCGAATTCCATAGTTCCATTATATTACTCAAACAACCCACGGAGTTCGCACCGCAATCGGAAGAAAGTGATGAGAGGGCACGTATGGTGAGGTGGGAAAGACGAGAAGGAAAGAGGGAGAGAGAGCATGCCGTCAATGAATCATACAGAACGTAGACACATCAAATCGCGCGGGTTTTGGGTAGGGGGAGGGGTTCTTTTTTTTTTTTTTTCTTCTTTTTTGTCATTCTTCCTACTTCTCTTTCGCCAAAGAGGCTCTTTCCCGGTGTGAACGCAATCATAAAAAGGAAAAGTCCAAAGCAAAGTAACTCCAATAACTCCTGGCCCGAGGTATGGGGGTATGACTGTCTGCGCCCTTGCAGTTATTGCCGCTCGTTCAATGCTGCTGTTGCCAATAAATGAAATCGCTTATCGTTGTTGTCCAATCCAGCGGTCAACATGATGATGGTATATGCAGAATCCAGAAGGTCGTATGAATGAAGGTCGAATGAATAGGTCAAGGGAGTTAAAAGAATGTCAAGGTGAGGTATCCGATTTCTTCTTCGAATGTGGAAGAGAAAAGTTTGTTTTACTGTATTGCAAGGCCTGCATGTGTGGTGAGAGCTCGGATGTCGATAGCCAGCTCGTGCATCCGCTCTTGTCGCATAGCTGCATGGTCAATCTTCTCTCGGGTGTGAGAACCGATTCCTCCTCATGCTCTCAAGCCCGCTTGAGTAGTCTCCCTTCGAGGGATGAAATTGACTGTAACGAGATGCAATCCCATCACATATGAATGAAATAAACAATTAGGAACTTTATAGAAGCAAATAATCCCAACCGTTTTGCTGCATCACTTCCCGCCAATGGATGAATGGCTTCTTCACTTCCTTTGCATCCCATTGTGTAGCATTTTCCTTCGGAGACTCGGAGTTTTCGCGCTTAGTGGAGCTGATGTTGTCTGTTGAACACGAGGGGCTCACGTCTTGACTTGGTAGGGCTTCGAGAGGCTCATCCGACACACGCCATACCTCTTTCAAAACCCGGTACATGCGGCCGAAGCTGCCGAGATCCGCGTGGTCATTGAGAGCAGCGGCGCGATTGGAGAGGATGTTGCGGAAAGAGCTGTTCGGCGCCGAGAAAGCCCCTGTAACAAGCAAAGGCCAAACGAGTGAACGATCAAATCCTTCTGGCCCCGAGGGAATGTACTGAAGAGCGTTGGCCACCGCTGCAACCAAGTTGACGTTGCTTGGCTGTTGACGGTCAAATCCGGGAACCAAACTACATAAGTAGATCCTGGCTGCAATTCGGAAAATCGCGGTGATATTGTTCGTCAGCACCATAGGAGAGAAAGCTCCGTTAGCAAGGTGCGGGCTCTCCAAAGGTTGGTTTGGCGACTCGGTGTATTCCAGTTGTTGGCCGAGGGCTGAAACGTGAGAACAGACCGCCAAATCATCGATTCTTCCCTCCCTTTTCAATGCCTCCAGGCATGTGATCTCTGATATCAGGTACATGACACGGTCATCGCAGCCCATAAGCTCGCGTAAGCCCAGGGACGATCCACTAAGGTGCTTGGAGCGATAAGTATGTGCAAACTCGGGGGTCTTTCCGTGCATAGTGGAGCCCAGGATATCAATCCAAGATGCCAACGTCATGGTAAACGGGGGCGGCATATATGGATTTCCGCAAGGGGGAACAGGAGCGGATAGTCCCAGTCGATTTACCAAATTGGATGCGGCTTGAAAGTGATCAAACCAAGGAATATCAGGGAGATAATCGTCAGCAGGACCCACTGAACAATGGAAGAAAATCATGGCGAGCGTTGCATCGAGAATCTCCTCGTGATTAGTATCCTCACCCAAAGCCAAACAAAGCTGCGAGACTGCCTCGAAACGATTACGCATGATATCGTGGTCAATCTGCTCTCCAACAATACCTTCCGTTGTCTTTCGATGAATAGCGGCCACACTCAAGCAACAGTGGAGATAACACTTGTTCGTTTCCAAAGCTTGGAGAATGGCTTGGGCGCGGACGTGTCCGCGTTGATGAGCTTCCAGCACGGGAAAAATTATTCGCAGAACGTTGTAGATGAAGTGATCGAGAAGCGGGCGATCATGGTCACTAACGGGTATGCTTGACTGTAGAATCGCATACGTCTGGCCTATGGTTTGCTCGCAGAGTGCTGGATCGATTCCAGGAAGCGCGGGAACTTGCGCGAAGTACTCATCGTGAAACCAGTCTTCTCCCGGAAACGTGGGTAAAGTAGCATTTAGCTGGGGAGGAGCAAATGTGCTGAATGTTGAGCTGCAAGAATCGTGGCGCAGCGGGACGTCGTTAATGAACGTCTGTCGCTCCGTCTTCACATCGATCTCATACGGATGTGGCAGGCCATAGACATTCTGGGTGAATGCCGGAGTTGACAGATGGGATGCGAAAATATCATACTGCTCTGGATAGAGTGGTCGACTAAGCTCGTATTCGGGGGATGTTGGCGTTGGGACGGCCATACTGCGATTGCGGGCCGAGGGATCTATGGCGCCCACAAGCCCAGTCAGATGGCCATACCTCAATCAAGATACTTCACAGAGATTACCCACCGGTCAGTGCACCATTGCGCTCGTTCATTTTTGTTTGTTTGATCTTGTTCTTGATGTGCTCTTTCTGAATCCTCCTTTGCTCGGCGTTTCCCCACCACACGGGGCGTTTGTATTCGCACTTGACGCATAGGTTTATGCAGGCTCCGCAAGATGGGTGCTTCTCATCACACTTCTTTCTACGTAGGCGACATGTGAAGCAGCCTGGGCAGGGTCATTCGTGTTAGCTAGATCCTCAATCTAACCACGAGGAAGATGTACTCGAGTGGTAACCTACCGGATCTTGAGCGTTTGTGCAGCTTATTAGGAGCCTTGTCCGTCCTTCTTGTCGAAGCACCTTCGCTGCCAGACGATGGTTGCGAGAGATCCTCGGCTTTAATTGGAATCATTGTGACGGCTGATGACTTCTTCTTGGAGGGAACAGGCATAGTTGATATCGAACTGTGGTGCCTAGGCAAGAGACTCGAAAAGGACAGGACGCTGGCGCGTGGCGAAGTGATTGCGGGGGTTATGTGGGTGATTAATGGTAAGACTGAGCCAGCAGCCTTTGATGTCTAATAGGGTATCAGAGAACGAAAGGCGCAGGCTGCAAAGGGCGAAGCGGCAAAAGATAATGCAGGGAGACAGTAGTCCACAACATGAGCCGATATGAGCAGTGGGCATGAAGGAAGCTTTAAAGATGAACGTAGTAGGTCAATCTCGGATGAAGCAGGTCATGATGTTTCTATTTTAGAATTGATTCCGGGCAACCGACAGGGCCATGGACATGCGCACGCCCACACGCCTATCGGGGAACCTGTGGTGGTGGGAGAAGAAGCCATAGATTGGGTGGGGAGTAGGAAAGGATGATCGCAGCCAGACCATGCACAGACAAGGAACCGGCCACCAGGCGCTTCAAGGCTAATTTTGGATCATTTGGTAAGATGCTCTTCTGGCCATCAACTTGGCGCCCATGGCCGTTCTCTGCACCAGTGATTGGATCGCGCACGATGGCAATCTTGCCATGAAGGTAATCTGTGGGACGCAGCTATTGCTATTTATTTCTAAGTTCATTTTATCCTGGCGTGAATTTCGTGTCCCACGAGCAGGTGCCTTCATGCTACCACAGCCTATCAGCCCGGAGAGACGAGTGTAACATGAGCAGAGGATCTCCTGCGGAGAACTTGTGGTGGAATTTGCCATGCCCACAAAGAGGTATAACACCAGGTGTTATGAAGACTGAGCGTACTTCCTATTCACAACCAGCAAGAGAACCAAGCCATTTCAATTGCCCGTCATCGATCTTTCTACGGTTCATTAGCGATGCGCCAATGGCAGGGTCATCTGCGGTCTGGATAATGCTAGTTGACGATGTTGACGAAGTGGTTTTTACCAGATTGGGGAAATGTAACAATGTTGAGTACCAAAGGATACTCACGTCCACAGCCGTTGATAGCGCGGGGACATATCAAAGCCAACCGGCTAATCGCCCCCCTCTTCTTTCTTCGCGAGGGAAAAATCAGACCAGGAATCCGACCCCTGTCTTGCACACAAGGGTCTCAAAGCACATTGGGCCCAATCAAATCTACCGCTGTCTTCCAGGTCTTATTTCATTTCTCGTGGGACTTGTACTAGTACAGTAGATTGGCAGGTTCCAGAGCCTGTGGGGGGAGGAAGAGGAGGAGGATAAGGAGGGGGTGGACCTGATCATTTCATCAGTTCAGCAGCACCTACAGTAGTCGAAGCGCTACCCTTGGAGCTAAATTAGCGTGCTGGGCCAAGCTTCCTGATATAAGAACCAATTGGCCGAGACTTTTCTGGGATTTGACCGAGCGGGACAGCGGCAGCCAACCGTGCGTTGGTGGGTCGGGCCTTTGATGCCCCGTGCGACCAAAGGAAAGTTGACGCCAAGGTGTGATAAGATGATGCTAGCCTTTCAATCTCAACCAAAGTCCCTGACAGGGAGGGTGTGACGGGCGGACAGCAACCTCATTACCTTAATTAGTATCAATTAGCCGCCCGCACTGACTGCGATCCCCGCAGATAGTCTTCTGGTCTTCCATAATTAGCACGCCTCAACAGGCTCCCTCGAGTCCCAATAGATACTACGGCTTCCGCATTGACCGCTAACAGCGCGTTCCCATGATCCGATACTGAGGAAGATCGAGCCGTGGGCTGCCCAAGTGGGGAAAATCGAAGTTTGACTTCAGTGATTCTGCAACCAAGGTGTCCCAGTCACACCTCCAGGTCCTTGTCCCCTTGGACTTCTGATCCGAGGTACTACCAGTACTGAACCTCTTTCGGGCGGCTCGTTCCTCCGTGATTGATGCAAGAACTCGAGTAGCTCAGATCGATATTTACAACTGCACGGCCTTGGCTGGCTACACCCATTGTTGCTTGAAACCGTGTCTTGAAATCAATAAAATTGAGTCTTGATGCAACATTTATTCTGAGCCTGACAAAGTCGGTGGGCATCATGATCCTGATCCGGAAAGCGAGTTAGCATGAGTGTTGCTGGTGTCACGACGCTTCTGCCGTTTCTTGTCACATTCCTGCAGTAAACAATTTAGCGTCCTTTCGCTCCCCTGCCAATTGGTGTCCCAGCCAATTACGCGCGCCATACATGAGGTCACTTTTCTGCCACTTGTTGTGTGCCAGTGATATGTACAATACCTCTGCCGTCGAGATCCCGCGCCACTGTCGATTCCCAGCCTTGGAGATACATGTTACCCGGAGCATTCACCGCATGGATTCTGTCTGGAGACTGAATGGTCGCATGCTGTGTTCTTTCTTCTCGCCGGTCTCAATTAGAGCCCTAGCACGTACTCGAATATGAAGATAAGATCAACCTTCGCTTCTACACTACGGGTAAACTTCCGCATGGATAGAGCGTGGCCTAATGAACTGACAAATACCAAAGATTTAGCCGGTGAATTAACATGCTCATGCTTAGTACCTATTCACGGCCAGTCGCGCGAGGGTATTGGTCAAGCAACCCCTATTGTCTCCGACCAGGGAAAATTATGCCGATACGTCACCCCATTTCTATCACCTTGCATTTTCCGTCAGGCGGGGTAGAACAACTTCTTGCATGACACCTGTATATCAGCAGCTATCAGAACCACAATTCTTCGGTGCACTCGTGCCAGCTTTGAGCAACGTCCAGCAACCGGAATGCATAGATCAAAATAGAAAGTCTACTCGCCTTAAGCGTAACCAGATGTCGAGGCTAATTCTTCTCTGCAGTGCGTTGAGCTGCCCTGATGTAGACAATTGTCTTGCCGGGGTACGGCCTCTAGGTTCGAGATCAATTAAAGGCAATTTTTCGACTGATAATAATCGATTATCGGCTCCACTTTTCCTCGATAGAATCGCTTTTGGGCAATAGTCTGTAAGAAAAACTTGGTTGAATCTATCACGTCCGACTACTACATCGCCTTTGGCGCTCTGCTCGCAGCCGCCGAACATATTCTGAGAGGAGTCATTTTTTCAATGCCAGACCAGAAGGATAGCGCTCCCTGGAGTAGCACTCGCAGGTAGGCGGTTATACGCCACTTATCATTGGATTTTCATGCTTGACATAATTAGCGACTCCAATCTTTGAGACACCCTCTGGCTGCGTCCTCAGAGCTCGCTCAAAAGTATCCCAGAATAGTAGTGATTCGTTCGTGATCTTTGGTGCTGCCTTGAACATTCCAGAAAAAGAGAGCATGGTTTCATTCAAGGTTATGTCGTGAATGACAAAATCGACTGACTAAAATTCCACATCGGTTGACCGGCGCTCATGTATATAATGCAAATACCTATGGGATATCTTCCTCCCAACCCCCAAAAAAGGTTGTTCGCGCGATCCTTCAATTTTCTGATGTCAGTACAAGTGCGGAGTACCCGAGCATAGGAAACAGTCTACTCCGTACCCGTAGACGGTACCTGGCTAGCAGCAGTTTGCAAAATGAAAATACTAGCCTTTGAGCTCGAGCAAGGTAGACCGAAGCCGATATTTCGTGGTCAGGATTTCCCAAGTTCATGATTTGTTTATGTCACTGATATACGCGTGATTCACTTCAAGTTACTCACAAAAAGGTCATAATGATACTCCTCATCTACTGTATTTAGTCTCATCAGCGGGAGGGTTCAGTAACAGTATCTTGTACTACTACCATCCGGCGTAGGTGCAAGACTAATAGTGTTAATTGACGAAGGTTGAAGCTACCTTATTATATATCATCTTCATCTACTCCGTAGCTGCTGATGCTAGGTAGCTAGTAGTTTTATAACTTAGGTAGAGGTAGACCTACAGTTGGTGTTCAGGCTGTCTGTGCACTGATCATCCAGGCTTTACTCTCATTGGGCAGCGCAGGGCTTCTCCGCCAACGGTCGAGTTTCGTCGCGCTCCGACCTCCGCAACGCACCTCAACAACTCAATACCTTAATCATTCAAGGTCCTCTGTTTCAGCCAAGTTGATCTTATCTCCATCGTCAACGTGTGAATCTGCTACATGGTCTTAAGACTAGCATGCTACATCAAACAATGGAGCGCGTAATATCCCATGTATTTCCCCACACAAAGGAATATGTCTATGTGTCATGGCGAAGCCATGTCATCTCCACTAGGACATTCGCAAGCCATACCTCGCGACTCCGGTCTGTCCCTCGAGCATTCCAGAACCCACAAAGCCGGGCCTTCTCAGGCTTTGGTCGTAGATGCAGCAATGGACAATATAACCGATTCAATGATTCAGGCCGGGGCCCACGGGCACCGCCGCTGATCCACCACTTATTGCTGCGGGCGCGTACCGAGCACTTCGTTCTACTCGGCCTTGGCGTATCGGCATTCTACTACTATAATACGGAGGTGGTGGAGGTCAGTTGGTCCTGCCTGTCCATAACTGAATCATGGGCTAATATATGTCTTTCAGATGACCGGCCGCCGGCGACTCAACTTCATATCCGCTGAACACGAGCTAGAGCTCGGAGAAAAGGCTTATCGAGAAGTCCTCGCGCAGCATAGAGATCATATATTACCAGACTCTCATCCGGCTTCCAAGATGGTGCACCGTGTCCTTGAGCGACTCATTCCTCAGGCCCGCGTGGAAGGCGCGCAGTGGAGAGCTCATGTCATCAAGGCGGACGATGTCAGAAATGCTTTTGTCCTTCCCGGGTACAGTCTAGTCCAAGAACTCCCCCCAACCTTTAAAATAGGGGCTTTCTTCTGATAAGCTGCAATAGAGGAAAGGTTTTCGTCTTCACCGGCATACTGCCTTTCTGCAAAGATGAAAATGGCCTGGCTGCGGTTCTCGGTCATGAAATCGCGCATGTTGTTGCTCACCATGGTGCAGAGGGTATGACACGGAATTATCTTCTGAGGTCTCTTGTCACGGTCGCCTCGTTTCTTTTCGATATCTCAGCCATGATTCCTGCTTATCTGTCACATTACCTGGTCAACTTGCCTAATTCTCGAGTACAAGAGGTGAGATTCCACTATGGAGAGAAATCGAAAGGCAATACTGACCACCGATGATTACAGGCTGAGGCTGATGATATGGGGCTGAGTATGAACTCTGACCTGTTTCTTTTTCTTCAGAATGGCCGACTAACTTTGCTTACTAGTCATGATGGCTCAAGCCTGCTACAACCCGGAGGCTGCTATTGCATTGTAAGTTACACCGACGCCAGGATGCAATCGTATTGTCGGGTTCTTCCGTACTATAAGTGACTGCTAATCCTATACATTAGCTGGCAACGTTTGGTGAACAACAAAGAAGCACACGAAGTCCATCAATTCTTGTCAACGCACCCCTCGGTTGGTTTCCCGACTGGACTCAAATGGCACCTATTTCCATGAGCGATACGCTAATTTACTGCAATAGAATGAGAATCGGATCCATGCACTGAGTGAGAAGTATGCAAACTTGAATCGCCTTGATTATTCTTCCTGTCCTAACGGGTATTCCAGGCTCAACACGGCACAAACTATATACCTTAATAGTGGCTGCCAGGTCGCAAACGAATACAGTATGTCGCTCGTTACACTTGCTTGGCTCTGTTAATGACTGACACTCTGTTTCAAGTGCCGGATTTCAGAAGAGCTTTTGCTTATCACAAGTAGTGGTCATAGGCATGATACTCGAGACCATGTTTGCTTCAACCAAGAAATTGTACATACACTAAGGTAGTATTAGCGAATTCCCCAATCTTGTACTATTAAATGTCTTTTCCACCCCGCACTAGAAACATCTTCAAACCGTTTCAATCAATTTTACATCTTCTCGAACACTACGTATCAGATAATTAACCACGCTATTGTCACCCCACCGCAAATTGTTGGTGGCTCCGAACACCCTTCGGGCCCGAAATCCTTTCCGAGGGGCCGACTCGAGCGGCAAGCATTTCGGGCTCGAATGTTACATACATAGCAAGTCATGATTCCAGGCGCCCGAAGCAAGCAATAGTTAAATTGACCATCGAGGCACCGGCGCTCATTCGAGCAATCCCAGTTACCAACAAGTAAAGCACCTGTCTGCCTTCTAAGTCACCACCACTTCCTCATTATCAACCACAAGATTAGTACCATGTGCAATTCAATCCTCATTATAGGCGCGGGCCTTGGCGGTCTGGCTCTTGCTCAAGGCCTCAAAAAGAACAACATACCAATCAAGGTCTACGAGCGCGACGCACAGAAGGATTTCCGCGCCCAAGGTTACCGTCTGCGCATCGGCACGGAGGGTATCCTCGCGCTGCGGACCACCCTGACTCCAGAGCTATTCGGCTTGTTTGAGGCCACCTGCGCAGAAAACGGGTCACTCTCTGGAGGCGCCAGACTTGATGCCCTGTCCGGCAAGCCGCTCGCCCAGAATGTTCGTGGCGAAGGCCCTCCTATTCAGGCCCATGGCCCTCTGGAACCCTACACTGTGGACCGCGGAGTCTTGCGCGAGGTGCTCATGACCGACCTTCAAGAGGAGCTACACTTCAGGAAGCGATTTACACACTACGAGACCACAGAGAAGACGGTTGTCGCGTTCTTTGACGATGGGACCTCCGAGGAAGGCGCCTTGCTCGTCGGCGCGGACGGACTGCGATCGCAAGTGCGTAAGCAGCTCCTGGGGCCGTCGTATCCATACTTGGACACGGGAATGCGGATCGTGTACGGCAAGACATACATCACAACGGAGTTTGAGGAGAAATTCGCTCGAGAGGCACTGGATGGGATGACGTTGATCACTGAGAGGGAGACCAGGTCACCCAAAACGCTGCTGCTGGAGGCGATTCGATTTCCGCGGACAAACTCCGTGCGGGGGATCCAGTTGCCAAGGGATTATGTGTACTGGGTTTTGTTGGCACATAAGGATTATATCCTCTTAAGAGATGATGAGGCGTTGAGATTGGATGGGGAAGGATCGGCAAGGTTGTCGTTGGAGCTTACTGTGAAGTGGGACGCGTCTGTGAGAGTTTTGATTGAGGAACAAGATCGAGACCAGACGTCAACGCTGAGGGTTTGTTCTGTGAGGCCGGATATACCGGCTTGGGAAGCCAATGCGAGGGTGACGCTACTGGGAGACGCGATTCATGCGATGCCTCCAACTGGAGGAATGGGTGTGAACACTGCATTGCGCGATGCGGAGGATTTGGTGCGCAAGATTATTCAAGTTGGAGGGCCGATTGATATGAGCGTGAATGTCGTGGCGCAGTATGAGGAAAGCCTGAGGGAGTTTGCGCGAAAATCGGTCAGGCTTAGCTGGGAGGGAGGACAAAGAGGGTTTGACTTGAGATCAGCCGAGACATGTGAGGAAATCAGTTTGTAGGAGGGTTTATTTCGATGCTAAGGATATTCTCAATTGTTGCCTGAAAGATAGCGGCAGCTTCGATATACGTTCATCTACTACAGTATCCAATCTGCATAGCAAAGTAATGGTTTCAACGAGTCATCAGCAAGGTGGCTGAATGAGTAGGTCAGCGGTGGAAGGAAGGAGTTGTGATGAGATGCCAACATGGATAAAGTATGCCGAGCCCCTCCGCGTGCAAACCAAACAAACAGCCGCCGCCAGACCGTCCCCAAGCTCCGTCGAAAATTCCCAGAACAGCTTCAAGCCAGTGTCGAGGCAGTGTCCCCTTAATCACTCCATTAGGATATTTCCCCAAACATCAGAGGAAGTGTCTTCTTATCATGTCATTGTCTCTTCCCGGACCTTCCCAGGCGGGTCTCTTTAAGCCTGGGTACCAGAGGTAAGCGAAGGCCACTCGTGGAATGTCCCGCTTCCCAAGCCATCAACTTCTTCAGATCTAGCGGATCGGTCATGTTATGGTGCAGACTGGGCTTTGATGAGAGAGTTATGGCTAATATCGTTTCTCGTGCAGCCACGATGCCGAAGATGGTGCCGTTATTCGCAACATCGAAGCCTGCCAGGCTATTGCTCAGACTGTCCTGACGTCGTTGGGCCCTTACGGTCGCAACAAAATTGTCATCAACCATCTGCAGAAAATGATCCTTACCTCGGATGCGGCTACTATTCTGCGTGAGTTGGAGGTTGTGCACCCCGCAGCCAAACTGCTGGTGATGGCCAGTCAACAACAGGATCAGGAGATGGGAGATGGCACCAACTTGGTCATTGTCCTCGCAGGAGAATTGTTGAAGAAGGCCGAGGAGTTGCTGCGCATGGGCCTGAAAACGAGTGATATTGTTCAGGGCTACGAGAAGGCACAGAACTTTGCTCTCAAGACGCTAGAAGGTGAGTTGATCCTTGAGCGCTTGCCGATCTCAGGGGCTGTTGCATTGCAGCGGGCCACACGTTAAATGAACATTGAAAAATCACTGATGCTCTGTTAAACAATAGATCTCGAGGTCGACCGCCTTCAAGAACTCCGCTCTCAGACTGAGCTCACCAAGGCTCTCCGCACAGTTGTCGCTAGCAAGCAGTCCGGAACCGAAGACCTTCTGGCCTCTCTGGTTGCGGAGGCTGTTCTTGCTGTCCTCCCCAAGAACCCCGCCAACTTCAATGTCGATAATGTTCGTGTCGTCAAGATCATGGGAGGTAGCTTGGAGCAGTCGCGTGTGATTAAGGGTATGGTCCTAGGCAGAGAGCCCGATGGCGTGATCAAGAAGGCTACCAAGGCCAAAGTTGGCGTCTTCAGTTGCCCTATCGATATTTCTCAGACTGAGACCAAGGGTACCGTGCTATTGAAGAACGCGCAGGAAATGCTGGACTTCACGAAGGGGGAGGAGGAGCGTCTGGAGGCGGCTATCAAGGAGCTCTACGACTCTGGTCTACGAGTGGTCGTCTGTGGTTCCACCGTTGGTGACCTTGCCATGCACTTCCTGAACCGTTTCAACATTCTTGTGATCAAGATTCTTTCTAAGTTCGAGTTACGCCGACTGTGCCGTGTTGTGGGCGCTACCCCCCTCGCTCGTCTCGGTGCCCCGATGCCTGACGAGATGGGTAGCATCGATGTTGTGGAGACTACTGAAATCGGCGGTGACCGCGTGACCGTTTTCCGTCAAGAGGACGCCAATGCAGTTACTCGCACATCCACAATTGTCTTGCGCGGAGCCACTCAGAACCATCTTGATGATGTTGAGCGTGCCATCGACGATGGTGTTAACGCAGTCAAAGCTATCACTAAGGACCCTCGTCTGGTCCCTGGTGCCGGCGCCACTGAAACCCAACTTGTAGAGAGAATCTCTGCCTTCGCTGACAAGACTCCTGGGTTACCCCAGCATGCTATTCGCAAGTATGCTGAAGCGTTTGAGGTTATTCCTCGTACTTTGGCAGAGTCGGCTGGTTTGGACGCTACTGAGGTTCTGTCCCGCCTTTACACCGCACACCACCAGTCCTCCAACAACGACGTGTCTGCGGAGGAATCTTCGGCAGAGGAGGGGAGTGCTGAGAAGGATGAGCCTTTCTGGACCACAGGTGTGGACTTGGAGGCTAGCTCTTCCGCTGGAACCCTTGACGCCGTCGAAGAGGGCATTCTGGACCTGCTGGCTTCCAAAAGCTGGGCTATTCGCCTTGCCAGCGAGGCCGCACGGACGGTGCTCAGTGTTGACCAGATCATTGTTGCCCGACAGGCTGGTGGCCCTAAGCCACCGGGACCTAACCCCAACTGGGATGAGGATTAAATGTAATATTCAGGAGAATGTGATATCCATTGGAGGCACAAAAGCACGGAATGTGATAGAGACACGATAATCATGAAAAGTCCATTGACAATCTCAGGCACATTTGTTGATCATAGGCTTTAAATCAAGTGGCAGTAGCATATTGTTCTATATTTCATGTTAAGGCAGTCACGACTCATTGCAACTCTGTTCTTGACATAATGTGACGGTTCCTGTATACTTGGAGTTTCTATATAGAGAACGCCGCCTAGCGGGTGTTTCGATCACGTGACTGGTTTGGATTTTCTGGGCCGACTTTCTTTTCCCGCAAAGGCACTTTTCGAGCATTTGATCACCTCGAGCAGCTTGAATTTCCCCGGCCTAGCCACCTTGTGTCGCCCCGTTCAGATCGTCCCCTTTCACGCCCATCATGTCCATGTCTACTCAGGTCGCTGCCCGCTGCTGCAGACAGATTGTCCGCCCTACCACCTCCCTGCGCCTTTCCTCCGCTTCATACCTGTCCAGCAGCCGGAGATGGCAATCCACGGAGTCCGCCGCTCCTGCCAATCCCAAGATCACCCAGATTGTTGATCAGATCAGCCAATTGAACCTTTTGGAGACTGCCGACTTGGTTGCTAGCCTGAAGGTGCGTCGTTGCTACGATTATGGCGTATCGCAGATTCCATCTAGGAATAGTTGATACATTTATCATCTGATCGAATTGACGACGCCATTGCCCAAATGACTGCTTGAACCATTACTGACAAGTGCGTGTGGCACCTTAGTCTCGCCTCAACATCCCCGATCTCCCTGTTGGCGGCTTTGCCATGGCCGCTGCTCCCGCTGCTCCCGCCGCTGCTGAGGAAGAGGAGGCCCCGGTTCAGCAGGAGAAGACCCTCTTTAACCTGAAGCTTGAGTCCATCGATGCCGCGTCCAAGGCCAAGATTATCAAGGAGATCAAGAACATGCTCGGTCTGTCCTTGGTTGACAGCAAGAAGTTCGTCGAGTCGGCGCCCAAGGTCCTGAAGGAGTCTGTCCCCAAGGAGGAGGCCGAGAAGATCATTGAGACTCTCAAGGCAGTCGGTGCCAAGGTCACCATGGACTAAGCGGATTGTCATCCGACTGTCTGGGGGGACTTTCCTTTGTAATGCTACTCGGTCCATTTGGGTCGCCCTGTGACTATCAATGTTTTGGATGAGTGATAGGGAAACCTGGATGGCCCGGACGTTGTGATTGGGCTGCATCATCGAGCTGGAGTTTTTATCTCGCACCACCCTTTTGTATTGTGTTCTTTTATATCACCCTTTTCTTTATCATCTTTTTTTCTCCGACCTCTATCTCTTGAGATCTTTTTCTGGTATACACGGAAAGCGGGGAAAAGGCGGCGAATGTACATTATCATCTCTCTTGAATGGACAATGTGGAATCAACAAGGGGGAAACTAACTCCTGAGTCTGTTGGCCGGGTTCTGCAGGATTTGTCAAGGTCCGTAGTGTATGGATGAGAAGCGTAGCTGCGATGGTCTTGGACGGGTTCACTATAGATGGTAAAACTGCTGTTGAGCAGCTAGAAAACGGTTTTCTTGAAGGAGATTGAGTTATATGTTGGTCGCATTTACGGTGTTTGGAGCCATTGTTTGGCGCGGCGATCGAACGACGGAGATGCGGGAACCCCGAACCTCCAGATTTCTTCCTCCGCCTTCGAATCAAAACCACCTTAACGTCTTGCCTTCTCCTGTTATCGGACCGCCATGTCCCTTACTGGGTCTAGACGGAGCATCGGACGACGATGCCAATTGTCTCTGCACGCGCGAATATCTTCACCAGCGGGTTTACTCTATAGCTCTCTACATTCGTGCTTAATCCAAAACAACCTCGTCCTTCACCATCAACTCGCACCTCGACCTTCGCTGACGTCCCTCTTTCACACCACCGCTAGCAGCAATGCTCTGTATCGAACCCCTCGTCGATCGCCTACGGTACGACGTGCCGAGAATAACCGTATCCCCGTCGCTCCTGTTCCCAATGCTAATAGTGCATACGAATCTCACATCGAAGGCGACCCCGCAACTCACTTAGCTTGGCTCCAAGGTCACGGTGTAGACAGCTGGGCCGACGCCCGCATTGCCAAATCCCTTAAGTCTAATATCACCAAGGATGTCTTTGTCACAACTGGTAAGCACTTGATAACTCGTGCTCATGGTGGACCACCCACCCTCGGTGCCTTCGAGAACAACCCGTGCAATCGTGCGTGATCCTTACCTCATTCCCCCCCAACAAATTGGACCATCGACCTTTATTCGTGGGATTCGCTAACCGTCTTTTAATGAGCTTCAGTGACCCCCTTCGAAGTCTTCAACATCGGCAGATTGGTCCTCCCGCACCACCAATCCTTTCAACGCTGGCTCTGCTCTGCCGGCGCCCTGGCCCAAGTCCGCCCGGCGATCTACATTCAAGCCGCCGCCTACCTCAAGAACCTGCTCGCGTACTCCAAGAGCAAATACCCTCCACGTGACGAGCCGTACCTGCAGGCCGTCGAGGCCCTGGCTACAGGACCCCAGCCGGATCCCCGCGCCATGTGTCTTCATGCGCAAGTCCTTTGTCACCGGCAACACTACCGCCAGGCCATAGCCCTCCTTGACGAGGTGCTCGAGCTCATCTACCCAAGCAAGGAACTCGAACATGGGTTCGAAACGCCACTGTATTTCCCGCCCATCGAGTCTGTTTGGGACACGTACCTCTGGGTCCAGGGCATCATGCACGAATACAAATCCAAAACGAAGTACACGCGCGATGAAATCATCCGCCGCGCTGCCACGGAATTCAAGGATCCCAAGTACCTCGTACTGTATGCAGGCATTTTACGGGAGCAGGGTCGGTGGGATGAATACGAAGAATGCATGTTCTGGGCGTCCAGGGCCGGGAATCCTCAGGCCATTCGCCGACTGGCGAGCTACTACTACTTCACGGCGCTGGGGCGGTATCGTCGGCGCGGGGAGTCTCCGCAAGACTTTCGACCGGTAAAATCGGGCGAGGAGGGCCGGCGGCTGCAGAAGGAGCAAAACCGCTCGTGGTGGCAGCGGCTGTCTGAGGAGATTTGGTCCGGCCACAGCCTTCCGTCGCTGACGCACTACCGTGCCTTGGCCCGGGAGTGGTTCGAGCTGGCGACCTTCTATGGGAGCCCCGAATCGGCTGTCATTGTAGCCGTCATGGACCGTGAGGATGGTCGCCCGGGCGATGGCGCGAACGTACTTCGTGAACTGCTTCGTGAGGGCCGATTCCAGGGTCCAGAGCGGGAAAAGCTTCAGAAGTCCATTGAAAGCTTGCTGGACAATTGGTCAGATCCCGCGTTCAAGCCTAAGGTACCGGAGAGTTACTATGTTCTCTAGGTGAGGGAAGAAGCCATATGGGATTCGTTACTCCTACAGGGAGAGAGTTGTGTGGCTTGTTGTGATTGCTGTGAAGGCGGTTGTAGGTGATGTTTTAGATGATGGTCGCTCCTCCGTGCACTTTTCAATGACTGATACCCAAGCAAAGATCGATAGTCTTATGCAATCTAGAAAACCCGCTTCGCAGTGGGAATTGTTCATCTTCAGGTAGGTTTGTGTAGCCCTGCGCGGTTCACCAAATAATGCGACCGCGACTGGCGCGCTTAGCTGGATCATTGGACATATATTAGGCTCCAGAACTGAAATATTACAAATTAGATAATTGGAAGAAAAAGTAACTGTCAATCGCAACGTCACCCTGTGCTCATCGCGGTGCGACGGCATGCCTATGATCGATCTCTGTGTACTGTCCTTTCCACCAGAATCATTTCTCACGACATGAGCAAGATTGGAGAATAAATATAGAAAAATATGATATGGGGGTAGGGAAGATCCAAAATTGTCTTGCCGCTATTTCTAAAGGTCAAGATTGTCTTATCCCGCGCAACTGCCGGAATGGACCAAAGCTTCTCGAGGATCACCTCCTTCGACCCTTGCCTTTCCCCTTTCCTCGTGTTTTCAGCTCCACGAACCCAAGCTCCTTCAAACCTTCTGTGAGAGGGGATGAATCCCTCATTCCAGGAAAATCCTTGGCAGGATATACGCGAAAAGGATCCGTCCAAGCCTCGGCAAGTATCGGCATCGACTTGCCAGTGTCTTCTACGTGACCCCAGTTCATCAGACGAAACTGCAAGCGGTACAGTCCAGCTGTACGTACAGAAAGGTCGGAGAAGATGTAGAAAGTGGCAGGTTGCTTCGTGACGTGTGGGTTGCTGCTTTGGTAGTCGACCCGTGGCGAATATATGCCTTTTTCGGGTGCGTAGTAGACTGACGATGGATGTGCTGGTGCAGTGCTTGGATCCGGATCCTCTTCAACATAGAAAGGCGACACAAATGCTTTTCCTGATAGTAAAGGGGTGCATTGTCCATGACTCAGTTCATCCGCTCTACCAGTACCGTCGGCATTCATTTCAGATTGGGTGACCCCAGGCTCTGGGATGAGGAAGCAACCCACGGTGAATCGCGGATCTTGAAGGATTTCGTTGTCCTCAGATGACTCTGGATCAAAGTTTGTTAAAAGCATCTGGATAATAGGAGGAGGATCGATGGGCCGTCGATCTCTGTCACCAGCGCCGCAAGCTCGTGCTGCTAATGGCTGCTGTCTGATGAAGAGGTGATATCGTGAGGTCGATGCGGGTTGCCGCGGGGGAGGGGACGGCGTGGGTGAATGATGGAGCAGTCTCTCAAACCCAGAAGGCATACTCGTCGTATTTTGTCTCTGGGGTTGTTGCGAGCGAGATTTGTCCGCGACCACGCTAACGGACGATCCTCCCGTACAATCATAACAATGACCAGGACTTGGGCCGGCCATCGAGTCGCTGTTCCTGCCAGGAGGAATTAGTGCTGTGGCTAGAGAAGAACACTTATTTAGAAATCTGAATGAATGAAGTAGCAGCAGAGGTCAGAGGGTGACTTGCATGCGCGTGCTCGTGATAATGTTGTGGACAGGGAATTGTGTGCATATAAGAGTTCATAGACAAGAGAATCATGATCGCGCATTCGAGGCCCAAGAAGCCCGAGCTGTCAATGGAACGGAGAACTAAGGGCTAAGAAATTGAGGCATACTCGACATTTCTCAGAATAGCGGACCGCTGGGTCCCAGAGGGAGCTGGGTCGCCAGCACTGTATGACGAGAATGAAGGGACGTCATGCTTCTGATGTGCAACAGGATCCCACACCCTTTCCTGATAGGACGACCTAGAATTGAAAGGGGCCGATGCGACAGTGAGATTATAGCCCTCACTGGTTGGGGTTGGGAATGAGAAACGCGGAAGCCCAGCCGTGGGATAAGATTGACTCGGAGCTGCTGTTAGCGCCTCACGGTCAACGCCAGCGGTTTCGGCCCGCCCATCAGAATACTGCCCGCCGGATGTGGCCTGTCTCCAAGGATGCACTGGTGTCCTCGACATCTAGATAATCAGCGTCCGGGGTTTTCTGTCCCTGTTTCTCGTTCTTTATCTCTTTGGTGATTGTTCTCGGTGACTTTCCTTGGCGGCGAAATTCTTTGCTTTTGCCTTTTTCTCCAATTGACAAGATCTAGTTAATCGCTGAGCCCGCAGTTATTCTGCAGAGATACAATCCATATATAGGATCATAAATTGACGGGTCGAACAAAGAGTCGATAGGATTTTAGGCGCACTCGGTGATGCCCAAAAGATGGAGGCAAAAAAGAACGGGAGAACACTTGACTGAGATGTAATCAAAGCGCGCGACGGCATAATAGTATGTCACCGGCGGAAAGTAGATTCGCAGGAATAGGTAGAGACGTAGAAACACGACTTTTTCACCTTCTAGGGAAAATTCCAAGGTCCAGAGGACATAGTCCGCCGTTAGTGGACGATCCTACGGAAAGAACTAGTAGAATAACAGGTATCTATTAGTTCAACCTGAGGATTGCCAGAGATTTCCCACAAAGCGATTGTCTGGGAAGGGGTATAGAGTGGGAGGGGAGATAAATTGGGAGAAACAGAAAAGAAAAGAGTTCCACCGACCTCCATCCAACCAGCTCATAGCACCACACTTATGCGGCTGCAGGTCGCGACGATGGAGGTGCTGAGATTTGCAGTCAATCCGCGGCTTATAAGGCGTTTGGCTGTCGGATGACGCAACTGGTCCAGCGACGATAGGCAATTTTCACTAACCCTAGATTAAGCAGTAATCTGCAATTTTGAATCCATGCCATTATGTGGCCGTGCAAAATTAAGAAGCGGATCTGGGGAAATCGGCAAGCTAGGTAATGGCGTTCGTGAGAAAACTTGTGCGTGCCCACTGCGTATTGAGTGTGGCATTGCGCGGAATCCCAGACATGCAGCAACACTGCGTCCCTGACAGAATCCAGTCTGATATTTATGCGATCTAGGACTTTTGCCCACCACCAGAAGCCCGGCTGTGACCTGAATTCAGTCCTAGAGAGGATGTCCTCAAGACTATCTCTCTTGAAGTGACAACACATCGTAAGTACCTGGTGACAGCCGAATGGGCCTGGAAAGAGCTCAATCAAAGCCGATGTGACCAGCAAACGGACACCAGACACAGCCCCGAAGATGTTTTACCAGGTGATAATCGCAGTCAAGGGAAGAACAACGAGCACTAGCACAGTGTGTATAGAGGCACAGATATCGCTTCCCAGGGCTCGAAAATCGACTGAATCAGGGGTAGCTTGGGCCTTGAGCTATCAGTCACCAGCTATCGAGCAGCAAGCTACTTTCCCGTGTTACCTGGTGGTTGGTGATCTCGAGATTTCTTGTCTCACAAAGCCTGACCTCTCGGTATTCCGCCACCATAAGAGTCTAGTGTAAACTGTTGTTTAGTTGATACACCACTGTTTGCAAAGATGCAATACTAGAGGGTGCAAATTTGAGAATATCACACAGCGGATGATGAGTGATTGCACATCGTACCGTATGACGAGGTTCAGCATATAATTCCGTCAGAGCCGAAAATTAGTTCAAGCAGCCGGTTGTCATGTAAAAATAGCTAAGAATACACCATATTGCCGCGGACTACCGTGGTCGCTTTGACAGCAACTCAAGCTTCTGCATATCGACAAGCTACCAAGGCTTCTTGACCATAGCAGAAATAATTAGGGCCACTCTAATGATGGCCAGACATCTGCTGCTCGATGCAGAAGTATCCTGCAGCTTCTTGGGGTGAACGGGACATAATGATGACGTTGTAGGATTTGTAGAGAATCCAGTAGAAAGCTATTGTGGAGTCAAAAAGTTCCCATACTGTATCCGAGTTGTCGGTCCCATACGGAACTCTATCCCGAGACAAGAACCTGCAGGTGAATGCATTCGTTCGCATCTAGAACCAACATTAGGAGATTACCTCTGACCGCAAATTCCGAACTTTTGCTCTTCTTTCATGTAGTTCTTAGTTCTCTGTGGATTAGCGATGTGAAAGCAGTGGGCTCTAGCTTGGTTTCAGGTTTCTTGCGATGACTCGTCATCTTGTGTCGCAGCAAAAGCGTACCAGAACCAGGAAAGTCCGTGAAGAAGCCCAGTACTTGTGTGTTGGGATGAAGGCCAGCACTCATGGTTCCAGCAACTGCTCGGAATAGCTTGTCGAAATTATAGGGTCATTACACGGACCACTTCGGTAAGCTTAATGCTAAGAATCCATGATTGAACTTAGCGTAGCCGGAGAGGGATACACTTGTCAAGGTACGACAGGCCAGAATTCAAAGTCCTCGAATTGATGTAAGATACAAAGATGATAAGATCGCTTTCGTCGGCCGATTGAATATAACGGGTCCAGACCGGGTTTATTTCCATGATGCCTAGGACGATCAATCTCTGGTATGCTTTGCCAATGGATGAGTATAGTTGGCTTGTAGACTAACGAGGTATGCTCTTTGTCCTTGTGAAGGAGTGGCGGATCCCTTGAACAGTTACTGCTCAGATTGTTCCATATTAGCTGACTAGTATAGCATGCTGCTCTGACCCACATCCGAGGACCCAAAAAAGGGTTTTTAAACCGACGCAGAGGTTTTTTTTTTCATGCATTAGTACGGTAGCATTTGTTCACTTTCGCTACTTGGCGAGCAGGCTACTGTACGTGAGTGGTTGCCTAACTGACAAGGACAAATGATGTGTCTCGGCGGTCAGATAGCTTCCTTGTGTTCTGTAGGCTTGGCTGTATGCTGGCAGGTTTAGCGGCCATTCATCGACGTTCCTCACAGTGAATCATGCAGTTGTGTCCAAATTCCTGGAATTCATGCGTAATGAGTGTCCACACTGAAGGCACCCGTGTAGCTCTTAATCTGGTCGGCTGGGCCAGAGGCAGCCATACGGCAGCCGTTAACAGAGCACGAACTACAGTACCGACCCTGCTGGTGCAATTGACCAAAGATGAAAGATGTGTGCCTTGTTTATGAGACTCCTGCGCGCTTCACGTCCTTTGTCACTCTCGTCTCACGTCTTGCAGTCGCAACCCTGCTTTTGCATTGCGGTAGGGGAGTGTCAGAACGCTGACTCGGCTGAGGCAACGGATTCTCCTTCGCCGCTGCGGATTGTCAGCCAGGTAGGCGACTTAAAGAATTCCGAGGTGACCGCAGTCAACGAGGTACTAGGTGATGAGACAGTAGGCAATGCAAAGAATGTCGAATTCAATGCAACAAAGTATGGTGGAGCGCTTAACCTGGGCAGAGCTGAGAAGTGTCCCTTGGAAGAGTGCACGACACAAGGCTTAGAGCAAGAACTTATCCAGCGAGCATGAAGTCATTCACTGATGAGTCGTCCCAGTTTGTCCATTGAGAAGGACTATCGAAAGGAAGAGTGGGAGGTGGAGGTAGGGGGAGAAAGAAGGAAGGGGTGAATCAAGTGACTGGCCCCCCAACACAGCGCAAGCAGTACAGCCTCGGCGACTGCACCTTCCGCCCATGATATCGCCGTCTTTGGAGCATCTTGCGTTATGGGAGTGTTGCAGTAGTTAGAAGATTCAGAATTTGGCTCTGGCGTTCTAAAAGTGGCGGCTGGAGTCCACCCGAACCAGACTTCGTTGACCAGACAGTAATTACCTTCATTTCCCACCAACCTTACGTCGGGCTTGCCGGCTGATCATCATGTCCGGACATACTTAATACATGCCATGATCGTGATAGTCCCGACAATCCTACCTAATCGTCACTCGACACCAAAACACACTCTACATCCTCCGGATGATTGAACACTATTCGCCCTCGAATACTCCCCGGATATGCACTATATGAAAAATAGAAAAAATAGAACAGCTCGGGAGGGGGGGAGGTTTGTTGGAGAACATAAATGCTGGAAAGGGCCAAAAACCGTCTGGGGCAAATAGAAGAAGGGACACCGAGGAGAAGAAAAGGAAGCCAACCCGCCTATCACAAGTGCGACACCATCACGTCCGATTCTTTCGGGTGCTGATCCTCAAGTAATCATGGCGGCTCTGAGAACTCCCTTACCACTAAGATAGTCGCTTCGGAGAAGGAAGCAAGGATGACCTGGCATCTGGACCTATAAGCTTTCCTGTGCCTCAACCGCGGTGGCACACACTAAGCCGGGGAATCCTAGTAGTCTCGTGGTTTGGTTTGCGTCGGTTTCTTCAAAGAGCCATTCAGGCTTGTAGGAATCTAACCCTGGTGATTACGTGTCAGGTATCAGGCAAGAGCAATTTCTTCGGTGTAGCGGGTTCTGTCACTGGTTTGTCCTCATTGCTGCCGTACTATGAGTGCTCATGGCAATAGGGTGTGTAAATGCCTAGCTGCTCATCCCCTATGTATGAAAATCCATCGGAGATTTCATCCTCCACTCAAGAATGCTTGTATGTACCAAGGGGGGCACGTTACAGCCTCAACGAATAATACTACACCAAGCATAAGGCACACCTACAAGTTTCTACATCAGGCTCCGACAAGTAAAACCTGTCTCTTAGATGCTCGAAGAATTAGTGACTGCACGCTGAAATCGCAGGACTTCTGGGTATGAAAGACCACGGCAAGCCAAATCATGGCAACAAGTCCGGGCTTGGATCCACATGAAGAAAATACCTCATCGCGCAATCACCGATTGGAGTCACACGATTCCTAGACCAGTGTGCCGGTAGGCTACCGACGGAGCTAAACCTTATGATGGGCTTCAGGCCGAAGCGTAGATCTGATGGTCTTGCTTCTATGCACTGCTTGGTTGCGCCATGGACTTCTCCTACGAAGACTGCAACAAAGTGCCCATGAAAACGATCCCAGGCAAATATATGTCCCGTTTTCTCCCAATCATGGGCGTTGTGTCGAGATTGCTCCTGGTAAGACTTTCGCCTTGCAACTAAAAACCCCAGTTGCATCAAATGTAGGGACCGATTGCCGGCGGAACATTGACCGTCGTTGTTAAGACTAACGCGAAGTAAGCCTAGTGTAGATGGTGCCCAAGGCCTAGAAAAATCGACATCAATTGGCGAAATGGAGTCTGAAACTTCGAATGGGGAAAGCTGTGGGCACCAAGCATACTCCGAGTCTGTATCTGCATCACAGGCAACGGAAACAGAGATCAGACTCCCATCATGATCATTAAGACAATCCGCAATCTGACCAAGATCTGCTCTTGATTTCGAACATCCGAAACTATAAATCGTTGCACGAAGCCGCTCAATGCTATCATAACCAACACTACTCCCATCCATGGTCAATATAGGTTGGTCGTTATTAATCACAAGTGGGTCGGAAGCACTTGAATGTTTTAGCAGATGAGGTTGCCACTGAATGCCCAGCCGAGCCTCCATATCTGAGAGGATTTGGTGCAGGATCTCAATGTGTTCTTCCCCGCCGAGTGGAACAGTTTGGAATTCATCGGCGGGGAGGAACCAGCAAAGCGTCTTGACTTTCGAAATGTGGCGTAAGCTGCGATTTGCGTGCTCCGATATCAGCCTCAAAAATGTCATAGCTCGCTGCATGTCTCCCATTTTAATCGCGATCTCTACACACTTGTATGCGGCTCGTAAATGGCTCTCGTGTGACTCAGGCGAGAGGTTCTCTATCAGATGAGCCCATACGGATTCTTGAAGTGTCTCGCAGCGCAATCTGACCAGCAACGTGAAGTAAGACCCAATCCATTCGTCTAGATGCTTGGGCTTCGCCCAGTATAGTATATCATGCAGGCGATTGTTGTTCGGTTGATTCTCTCCTGTTACTAATCCGGTTATTGCACTCAGGCTCTGATGATCTTCACAGAACTCAAGATATTCCAAGGAATCAAGGATAGCGTGGACCAGAAGTGCGCTCTCCGTCGGGCTTAAGGGTTCCGAGTTAACGGCTAAATAGCCTTGCAAATAGCGCCTAAGACCCGACGCTGAGAGTGCAAGCGCTGAGTAGTACATGCCCAGTACATACAAGCGTTGCGAGCAACGGCCGTCAATTCTCTCTACTCGTGTCACAATCCCATTAATAGCGGAGAGAACCTCTCCGAAGTGATTTTGCCGTTGACAGTGCTGCAAAGCTCTGGCGAGAGGAACGCATTGCTGTGACTGCAGGACCCTGCAGCCTCTCCTGTCTACCACATTATTATCAATGAACACCTGCAAATCAGAAAGACCTCTTATTTGTCTGGTATCGAGGCGCGAAGGCATAGGAACGTGTCTATCTGGATCTCGTAAAAGAGTGGCCAAGAACGGCGCAGGCAGAGAGCTTGCCGGCCACTTGTTCTGCAGGCTTTGCAAAAGATGCAGATCCAGACTTGATTCCGACACATCATACTCCGGGCGTCTCGTTGTGCCCGTGAGGGCAAATCGCAGTAATTGGGACGCAGTGGACTCGAAATATGGAGACTTCTTCTTAGCGCTTGGTTCAAGATGGCGACGTGGCGTGAAGTAATATGGCACTGATCTCAGATCAAATCTTCGCCTGGGTGCCAGCAAGTGTCGACGAACCTGTGGTTTCAGCATTGAGGCTCTAAGACGGTTGAGACCAGATGTCGCTCAACCAGAAACTAATATACTGTATCGTGTATGACATGTCCTGTGGGGTGGGTGAGTGGGTAAGCGGGTCAAAGCAAGAGATAAGGACAATCAGACAATCAGGGGAGACTCGAAGGCGGTCTGAAGGGCGGCGTGTCTTGCAAATCTGGGCCCGACTTGACCTCAGTCTCAACCTTGATTTCTTTCACCACCCATGCTGGCATCACGTACCTCGGCTTGGTATCCTTTCCCAAATTAGTGCTCCATCATTGCGCTCTTGCAACCTTCTACTTTGAGCTTGCAGGTTATTATATCGCACAAAGTTCTCAACGAAATGCCCACCGAGCACGACACCGAACATCCTACGACAAACCAACCTGACTCAAAGCAGAAGCAGCTGTCCGAACTGCTGAACGATAACTCCCAGGTATCCTCCCAGGAGTCTGCTACTAACGATGGGGTAGAAGCTGCCCCAAAGGGAATGGATAAGGCAGAGGGCGATGCTGCTCTCAAGGCCCGCCAGCGCCAAGAAAGGTTTAAGGCTCTTCAGGCTCGCGCAGTAAGCTATACAATGTAGTCCGTCTACGATATGCTAATTTACTGACGGGTGTTTAGAAAACGGCCGCAGAGCGCAATCTGAAGGAAACCGCCGCCGAAACACAACGTCTAGCAACCGATCCAGCATTGCTTTCGTCGATATCGCGCAAGCACGCTTTCGCATCGCACAACCTACTAAAAGCTGATACAGAGGCCGCAGGGGAAGATTTTGAACGTAAGCGTGCCTGGGACTGGACTATTGACGAGTCGGAAAAATGGGACAAGCGGATGGGAAAGAAACAACGCCACCGAGACGACGTTGCCTTTCAAGACTACACGCAAGACGCGCGCAAGGTATATAAGAGACAGTTGCGTGAATTGCAACCCGATCTGGAGAGTTATGAGCGGGGTAAGATGGCGGCCATTGAGAAAGCCGCAGCCAATGGCGACCTGGAAATTGTTGAAACCGCCGACGGCGAAATGATCGCTGTGGACAAGAACGGCACCTTCTATTCCACCGCGGATACCGTGGGATTCACAGAAAATAAGCCGGACCGGGCAGCTGTGGATAAGCTGGTGTCTGACTTGAGAAAGGCTGAAGAGGTTCGCCTCAAGAAGCGGAGAGACCGCCGCGGAGACGATGATGGTGACGTCACTTACATCAATGAGAAGAACAAGCAATTTAACCAGAAACTGGCTCGATTCTATAACAAGGTATGCAACCTTGAATCTTCATTTTGTCATCAAGATTAACCATGCCGCAGTATACAACAGAAATTCGGGATAGCTTCGAACGTGGTACTATGATCTGAGGTAGTAACCTTCTCTCACCAAATGCGCCTTTCTGGGATTCCCCAGCAGCGATGCCCAAGCATCTTGCGGCCAACTCACATTCCCTCACTGCAGACGTCTTTGTTGGAACTTATACCTTCGAGCTAGATCAATTCTACAGCAGCCCGGCCGCCCCGAAGCTAGTTTCTGCCAACTTGAGCACAAGACTGTGATGCCTATCATCCCGGATCTTTCTATCGCAGCAGAACAAGAGCACACTTTGCTTAAGCTTCAAGCAGAGCTCGTCCGAAAATGGCTGATGGATGGGTCTCGATTGAGCCTTTCCTATTTAATTACACTGGACCAGCAGCACGTCATTGCTCCATCTCCATATCAAAGCATTTTGCTTGCGGCCCTTTAAAGAGCTGCCTTCCGCTTAGGAAAACCTTACTGGTCACGTATAGCTGTTACTCGGCGTCTGGGACCTTACCTTCTTAAAATCAAGTACGTTTAGTGCACAGGGGGCTTTTTGTCGTTCTGTGGTTATCTTAGCAAATCTACTCAAGGAATCAGCTTAGCAGCAACATGCTAGCGTATCAAAGTAACGCCGAAATAATGCTTAAAGCATGCTTTTCCTCCAAGCCTTCGTTGCTAGTGCTTCGATCATTTGTACACCCAGGGCTCCGCGGACTGACTCGTCTTCGAGTGCCTCTACTACTGCCTCACCAACTTCGTCCACCTTGAGTGGCTTGGTCACCATAGAGCCAAGGAAATCAAGCTTGTTTCCCAGCAGAGCATTGACTTGGGAACCGACAAAGCCACCCAGGGCGATTGGCAAAGTGAACTTCCTGCTCTCATCGTACATGAAGGGTGCCTGCACGAACACGTTGCGTAGTTCTGGTAGCTGCGCCGCTATGATCGATTCCGCCTCCCTTTTGGTTGTTATATAGCGACTGGGAAGAACCGGTGCTCCTGACGCAGCAGAAATGTATACGAAGGTAGGGACACGCTCATGGCGCGTCTCCTGGGCGAGTGCGATAGCTATAATGTGGGCATATCACCGGTCAGCATCCTTTGACATATTGGCTTTCCGCATCGCCCGCACTGCATACTCACCAGAATCCCTATTCATGAGTTCGTATGTGAATTGTCTGCTGCGGTCCCTGGCCTCAAGTGGCTCCCCCTCCTCTCGTCTCTCCGGAAGATTCTGACTGCCAGGCCTTGATGCGCCGAAGACTTTTTGCAAGCCGTTGAAGATTGGCTCCCTTCCCTGCACCACACCTTTGTAATCCGCCTCGAGTAGTATACCCATGCTGTGGATAACGGCCGCGGCACCTTGCAAGAAGGGTTTGTATGTCTCGGGCTTGAGGATATCGGCTCTGGCCCACTCAACAGAGCTTGCCCAGCTCGGACGAATGGCCGAGCCTGTGACGGTATCCCATCGCGGTTCGCCCGAGCGACTATGTCGTTGAGGTTAGTGCACTGCGCACGACGAAACAACAATTTGTTCGCATCAATGAAACTGTGTACCTGAGCGAAGTAACAGACCAGCCCCTAGCGACGGCAGACTTGCAGATTCTCGAACCTATTCCAGAGAGATACTTCCTGTCAATTCTCTATTTGCGGGGTGCGACGTGCGACGCATACACACCCAGAAAGCCGTTACCCCCTGCGATTACCACCCGTTTAGCAGCCATTTTGTATAGGAAAAAGAAAAAGGAAGAGAAAGCGAGCGAGTAGAGAACAGCTTCACTCTAACATGGTCAATTGAATGTTCCAGAGACGATAGATCGATCGCTGGAGCAAGAATAGCTGCGGAGCTTCCGAGGAATCCTTATCGTATCACCACCCACTGCTGTCACGTGCAACGACAGAGTTCCGCGGTGGAATCGCAGCAGGAACATCTTCGCCTCTCTGTTACCTTTCAAACCAACTTTGTTCACCACTCCCAAATCGCCTAATTGCAAGTTCAAACATGCCTTCTGCAACGGGTACGAAGCGTGTGAGGGTAAATACTCATTCTCCAATGTACCAGATGGAGGCAAGGCAACCCGCTGACCACAGAATATCTTAGGGTATCTCCGTGTTTCGCCCTTTCAGTATGCCAACATCTTCCCTGGATCATTAATCTAGTCTCTTCTCCACATTCTGTTGGAGAGGCTCCTGCTAATACTTCCGAGTACAGTCTTTGGCAGCGAAGCACAACCTTTCGATCCCGCCAGGAAACCTCCCCACGTGCCCGCCGACCACACCCACCAATGGCGCGTCTTCGTTAAGGGAGTCAACGGTGAAGATATCTCCTACTGGCTCAAAAAGGTTCAGTTCAAACTACACGAGACGTATGCGCAGAATGTCCGAACAATCGAGCAACCCCCATTTGAAGTCACGGAAACCGGGTGGGGAGAATTCGAAATCCAAATCAAGCTCTATTTTGTGCCGGAATCCAACGAGAAGCCCCAGACGCTGTGGCATAGCCTGAAGCTTCATCCTTATGGCGATGATGCGGAAGGGAAGAAGGAGCGCCGGGAAGTGGTCATCAGCCAAAATTACGAGGAGGTGGTCTTCAACGAGCCGGTTGAGCAGTTCTACGAGCTCCTAACTGGAGGCCCTACAACGACGACACAGCCTCAGAAAGGGAAAGGGGGCAAGAACACCAAGCAGGCGCAGCAACAGAAAAATGGGAGGACGGCGGAGATCCCCCTCAACAAAACACCGGGCAACGAATACAGTAGAGCGGGCGAGGCCAGTGAAATGGATCGCCTGGCTGAAGCGAACAAGACCGTAGAGCAGTTGATCAAGCAGGAGAAAGAGAGGCTCATTGAACGCGAGAAGAGGCTCGCCGAGTTGCGTGCGAGCGAAGGTGTTCCCGCCATCACAAAGAAACGTTAACTGGTCTTGGAAATCGAATCATTTATGGCTTATGGCCCATGAATTGCTTCTCACCATCGGCCCAGGTGGTGGCCATTATCTTACCCCAGCATACTTCTAGCATCAGTGGGTGTTACTTGGAGAAGTGTTACTCCTCTAGCGTACGCCTGGCGCAGGAAGTAGCATGTGCGAGGCGAGCCAACGACAAGCTTCAGGGTCTATTCCTTCATAAACATAAGGAGAAAGAATGTCTTCAATGAAGACCCGCTTGAAACGAAGTCTTTTTCATCATCTCTAGGTGACTGACGAAACCGCCAGGCTAGGTTGCATTTCGTAGCACATCGTCAAAGCTGGTTTTTCTTTGATGATCTCTCACATTTTCGCCACTCTGTCTTGAGTCAGACATCGCGTCTATCGCCAACGCCGAGCTTCCATGCAAGGGACCCAATCTGTCTCTTATCACTACCCTCAATCGGAGCGTCTGACGAGGCAGAAGACAAGCCCACACTTGGTCCTTGCCAGACGATAACAGGATTTACTCAATCCCTGCAATATGTTACAGTGCATGATGTTAATACATATTTAGCCGTACATCTCATTGATTTGTGAATTAAGTATATCAAATTAGCCATGGCTCAAAGCCTGTTTCAGTCGACCGGGTATCTTGGCTCCAAGTGTAATTTCGAATGCCTTTTGGCGACCGCGACCTAAGTAGGCCTCACTCCAATTCCCGCTTCAGGCAGAAGAGTGGACGACAGAGACCGACGAATGAGGCTGTCATGCTCCTTGATCTATAGGCTGTAGATCCTGCAATTGTGAGGTGAATCACAGCAGTTGACATCTAGGCACATCTAGATTACCCGTCTCCAATTCTGTCCAATTGCCGGTGGGATATCACTATCCCAGCACTCAAGATGTTGGGTTCCTTTTCCCAACTTAACGGATTAGACCAGCTTCTCAGGCTCGCAGATAGCGATCCACCTTGCGTATATGCCGTTTCTTCGAGCTTTTGTTTATAAAGTGCAGGAAGGTCTGTTTTCATGAGGGCTGCGAAGCTTGCAAAGTGTTCCTCATGCATAGAATATCTTAGTCCGGCTCATTGCAAGGTTACGACTGGATCAATATTTGATCAAGCAGATCGAAAATCACCGACTCCCCCATCGCGAAGAAGCCATAGATCAAGTAAAGCAACTTCTGTCATAATATTGAACCCTTCAGTCAAGGCGTTATAGCGGACTTAGTTGCTTGGTATTGTTCCATCGTTTATATCAATAGGCGTACACAGACTGTTGGCAAGAATTTCTCATGTATCCCACGCTCACGTGCAAAGAGGCACTTCATGTAAAGTCGAGGTCAGGCATCGTGTGCAAAAGCAGTGGTTCGCTACATGTGGGATCGATGTAAGCTGAGAGCAGCCCAGGTGAAAATAGACTCTGGACGTCCGCGTCTCCTGAGCGCAAAGCACCCGGAATCCCAGGTGCAACGATCCAAGCACTACTGTCAACAGTTAAGGAGTTGCTGGTCGGAGGATCGGGGCGGGAAACCGAAGGTGCACTGCTGCTGATTTGCGGATAACGAGACTCAATCCAAGCTGTGAATGTTTCCGATGCTGCATTCCTAAGATAATGGTGGGCCCTGCTTGCAACTGGCCACTTGATCTTCAACGTTTTCAGGCAGCCAAGCACAAGTATAATGCGGTTACAGTGGTGATCCGAACACTCTGGTGGATGTATTCGACTGGTAGCTAGCTGCACCATGCCACATAACACAAGTCCGAACACGACAAATGGACTATATCTCTGCACGCTTGGTCGCACAGAAAGAAGGTTAGACAGTTGCTTAGATGCTTCTGTGGCTTTGATGTCGTGGACATGCCGGGTAAAGGATGGCGAGAGGCGAGTTGGAATTACCGGGCTAATCGGGACCCCTGTATCTGGCAGAGCAGGTCGCAGATTGCTTCTGGGCAGATGTAGAAGCATTGCAGCATAATGAATTGTTGTATGTGCCTGAAAAAGCATTTCGTCAATACTGCCATACATATCCACGATGTCCACTTTGCTTGCGGGGAGGTGATTTGTCCAGCTGACAAGCGCATTTTCTACGGCTTGTAGGTGATCTCGATGCGTCTCGGGTAAACTGTTGAGCACGATGACACGAGCTAAGATACACACAGCTTCGATACGATAACTGAAAGATGAATAATGGGAATGTTCAGTCTCTCTCTCATCATCGTCATCGTCATCTCCTGTGAAGATCCTTTTGTTGAACTCAGCAAGCGTTGGTGGAGTTGGGATGCTCGAATGACTGGCGTAGACCGATTCTTCGCAAGGCAGGGCAACGTCATAGGGAACACTACTGCATCTCAGAACGACCTTCTTCTGCAAAGCAGCCATATAAACGTCCACGGTGAAAAGCTCCCACCAAGTACGGCGCAGGCTCTCTGCTTCGACGTCTCCTTCGTCGCATGTAGTTGTCGCAAAATCTCGCCGGTACATCCCCAGCTCCAAAGCAATGTCGACCGCGGTGGAGAACGTGGCATGAGCTTGCGAGCATTCCTCACGTGCGCATAACAATATTGAATAGAGGAGGAGAGCTTGAACCTTGCACGAATTCCTCTCACCGCTAGTGCTCAATGCTGCCAGAGTCGATTTAGAAAGCGAAGTATTCGACTGCGGCAAAAAATGGCTTCCAACGAAGACGACAACTTCGTGCAAATACCAAGGATATTTGCGCTCCTCATACAGAGGAGCGGGGACCAAGATTGGGTGGGCGGCATGGAAGTTTTCGTAATAAAGCCGGACAAGGCGGGCGTCAGACTCGGTTCTATCTTGAACGTTCTGCGCTGTTTGGCTTGGAAGATCTTGCGGTCCAGAGGAGGAAGGCGATACTACCGTCGTATTGGTATTAGTCGCATGATGGGGAATGATAGTGCTTGGTGTAGGGAGATGCGAAGTCATCGACTGGTGGAGAAGCCGAGGATAGCTGGGCGTTGTCGTTACGGGCTGCTGGCGACCCGATTCCCGAGCCTTTCGTCTTCCCCCACGCCGTGATGGGAGATATAAGCAGTTGAAGCGGTTTTCAAGACAGCGAGAGCAAGATGGTGTCTTCGCGTCGCACTTTAGGTGTTGCTTGCGACATTCCGTGCAGGCAAGTGGTGCTGGACGGACCATGTTGAAAATACTCGATGTGAACAACGATCTTACTCAAATCCCAGTGCTCTCAAGCCACTGCAGGTGAGATTCGACGAGGGGTTACGAAAAAGGTCACAAACCCAATGCATTTTCGCTGAATTACAGAAGGAGAGGCGTACTTGAAGACAACTAAGCAAAGGCCGATGCTGAGCGGCGATTGAACCGATTGAAGGAAGCGATAACTACATTGCTTTCTGTATGACTCAGCAGGGATCATACATTCATAAATTCTAGTCTCCGGTAAGTTGTCGACTTCCGACTTCGTTCTTATCTCCCTGTTTAACTTATTGTCTGCCCTCTGCTACTGCTACTAACTTGATAGTTTAAGGTAAAGTTTATCTCATTAATCTAATTCGTTATATCTCATATTATTTGTATCACAACATAGTCCATTTGAGACAAAATTATCATGCTTGGTAGACATGACTTCTCCGGCCCGATTCTCGGTCATATATATTGTATCCGAAATCTGCTGCATTTGGAGGCGTATACACTAATAGTGTGGCCATTTAGTCAGAGCTCCTCACGGGTAGATGTAAGAGAAGTACATACAGTGAAGAGAGACAGCAAGTTGATTACTGTGAGGATTCATGACCCGGTGCAACCCAATCTGATCGCAAATATAGGCCACATCATTGGTGCCATACGTCGTATCTTGCTTCACTTTCAAAGGGGCATCTTGGCTCTGTTCGGGATCGGGAGTGTGATAGATTGCCTCGTTTAAATGGCCAGCGAGGATTTTCATGATGCAGTGAGCATTTGCATGATCATGGATGGGGGATCCTTTCTCTGGATTCCAGACCAGCACCAGCTACCTCAGTGGTCAACTAAGAAGATAGCGTCCCCAAAAATCAGGAACCACTTACCAGGTTCGCTTGTCCATTGATATTGGCGACCAGGTTGCGTGTATAATTCTTGCTCGAATCGTTCCGTGCAAACCGAGACCAGTCGCTTGGGTTGGAGGTATATTTGGACATAAAAGCCATGAGGACACGGTGGTCAACTTGATCGGCATCAATGCCCCGCGAGCTGCCCAGGTACATCCTCAAATCCTGAACCAATAGGTCGAAGGTATACTCCCCATGTTTCGGCGATGTGATGCTGTCCTTCGTGATAGGGGACGGTGTAAAGTTAGAAGCCAGCATAGTTGGAGACATGATACGGTCGGTGGTTGATAGCAGTCAATGTCTTGAGATGATATAGTATAGCTCAACGATTATCGAGCTTACTGTCAGAGTAAGATATTTAGCTTGAAAGCGTCAAGACGTGTTATTGCAATGAGAAGCAATCGTTGATAAAGCTGCTTATGATATAGCTAATACACGGGTCTACACAAACACAGTCGCCGATTGACCCCGACGGTCGGCGATTGATGATCCGGTCAGTGGAACCACTGACACATCAGCCACTGCAATCATTGACTCTCTCAAACGACAGCCGATAATAACCTGAGTAATAACTACTAGACCTCTCAACCCCTGAATGTGGATTACGCAGCCTCGTGTGGGATGTTGAGTACTGTCCATTCATGGTTGCTGATCTTAGCATGCCATAAAGCCGAAAATCACTTATCTTCGGCGGGATAGCGGATACAGTCCAGCGAAGACAAGCAGTATCCTAGGCTCAGAATGCTCTAGAAACTGATTACGTGCGGACAGATGCTGTGTTGGGCAGAAAGTCAGCATCGACACAGCTCGTGGTAGGCAGGCTGAATAGAAATTATGATCATTGCAGAAGGCTTGAGATCAATTCATGAAATGGCAGAAGATATAGTATACTGACGCTATGAATGAGGCGCTCACTCGGCCCCAAGCTGGCTTAGAAGGAGTACCAGCTGATATATGTGTCTAGAGCATAACGGTAACGATGATGAATGGACGTCCTGCGCGTGAGCAAAGAGCCTTTGCAAGCTAATAGGGACATCTCACACTACTGGTGGTTGAGTGTAAGAATTACCTCGCCTTTAGGGGCTTGAAACAATGGCATTCGACTTATCAGTTCCAAGGCAGATGCCTCCCACCCCCCTTCAAAATTCAAGAAATCATGGTCTACCAGGTAACCTATCTACGGGTCCCAGGATCATTGTACCCTCCGCAGCGGCTCGAAGCTGACTTCAGTCAGAATCATGTTATTGTCCTCCATACTACACCGCACAGAACTTGCGTGTCGGCCATTCGCTTGTCCACAAGATTGTCAATGCGCCTGAGGCGCTATGTATACGCGACGCCTTACCTGCTTGTGAAAGCTCACTGGATAGAATTTGCGGTGAACCTCGCCATATCGCCTTGAATGATGCGATGTAAAAGTCGCCGAACGAGGATGTGATTTCGATCGCCGACTATGTTGGCCCCTAACAGCCGTCTGCCGAGCTACGTGCAGGCATAATTCGAAGGTCCGGATCGTATTGCCCGTGAAATGATAGATACACTGTTGTGAAGGCTACTATTTTATGGACATGACTCTTGAATGGTATACTGCATAGGCAGCCATTTGCATCAGGGAATATGAGTTCTTGCGCATTCAGTTGGCAAGTATCGTAGATGACCCTTGTTTCCAACTTGTCTCTATGTAGCCTACTATTGCTGCAGTGGGGAATATGCTGTCTTCCTTCTATGGTACGTATGTACTCTGGCAGCTCGGGCTTCCCCGCATTCATTTAAGCTTCTGTTAATCATCCGTAGTTAAACAGCTTCTGGATCCCAGCCCACAACACCCACAATCATCATATAGGTATAGGCAGTACCCTAACGCATCATTTAGGAGATACATCCTCAGCTTATAACTTTTCTGGCCGTATGAATCTTTTCGAAGCTTAATCAGTGGTTGCGGTACTCATGTTCGAAAATGTAATGCCAGCTGCCGAAAATTTGGTCTGATGCTCATATTTCTACATGACCATTGCCAGCTCCTCTACACTTTCCCAATCACGCTAGAAATGGAACCCAATATCTCATTTGCGCAAGGCCCATAATCTTTTACCCTTTAAGCGAGCTTCATTGAATTGTATCGTTTGTTTGTAGAATTTGCAACGATGACGCATACTGATACACATCCCTTGGCTTATCAAATATAGGCTATACTCGCTGTCATGACACGACGCTCACATGGTGATAATAATGATGATTATCGAAGGTGATGATGAATACCACTGACAAAGAGGTAGGACCTCACTCTCCGCGCTATCATCAAGGCTCACCTATTTATTTGATCATGAATGCAGGGATAAGAGAGGTGCGCCCGTATCTTTGCCTCCCAGCGGATCTCGCCTGGCTTACCGGATTCGCTTCCGCTTCCGCTTCCGCGTCCACATCGTGTCCGTCCACACATGCAATTTACACGCACCTGCCGGCTGTCGGAGCAGGCTCGGGGCTGCATCCCTGTGACGCGATGGGCATGTTGATCAAGGATGTTAAGGTGCAGGTGAGTGACTTGACGTTGAAGCATGTGTTGAGTGACGTTGGATGGTCAATCGGGAATCTCTCTTTGAACCTTTTCGTAGTCATGTCCCTATGCACCGTGACCTCTCCGGCTGTTCTGTACGACTGTATTACACATGAAAGTTGGGATCATGAGTCTTATAGCATGTCTTTATTTGTGGTACGCAATCTATGTAGGAAGGAATACTGTAGCTTACGGGGCAGATGCCGACAACCATACTAGGATCGTCTGCATTCCAGGATCTCATAACGTTTTTATCCTTGTTTTATGCCTCCACAACAAGTTTCAATGGAGGGGAGGACAAGGGACTCGCTAGCTAGACTAGAAGGCTAGAGCCCATCATTTTAGCTGAAGAATAATACCAACTGATGCAATCACGGTACTCATGTGATCTGTATCATGACAAGTAGGTTTCTTGTAACACTCAGATAATGTACTGTACATCCAAGATAATATTGTTCTAATGCTCTAAACAAGTAGGTTCTACAGTTGGGCTTGCCTCTTGCTTCGCGATTGTCACAGTTAATCTGAATAGCAAGCTGCAGCTTTGGTTGTGTCTCGTGTTTGCTTCAAAAACGGAATCAGATCAGTTCCTCCAGTGCCGTGGACACCGTTAGTGACCCCTTGTCCATTCCAGCTCTCCATGCGGATGGATGTGCTAGTCGCCAGGTTGATCTGCGACGAAGTCTCTTTTGGGGGTGTCGACCGTGCAGGTCCAATAATGTATCGTGTAACCATCTTGACGTGTTTGTCGCGGAATCGTCCCAGTGACATCACGGCTCCGTTGTATGCATCCCGGACAGGCGAGCCAGCCTTGTAGCTCAGGGCGTATGAGCGAACGTTGGCTGTCTGGACCATCATTTCGAGGAAGCGACGATGAGGGCCTGGCATGTAGTTACGCATGTACTATTTCCAAGGTATCAGCATCAGCGCCACTTGAAATCTTCAAGTATTTCGAAGCTTCATACATACCTCGATAAAACCGGTCTTTGAAGCAACTGGGGGTTTCCCGTCGGAGCTTTTTGCTTCTCCCGTGGCATGATGTACCACACCGAGAAATATATCAAACGTTTGTATCAAAGAGCTCTGTGCATTGCTGCCGCCACTGTGCTGACGCCATTCACCTTTGCCGTCTCCCATGTCGTAAAAGACACCCCTGGGCAGTCCAGCAACTGCCATATTCTTGCTACCTGCTAGGAAGGGACGTAATTGATGATAGAACACTGTTGGCTGACAGTGCTCATACATCCTCTCCAGAAGCTCGCCGAGCTCTACAAGGCCATCACTCAGCTGGTCAAGATGTGCTCTGACCAACACAGCATCATCCACACTGACTGCCTGAATGGCATTGGTCATAAGCGGTATCAGTTGTGCCCCTTTGGCCTCGAGTGCCACCGAAAGCATGAAGAACCACTCTTCGTCTTTGGTTCCGGTGAAAGAGTTGACGACAGCCAAGTTGTCGGGATTGGTTAGGTCGGTATGACCTTGTGAGATCTTGAAATTCCACAAGTTGAGAGCTGCGTACGTTGCACAAGGTGGGAGTTCTAGATGTTTCGACACCTCGACGAAGGGCCGTGAAATACAGGGTGGTAGCACCTAGAATCCATAACAAACAATCAGTAACAAGTCCTATCCGAATATCTGGCTGGTATAGCTAAAAGGTAAAGCTTTTTACCTCACTGGGTTTATCTCCTCCCCAAATGTAGGCGTGAGTGAGGTAAGCGAGTACAACGTATGCTCTCCTCCATTCCGGCTCGGACCCTAGTCTGCTTGTACTGAGGACTGGCATCTTCTCTACCGCATGTCTTATCACTCTCCGTTCGATTTGAGATGGCAGGTCGGCAACGATGTTCTCCCATGGCAGATAATATGGGTCAGATAGTTGCTGTAGAGGAGAAATGTCGGGAAGGAAACCATTTTGGAGGGAAAGAGAGTATTTCTCTAAGCAGATGCCTGGTATGTTCAACATAATGAGATAAGCGAGGTGAGCTGAAAGGCTGTGATACCCAGATGTATGTTCTCAAGGCGAATGGGATGTGCAGCAATGGGAATTATATAGTAGTATCGCGAGAGTGATGGCTGCAGTACCGGGGCCGGAGCGGGTTATAATAGATTTCTTAAGATGTTGTGACACTGTTATCGTACTACCAGCCAGTGACTATCAATGGCCTGCAGGACATGTACTGACTGTACCACTCATGTCGTTAGTGGAGATGAGATCCAGGACCGGAAGTCCAACGCCTGAATTATAATTTCATGCTTTATTAGGTATCTAAAAAACACGGATCAGGAGGCGGAAGCGGAACGGCATCCGGTCCGGGTCTAACCAGCCGCTTTCGATGACAACGCTTAGTGATAACTTATAAATAAGTGATGTCAAGATTGTTACTGAATGCCAATTTCAGATCTACTATTGACCTTACCCTCTCTATTTGCTACTCGCTGTGAATACCACCATGTCCAAGCCTGTCTTCACGGAGGAGGCTGCAACGCCCGAGTTCGCAGCTCAGCTTGACGCACAAGATCGTCTAGCGGCATTCAGGGACAAATTCATCATTCCATCCAAGGCGAACATTGCTTCCAAGAAGCTTGCTAAGCCCGGTACGTATTGGGTATTGTCAATCATTCTCTATTGAACGTGGTATCTAATGGTGTGGCAGGACTCTCCGCCGAGCCCTGCATTTACTTCTGCGGGAACTCGCTTGGTATCCAACCCAAAGCAACCGTCCACTTTGTCGAAGCACAGCTCGATACCTGGGCATCAATTGGCGTTGGCGGTCATTTTACAGACCTTGAGGATTCCCCTTTGAAACAATGGCAGCTACTTTCCGAACAAGCTGCTGCTTCCATGAGCAGGATTGTCGGAGCCAAACCAGAGGAAGTAGCAGCCATGGGAACGCTGACGACAAACCTGCACCTCCTCTTAGCTAGCTTCTACACACCTACCACAACAAGGCATAAAATCATCCTGGACTGGAAGGCATTCCCCAGTGATCACGTACGCAAAAAGTCTTCTGGTGGAAACACTTCGCTTAACCCGGACTAACTGGCATAGTACGCGATCGAATCTCAAATTGCTTGGCACGGTCTGGACCCGCAACAGTCTATGGTGCTGATCGGTCCTGAAGAGGGCGAATATGAGATCTCTACTGAGAGAATCATGTCTATCATCGACGAACATGCCGACGAAGCTGCTGTCCTTCTTCTCCCAGGTATTCAATACTATACTGGGCAGTTCTTTGACATCAAGAAGATTACTCATTACGCACACTCGCGTAATCTTATCGTTGGATGGGATCTCGCTCATGCGTATGCGAATTTGGAATTGAAGCTACATGAGTGGAATGTTGATTTTGCGGCGTGGTGCACGTACAAATATGGAAATGCGGGCCCTGGTGCGATGGGAGGGCTTTTCGTGCACGAGAAACACGGCCAAGTCGACTACAGTGGAGGAGAAGACTCCCCCAAGTTTCGTCATCGCTTGACTGGATGGTATGGCGGCGACCGATCAGTGAGATTCAAGATGGACAACAGTAAGTTCCATTGATTCACTTGAATTCACACATTGTCAGTCAGAGCACCGGGAATTGACGATTGCTCCATAGAATTCAAGCCCATTCCTGGTGCTGGAGGATTCCAGATCTCCAATCCCTCGGCCATTGATCTTGCAGCTCTTTGCGCTGCCCTATCCGTCTTTGACGGCACATCAATGGCAGAGCTCCGCCAGAAATCGATACGGTTGACCGCGTACCTTGAGTACCTATTGACAAAGGACTATGACGACGAGTCGAGACCGTTCCGCATCATAACTCCGAACAATCATGAGGCCAGGGGAGCCCAGCTCAGCTTACTGCTCAGGCCCGGACTGCTGCAGAATGTATCTCAGAGGCTGCAAGAAGCCGGGATTGTCTGCGACAAACGGGAGCCAGACGTAGTGCGTGTAGCACCCGTTCCACTGTACAACACTTTCAGTGAGGTTTGGTCATTTGTCCAGGTCTTTAGAGAGGCATTGAAAGCTTGAGCCGGGAAAGTGATGAGTAAGATTAGACTGAGGCAGGGTTGGATGTACAGTTTTGACGATAATGTATATAAGTTCATGACTACAATTTTATCACAGCCTTCCTTCAGTTCAGCCCTTTAGTGGTTCGTGAGCTTGACACCAAAGATGCTGCTTTGTTCCGCATCGGCGAACAATAACGAGCCTATTTTTTTTTCTCTTTTTTGTGACCATATTCATAAAAGCATAAACGTCCGTAGCATTGGACTAGCTATCAAAGATGACCAAAACCGTCTCTGCTATCAACTCTTGGTAGGAAGTCTTGAGCTTGGGAGAAGAAATTGGCGGCCAAGATTGAGAATTCGTCATTCATTGGGTCCGGTGACCGAGGCGAGCTCATAGACCCCATTGGACATTGTTCACCAGTCAGGAGTGAAGTAGGAACATTGCGTTGCGAGCCCGGTGATGAGGCTGACGTGTGATGAGACTGTAAGCGGAATGGTTCAGGCAGAGGTGAGGTTTGCGATACTTCAGCCGCAATTGCAGGTGGCTCGGAGTACAGAGAGTCCCCAAACATACGGCGAGCTGAGTCGGTGTCACTGTTGGAAGAATATTCGAGGATCTCCCAAAAGCGGGATAGATCTATGAGAAGGTACTTGTTCAGTAAGCCTGACGCTGGCTGATAGGATGCAGACACAGCATCCTCCAACTTTTGTAGTCTATCCGCCTGGTCACACATGTTAAATCAGCTCAAAGCCACGGAAAACAGGGGTTGGGTGTTTCTGCTCACCAATCGTGCCATGTGAGGCCATTTTTGTCCCAGTCTCTGCACAAATCTAACACACCTGTAGAAACGGTCTCGCTTCTCATCTCGAATAGCAGCATTTTCGGTGAAGCTGAGTTGTAGTTCAATTGTAGCTACCACAGCAGCGCTGTAGCCCAGAAACGGGTCCGAGATCGTGTAACACCGCTCTTCGAAAAAGTTGATGAAATGTATAATCCATGTCGTATGCGATGAAATGAGATCCGAGCTATGCTGTAAGAATATCTCCGGAATGGTGCTTCTAAAGTTCCTGAGACTGAGGGAAAGAAGAAGCGGGTGATTGACCAAGCACAATATAGTGTGATACAGGAATTGGTTTAACAGCCATGGGCCCCAGTAATCTCTTCTGGTTTGAAGGTCTTCTGATGTTCTTTCATTAAGGCTAGCTGGCTTGAATCTGTGGATGTATGGCATCTGAGTCTCAAGGTCCATCTGAGCAGCCAAAATCTTCGAGTAATCTGATTCTGATGACCAAGGAGGCAAGTTTCCCGGCTTTCCGTGACGCCGGACATATTTGGCAGTTTTTGCAAAAACACCACTGAGCATAATCATGTACGCAAGGATACCCTGATCATGCATGCCTGATGATCGAGTCTCATCGACTGCATCACCTACTGAGTCAGGCGGCGGAGGCCTACTTGGACTTTCAGGGAAAGGGGGGAAATTCCCTTCGGGAAAATCCAAATTTTCAACGTCAACACCGTGAAGACGTTTCAGCAGACAGATACTCCAGAAGCAACGCCTACGTTCTTCAAGTGATGAGAGTTGTGACGAGTGCGATTCCGAGGCAAGATTAGCACACTGCGCCAAGTTCATTGCTAAGCTACAATGAATACTTGAGCGATGTGTATTCCCATCTGATCCGGTTGATTAACATTTGCGTGCACTAGATTTGGACGTATCCTTACTGGTAAAGTCAACTAAACTGAGTAGACACAAGCTCTGGAGAGTGGAAAGTTCGACTGGTCCTTCCGAAACCCTTTTCATGACCAAGCTCCTTGCAACTTCCGTATAACCATTTATGAGAGACGGAAGTTCATCAGGACTAGAGGCTTCATCGTTCGAGAATCTGACGCTCAAGGCCAGGATGGCATAGATTAGCTCTGGGTCACGGGTTGGTAAACTGTGCAAGAAGCTGTGCCTGTGAAATAACGGAAGAGGTTGACCATCGCAATATAGAAGATACAACTCTGCTATCGACAATACCTTCTCCCATCTGGGTAGTGGTGTAAAGGTATTCAATGATGATGTATTCAACACGCTGGCCAAAGGAGATGGTCTGGCTGATGCCTCTTTCTCCTGAAGTTGATTCGATGTGTTACGTCTGGCGGGCAAGTATCAGACAATCGTGCAATGGCACCCAAAAACAAGAGGCTCACCTCAGAGCGTCAAGAAGCTCGTTCATCTTAGCTTCGCAGTTTCCCAGGCGATCTTCCTAGAAAGAACCAAGTCAGATTTAGACCTTCCGCAAAATATTATTTCATTGGGTTTACCAATATTCGGGTAATTCTAGACTCCGAGGTGGAAAGCCCAGAGGCTAAGTCTCCTGAAGAACTGAGACCATTCGTCAATGGTCTTCGGTGCTCAGCTGCATAGGCACATGTCTGACCTAATCGCGCGCATAAAGAGCAAGTCGGCTGTTCCCCAGGACATTTTGCCTTTTTCCGCCTATAAATGACCAGTCACCATCTTATCAGAGATCACGATGCCGGACAGCTATTCCGGCTTACCTGCACGGTTCACAAGCCTGCCGCACTCGCTTAGCGGGCCGTTCAGAAGTAGCGGACTCAAGATCCATGTTAGTGCGATATCTGTGTTAACAGTGTCCACAACCTTTCGCCCAGGTCGAAGCCGCAATTGTGTTGACAAGGAGGCTGGCTCTGTATTGGACAACAGCTCCCCGTAGTTGTTGGGTGGCCTAATATCACAGGAAGTTCAATCTACTGTGGTGTCTCTTTGAGAATCATGAACAAGGAATGTGTGTCGCTCACATCTATCAAGAACCGCCTTGGATGTATTGAAGATGTCATTCAGATGGGAATAGCAACTCTGTATATCGATGGCTGTGTCTTTTGGGCGACATCAACAGCGACATGGATCATTGAGCTTGCGAAGGGACATATTGCTTCGCTTCAGTCGGGACGAACCGTGTTGGTTGATGACTAATACGCAACTTAATTGACTAAGACACCTAGTGATGAAGACTTTAGAGTTATAATTAGTTAGTTAAGGAGTAAATCATCGATGACCAGAGATTACACCCCATGGAAACACAGAACTCCATTGGACATATGTTAATCGAATCAAGGCCCTGAGGCGTAAGCCGGTGAGAGAAAGAGGTCTTACTAGTTCTTATCAGTCACGATTCTACATATATATCAATTCAGTATGATTGAGAACTTGAAGATGTGAGAAGTTCTTCTGTAACAAAGGACTGCCCAGACTTGCTTCAGAGGATGATGCTAGATCCCAAGTGGTGCGAGATGCTGATTTGGCAGCTGGCGAATCTCGTCGAACAATGATTGCTGAACAATGACACATTTCATGCTTAAGGTTTCGGTCTACAGAAACCCAGAAGCTTCCCGTGCCCCAAGTACACGTCTAATTCACAAGTCACGTCGCACGAGCCACGAGTGGTGTGGATGTTCGAGTCAGAACAGGATAGTCGAGGAAAGGTTTCACACATTGACGCCCTAGCTTAACTTATGTACAACGTCGATAATCCCAGTCTTCCTCTCAATTATCCCAGTACAATATCCCGGACGCATCGCCAAACCGGGTCAAGGAATGTCAATCGAGAGACGCTGCTGGTGCCAGTTTGTCAAGGTACGAGTCGTTTACTCCTTACCGAACCAGGTCTTGTGGCCCTGTCATGCAGGTTAGTGACCGTCGCCAACCGGAGCAGATGGTAAAGATGCAATGTCAATGTGGGTAGCACTTACAAAGACCATGCGACCCATGGCATAGGTGGTAGCTGAAGCCACGTTAGTATGACTATCTTGATAGCGTAGAAGCCGAAGGCTTGCTTACCAATGCCGAGACCGTAGACGGAGATGAGGTAGGGGTACATGACGTAGTTGCTGCGCTCGGTCTACATTGAATCACAGCGGTGGTGAGTGGTGAGATCTTCCATGCCATTATATCGGCTTTCCAGATCAACTGACCTTGTACCACTGACGCTTGCCGTCATGCTTCTGGAAAAGACGCTGGTAATAGGGGACACGGTTCTCACGGAACACGAACCTAGGATGAGATTAGCATATATCAGTGCACTGGAAATCAATTGGGCCATGACTAGCAGCCGCAGTCCGGTCAATGGTGTGCAGGCCAAGCTGACGAACGAGTTATGAATCAGGAGCGCAGAAGCTGTGCAAGAGCATAAAACATGAGAACAAGTGGCAGAAGCTTACCCAGCCATGCGAGGTGCGGTGCGGAACATTTTGAAGGTTGCGCAAGTGCGAAACAATGAGGTTTACTAGAGAATAGAGACAAGAATGGCAGCTGGAAGATTGGCAGTAACAACGATCAGTCGATGTCGTGAAATGTGGACCCGAACATCACGGTAATCACGTGGTATCCCTCGCACTTCCGCCTTTAGGATGCAAGGCTTAATAACCACTCTCACGTGATGGCAGAACTCCAGGGCTAACTGATATAGGTATAGTTGGATAGAATAGTCCTGCTATGGTCCCAGAAAAGTAGTTTCCGCGGCCTCCAGGGCGTGCAAAGCAGATGAGCTCCATCACAATCAAACCTCACATTTGATGATATCTCACAGACCTTCAGGGACCGAATGAGGAGGATGGTCAGATCTATCGTTCCCCTGTTGTCTTTCTCGTCTCAAGACTCATGCGCCCGGCTCTTCTTCGATTACTGAAGAGGCCGTCAGCTCTTTCGGTTCTCGACTCCCTGATCTCAGCGCCCGCCGGAGTGGAACAATTGGAGCTTAGACGCGATCAAAGATGCCTGCGATGTTTTTCAAGAAGTGCTCGACAAAAGCAGCCCACTTATACTGTCCATCCAGAAAATACCGCTTCCAGCGAATATCCCTCTCAGTCAACAAGGCGAACACCGAGCTTCCGAATCCACAATATCAAAGCTCCGAAGACGCAAGCAGAGCACTGCGTTGAATCTGGTGAACAACAGGTTGCTGCGAATAAGGGTCTATCGCTATTTCGAATACAAACAGAAAAGCTAGAATTCGAGTCGGATATTGGGCATACACGCGACATTGGAACTCGTCTCGTGGACGACCCGCTTTATCGGAATGATTTCGATCTTTGGGTTGAGCTATTACGCTATCGTCAGCGGCACTATGGAGATCTAGGAACAATGGTCATTTGGGAGGCTCTGACAGATCGCTTGGACGATGTGCAACTCCCGGTGGATGGAGACGTGGCCGAATTTCTCTGGCAAAGCTTTATCAACGTCGGTTTCAAGCGAAATGTCGTGATGGCTGAGCTGGCTGAGTATGCACGTGAACTTTGGGATAGAAGCGGGAAACGGTGGCCCAAATTCTACGAAAGCGTCGTTGGCGGTTTCATCGAACGCGGGATGATCCATGAGGCTGAGGCATGGCACCGAAAACTTCGAGATCCGCACCTCGCATGTCCGAATGACATCCTGCGCGTTCTCAGACCGGGGATCCCTGTTCAACAGTCTACTCGTGCAGCAGCTGGTCTGAAAAGCCCTGACGCTCAGGGCTTTCTACCCAGCCTATCGGCGTTTCGCAATGTTTGCCGGTCGATACAAGGTCACCAGATCTATGTTCCCACAATATCTGCCCTGCTTCAGCATGGTCTTCCTGCACAAGAAATGGTACTTATGCACTTATTCTTGGTCGGCAAAGGCGACCATCCCCGGTCCTACAGAGAAATAGAGCCATTGATTCACAGTGCCGAAAAGCGTGGTCTACAATCATTTCGGCAGAAGCTAAGGGCCTATGTCAATAGTCGATTTCCCGGTGAGACTGAGAAAGTTGAGATCAAAGACTCCGAGATCGAGGACTCTCAACAGTGTTATTCCCTACCGGCAACTACAAACGGAAGAGATCTTTTGCATGAAGAGAAACCCGTCAAGGACGAAATTGGCGCACGCATCTTTGCTACGGACGCGCTGAAATTTGAGCTCATTCTCTCCGGGCTGAAGATGTTTGGCGCTACCTCGATTGGGCCGCAGTCTCTACGAGAATTAGCATTAAGAGCGCATGGCAGCCGTGATATATTGGAGAAACTCCGACTTCTACAGGAAGCCGGTGTTTCCATCGGAGACTCAGTTTTCTCTCGCCTTGTCCGCAAACTGGCTACGGAAAATCGGGGTATTGTTTTGGCAGACTTACTCCGAAGTGACCAGCATCCTGACGTGCTCGAAGATGCGCGTATCCAAGAATCACTATTATTGGCTTACTACCTTAGTCATGACTGGCGGCTCTACAATTTGACCCTGGTTATCCTAGGCGAGATAGTCGATGAAGGTTCTGATATGTTCAATATTCATTTTCGGAAACACATGGCCGCTGGTGAGTGGGCTTTGGCGTCAAAAGTGGTCGATGAATTAGCTTTACGTGGAAAGCCCCTCACAACAAGAAGCATCGACTTTATGATCAGACATGCTTTGACGCCACGACGGCCTGGGAATGGACCGGTGCGAACTTCAGATCGGTCACCAAAAACCGAGGTTCTGTTCGTCTTGCGTGTGCTACAGCGCATCATCCCCTTGGGTGCGATCGTAAGTTCCAGGCTCTGGATTGAGCTAATCAAAAGATTGGGCCAGACAGATTGCTGGATTGAACTCCGGAGGTGTTGCCTTTGGCTGGCTAATCAATACTCTCCCTCCGTGCCGCAGAAGAACACACCTATGGACATCGTATCATCAACCAGTGCAGCACAAACTGGCCTTGCTCCTTCAAACTCGGGACAAGATCCTCACATTCTCCGGACAATATTCAACCGTCAGCTCCAAGAAGCCCTCGTACATTGGGGGTTCCGAAAGCGAGTCTCCTCAAAATTCTATCGCTGCAACCCAAACCAATTGATTCCATGGGTAAGGGGTCTCGCCCTTCTACGTGAATTGGAGCGCAGCGGGGTTGATCTTCAGACAAGCTGCATCAGGCGCGCGTGTCGGCACCGACTCGCTATTGTCTTTGGACGGAATCGACGGTCTAGCCGCCCTATGAATCGCATGTTGCGACGAGAAAATCCTTATTCTCTGGAGAAGGTATTTGGCGACATCAGCCGTGTCTGGGGGGTGCCATCATTGTTCGGGGGCCGAGAGTACATCGATGTATTTCGACTCATTAATCCACCGAGCTCCAAGATGTCGTACCGCAGGACACGTAAAACCCTCTGGCGGGAGAGAACACTGCGGGGACCGGCTTTCATCCAAAGCCGATCATAATGTACAGTACATATAGAATCATATAGATCAAGATACATCGCTTTCATGCCTGAACCAAGCCCGAAACCTGGCTAGCCTGAAGGGCGAAGGAAAGGCCGGTGGTTGTGGCATTGTTGGCACGTGAAACGGGCAACGTAAGAGCCAAACAAACCCGACAAACAGAGAAACAGATGATGCGGGTTGATGGCGCGTCCAACCGGGCTGAGCAACTGTTTGTGCTAAGAATAGGCGGCCACCCTTTCCATTCATCTCCATCTGCCCTTCACATCCCAACTGCTGGATGGCTTGGCTAGACCTTCTGGCCCACTATCAATAAGCTGATCAACACAAGATTTCAAACTCTCTCAACCGTGCACTTGTCTTTTCTTGGTCAACTCAGCCATTTACCAACTTCCCCCCCTCTCCCCACCCCCCTGTTGTACGAAGAGCTTGCTCATGATTCCTCTTTTCCCTAACCAGTCAATCAATAAATACATGCAACCCTCTGACATTGTTATCCTGCGAGTGGGGTTATTGTTTCCTCTTGCTGCATCATCCCTATACATAATTATCCACTCTCATTTTTGAAATTGGATTGTGATCTGTGTGTCTGACGATCAAGAAGTTCACCTCATCATTCCAAATTATTTTTCCTCAGACGAGCGAGCCCATAGTCTCGGTGCACTTGCGCTTCTCGTAAAACATCCGCGGCATTGCTCAGCATATTTCGCTTTTGGGTTTACATACCATATTACTCAAGGGAAAGTCTTGAATCTGTGTATAATCTGCACACATCCCCCATGCGAGGACTGGGAATTTTGGCGCTTGCCCCTTTGGCAGCTGCAAAAGCCCTGCATATCCGGCAAACAGCATGCAACAACTCGCCATCTTTATGCTCCAAATCCTATGGTGAGATTACTCATCTAGGTGCACATGATAGTCCGTTCCTCCGAGACTCATCAACTGATTATTCGACCTTTGGAGACCAGTCAGTTGAATCAGAGTCCCAGTCATTAAGCTTGTGGCGGACTGACTGGCTTGCAGATACTATAATACAACACTACAACTCGAGGCGGGTGTACGTCTCGTAACGGCGCAAGTGCATAAGTCAGATTCGGAGTGGCACTTGTGCCATACCAACTGTGATTATCTCGATGCAGGCAAGTTGAGCACATGGTTATCAGAAATCAAAACTTGGCTAGACTCGAACCCCAATGATGGTATGTTTGGTGGTTTCCGATGAAGTACACTGTTTGAGCCAATGACGCAGAAGAACTGATTATTTTGTGGTATTATAGTCGTCACGGTCCTGCTGGTGAATTCTGACGACGCAACAGCATCAGATCTTCATTCAGAGTATGAAACAGCCGGTATTGGGAATTACACCTACACTCCTACCTCACAGACTTCCGCTCCCAGCTCGTGGCCAACGCTGCAGGAGCTTATCAACAACGGTACTCGGCTGATATCATTTGTGGCATCGCTGGATGCCTCGAATAATACGGTGGCTCCTTACCTTATGGATGAATTCACTTATCTCTGGGAGAATCCTTATGATGTGACGTCGGCGTCGAATTTCTCTTGCACGCCTGATCGCCCCACAACCGTCAAGAATGACCTGTCTGCTGCGCTCTCCTCCAACCGGCTACCTTTCATGAACCACTTTCTCTATCAGACCACTATTCTAGACATCGAGTACCCGAATGTTAGCTATGTGGGCACGACTAACGCCCCGTCAGGCGGCACAGGCAACCTCGGCGATACTGCGAAGAAGTGTAAGAGTGCTTACAATGGCCGTCAGCCGACTTTCATCCTGGTAGACTTCTTCAACAAAGGACCGGCGATTACGACCGTGGACAGCTTAAACAACGTCACCGATGCCACAGGACGCGCCAACCTTACATCAACCACACAAACGAGCTCTGCCTCCACCTATTCAAACGTGTTCAAAGGATTGGTCGAAGTGGTCCAAAAGGCAATGGACGGAGCAAATCCAAGCATGGGGGAATGGATCTGGGCTGGTGGTGACTGGGGCAGCCTGTTGGGTGGCGGGATCACCCTTTGAGCCTCGCTTGCTACTCCTTCGCCTTTGCCTTCCTCGTCGTTCCTACTCATCTCTAAGTCTTATAATTTAGCGGCACGTCAAAGATGAGTGTTGACAGGCATGAACACAAGCTTAGTGCCTTTTCATGGTTCTTTCCTTGGGATAATCCCCTGACACTCATTTGCTTCATGACTGGCATGTAACTATGCATCAAGCCGGCGTTTCTATGGTGACTTTTGACTCGCAATCGCTGTATCTATGTATATGAAATTACCCCTTGTTCATTTGTCTATTAGCTGTCTTCCATGCCCAGAGGGGCGTTGGCAACATGCCACTTGGGGATCGGATTTTCTAGTTGCACAGCAAAAGCACTCGACGACATGGAGCTCACTGCTTCCCTAGCAGGGAACGAACCTTGTTGACCTTGTCCTCGAAAGACTGCTCTTTATCGGTCCTACAGTGCGGAAATGTGATATATCAGCCTCTTTGACTCCATTGAAGGTCTCCGTTTGCCCCAGCACCCGTAGTCGCGAAGTCCGACCCCATGGACGCGGGAGATGGTCGTAGACAAGAAGAGGCGGGACAGGGCAGCAGAGAGGGGGGCAGTGTCTACCTTGACCCAACTCGAATATCGGTCTGGATTCGCACGATCCCTTGCTGGTGGAGGATCGTGTGCGCCTGGCCGATTACATGATGAACTTCATCCCAGGGACCCTCTGTGATGCCATGAACCCCGCAAAAGAGGAGCAAAGGGGGGTTCTCCAGTCAGCCAAGAACGTCAACCCATGCACGAGTTGTAGGTTGGGGGAGGGAGGAGGAAGGATTTCGGGGGCCGAATTTGCTCACCAAGGGTTGTTCCAGCGGAGTGCATGACGAACTTGAGGCCCGATTTTTCAACTAGACGCTGGACGTCGGCGATCTGGGCAGACACGGATGGAGATGAGGTGCCAATCTGCGCAAGCAGTCAGTGCATTCGCAACCCAATCAATAAAGCCTATTGCTTGAGTTCTAGCTAAGTCCAGCAAATGTAAGGTTGGCAAGAAAATTCTGGGATGGAGTGGGATGGATGGATGGGAATATGGATGTATGGACCAGTCGTGGCCATCCCGCCCTCAGGATTGAGGTATATGGTTGGAAACAGTGAATGGAGATAGACACGGGCACTGTTTTGCGAGTACTAATCTGTGCACGATGACGGAATTTGGGCCGCTTGATTGGGGTATAATTTACACGCCAGCATGGTTGCAGAGATTGAGTTATGACCTGTTTGCACTCACAGGAATCAAGCAGAAGTCCGCTGTGCAATGCGGAGGAGTTGGGATGGACCTGATATCGTCCATTTTGGTTTGATATCAATCACGGTATCATCTCGCGGAATGCAATGAGCTGCACGTAGGCGAAAGGAGTTTCAGGAAGCCTCTTCTTTTCCCCCAAGGTGATTATGGACGATAGTGAGTCGGTTCTAATGAGGGGTAGTGATCTCTTGCTGTTCCGTCCCTCGGCGCGGGGCCGAACAGCGGTGGGGGCAATGGAGGGGGAACACAAAAGTTAACTACTCTTCTTTCCTTATCCTTTACCAACAGTGCGTTCTTCACGACATGGCAATCTCCGATAATAAATGGTCAATCTGAAAGTCCAATAGATTCCAGCCATGAACGTAATACAGTACTGTACATAATGACTTGCATACCACGGACTGGCAGCACCTGCCAATGCACTGGTCCTTGGGTTAGTTATTATTGCGTAAAACATTTCCGAATCCTAAATAGGAATCAAAACGGGAGTCAAAACTATTACGAGTAACGAGTACATATTTTCCAAAGAGCAAATGCGCTCTGTGATCGGTCCGCACGTCTCTATCGACTACTACTCGGCTACTCCGCCCAATAGATCAATAAAAAAGGCCCGGGTCTCTGAGGTATATTGCTTGCATGAGTTGCCAGATTTAGCAGACTTCGTGACATCGTCGACTTATCTCCTGGATACGAATCACCTGCCATCCTCCTTTGACCGCCTTGTTACGTGTTGTTGTACAGCATCCAAGGCACCACAGATTCGATACCGACGTCTGTATGCCCGATGCCCTGCGCTCAGCTGGTCTTGCCGGAGCTGTAGTCGTCTAAAGCCTCCTTAGAACTTTAGTAGTAGTTGCTTCTAGCATACTCCAAAGTATTGGTGATTTTGCTCAACTCCTGTCTGGTGTCAGCGGGTTCCGCCCTCCTTTTGAGGGATCAGGACTGACCAAGGTTTCGCAAATTTAGTGGACAACAAGTTTCAAACCCCACGGTGGCTGATACTCTTCAGATCCCTGCACCAAACTCAGGTCCTAGTCCTACAAAGTAATTGCCTTTGCACCGAAGGCGCCCGGGCTTGGGGATTCTCTGTCAACACTTAGGGTACCATTCCTCGTCGGACGACTTCACGGGCAGAGGCTGACTTCCAAGGCAAGATCACCTGAGCCAAGTTTGCAGCAATCAGATATCTTTCTATTTCAGCAGCTTATTCTCTATCGGCTGCAAATCAGTGGCCGGCTGTAGCGAGGCTTAGTATCAACACCAGGCCGTGAAAGGCTGGAGAACCGCGATTCTTGCGTTCCTAGATCAGCTACTCCTGTCTATCCACGTTATTTGACTTGCTGTTGCACTTGTACAACAGGGCTGTGGAAATATTGGTCCATTTTGAGGAAGCTGCATTTGCGTCAATCGCAGCCTACTCATTTCTATCCATTTGGAATACTGCCAATTCTCGCCTGCGCCTACCTAGCGCGGTTTCCTCCTTGGATGAACTGCATCGGCCACGTGACCGTATACATCACGCCGCAAATCATTCACTCCCTTCTCGATCCCTATTAATCAAATATAGGGTGTTGGGAACCCCTGAGGTACTCCTTCGTTTGTTTTGGACATGGTCTTCTTGTCTAATCAATATCAAGGACCGCAAGCTCGTTGATCCTCCAACGAATGACAACGCCTATGAAGCTCGAGCTCCCGGTAGGGGCTGAGCTCGTCTATCTTGCTGAAGGAGGCGCCAATGTCATCTATCGCATCCTCCTTCCCACCAAAATGCCTGCGAGTCAAATTCACCGGGATGTGTCGGTGACTGTATCTTCCAACCTACCGTCAGATGCCACGAAATGCTATAGTATACCTCCCACTTTCAAAAGAAAGCTGCTTCGTCTCCGGAAAGACACAAGCGCTGGAATTCCTTACCAAGAAATAGCACGGAATTTTGATCGCTGCATTCGGCCTCTTTTTGAGCCCGATGAGCTCGTTGATCAGGAGCTCGTTTATCTTCCCAGAGGGTTGGTTCAGTTGTGCAACGAACAGCTCCTTGCAGCAGAGCGAACGGGGCAGCGTCCGAAAAGACGTCATGGCGTGTATCTCTCTACAACTGAATCTTTCGGGCTTCTCATCACCGACATGACCACATTTGGCAGTCCTGGGGCCACGCTGTCCGAGCTGAAACCCAAGTGGCTCGTTCAATCTCCGTCGGCGCCGGCGGGCTCGCTCCGGTGTCGGACATGCGCACTTCGCGATATGAAGAATCATCAGGCTCGCAAAATTGGTGACCATGAAGAAGTTTCGTTTTGTCCGCTTGATCTAGTAAGTGACCAGTTTGAGAATGTGCTTCGCGCGACCCGGTTCATCACGGCATGCGAGGATCAGGTTCCCCTGGCAATGGTACTCTATCAAAACAGTACTTTACAGAGACTCCTAGCCCACCAGAACAGCATGTGTGACGTCGGGCTCCAAGGCCCTCCTGTCGTCTCTGTAGAAAAGTCACTCGGTATGACTCTCCGTGACTGTACGATGTTCATTAGGGTGAGCTCTCCCGTATCTTCCCATTCAAATCCCCTCCCTCCCCCATCCCCATCCCCCATCAGGTAAGCTGATCTCAATGCAGATATCAAACGATGAGTCCCGTCTTGTTGAAGTACGCCTTGGTGATCTGGACCTCAAAACAGGCGCGGGAGGAAAGGCGAAGTACTGGGTTGACCTTGAACATCGTTTAATCGATGAGGGTTGGTACATGGGTGCAAAAGGCAGCGGATCAGCAAATTCCTGTGCCCTACAGGACTCGCGGTGTAATTCACAGTCAATGTAAGATATACAAACACTACTCTGCCAGTCCTTGGCTATTTTATCTTAGCCATCTTGCTAGCAATCGACTGGGGACTACACAACAACTTAGTGGAACCGAATAGCACAGGATCACCCCTTTAATTTTCTCTTATGGCAATGTGGTGATCCAAAGTGGGCTTTCTAATGTTCTATTCAACGCTAATCATAAACTTGATTCTTCGGTACTGTACACTTATTAGTCAAAATAGCTCCGTTTGATGTAATTATCCTGCCGGATAGGGTGGAACAACGAGCTCTGTAGGTAGCTCGGGGCCAACGGCGATTCATTTGGCACTTCGATGTTTTGATAATCGACAAAGCTCCGCGTTAGGCATTTGAGCAGACGATGGGAATTCGATACGTAACACAAAAAGTACTACACAGAGGGAGTGAAACAGCAGTCAAATGAAGAGTTTAGCCAAGTCATTGTCTATATCCCTTTTTTTAACGATACCAATTACCCTCCGGGTCCCCCAAGCAATCTCCTACCGTGACAGCTTAAGACCCGGGCCGTTAGCAGTGCTCCTCACAACATTCAACTCGAGACTCACGATTCAGGCCTCGAGCCACGATCTCGTCCAACATCGCCCGGGTCAAGACTGCCACCGTCTGCTCATGGGTGTCGTGCGCCAGGACAATCGTGCCTCCGGCATTCAGACCTTCCACGAATCTCGTGAAGCTCCTCGGAATCAAATCCGGATGATCGTGCACGTAGTCCTTGGTGTCGACGCTGGCGCTGACGACATGGTATCCCAGATCGCTCATTGCGGCAAGAACTTCTCCGTTGATCGCGAGATAGGGCGGTCTCATATAGGTCGGAGCGACACCCAGCACGGCCAGCACTGCTGCTTCCAGCCGGCTCATTTGTTCGACGATCTCACCGTACGGTAAAGTGGAAAGTCGAGCGTGATCGTATCTAGATTTCTTAGAAACTTCACCCCCCCCCCAGTAATGCATGATTCACAGGGGACTTAGGGGGCGCTCACGTATGGGAACCAATTTGGTGTCCTTCGTTCAGTATGCGGGTTAGAACATCGCGGTGGTTTGACAGCTGGTACCCGTTTACAAAGAAGGTAGAGCGCGCGTCGTATTCGCTGAGAATATCTAGAAGCTGAGAGGTATAAATGTCGGGCCCATCATCGAACGTGAGGGCTACGGTGCTAGGAACTGTGCAACGAGTAATGACTGCGCCGTAGGATGCACCCCTGGCTGTCACATTTGAGGCTACACACCAGGAGCGGCTGGTGACAAGAGTGATAAGAATGTGCGCAAAGAGAAAAAATGACTTTGTCTTGCTAAAAATGAGCGACATGGTAGACAGGTGTAAGAATGCAATGGCGATAAACAGGTGACTCGGATCTTAAAGTCAGAGGAAGAAGAAGAAAGACGCACACTTCAAAGGTTGAGATCGCTCATTGTGCTTGGTGTTCAAGGAAAGAGCCATACAGTCAAGCAAAAGACAGCTGCGACTGCGAGTCTCTAAAGGGTACGTTGGTACGTCCTTTCACCATGTCCTTGTCTTCTAGTGCCCACAACACACCCTCCCAGCATAATTTATCTAATGAACATAAAACAGTAGGTATCTCTATCAGAACATTGAAGTAGTATCAAAATTTCCTACCTAGCAAGATACGTGGTATTGAGAGCAGGTGCGGATCGGGAAAGGCAGGCCTGTCACTCTTGAGGTATAGTTTGAGCCACCACCTTGCAACACGGCCCTTTTTCATCACTATGTCGCAAAGAAACTGATTGATTGATCTCAGCGGGGCTGCGATCGCCAATGATCTCGAGAGAAAGTGATTCTCTAAGATTCATTCCGGACTTCAACGTCTCCAACAGTGGCCGAAAACATCATGTCAGATCTGATGCCTGACGTCACGATCTGAAAATGTACAACACACTAAGTGGCCATTTGGTCTTCAAAAGGACACACTTGTTCTCATCATTTCGAAACAAACTCCTCATTATCCGTGTTTCTATACACTGTCGCAATAAAGACAAAGAGAATTATGATATACAGTCGAATATACCTGATCTGCGTCTCGAATTGATTTGGATAGACCGGAAGATGGATGTCTTTGGGCAGAAGTTTAAGCGATCCTTCCAGCATGCTCTCAAGCCTTTTCGTTCTGTTAAATGGCGTGGCTTGATGGCGGCCAAGGAAGATGACCTGGATGCTCAGTACAATTTCCCTTCCGGACGAAGGGCTGGTCAGGGGTCCAGGTAATGCTGACCTGTTCATCCAGTTGAGTATATCACCACGTTTTACTTGCTTTAGGAATGCGATTGCTGATGAAATATCCTTTCAGCTCACCGACAGGCCGTTCATCGGGCGAATCGCGATGTATACCAAAACGTTTCGTGTCTTTCATGTGTTATGGTTTCTGTGGTCCATAAAATCTCAAACCTAGATCTAGACTTATTGTGCTAATCGTGTACTGTATACAACTCTTATTCTACTGCAGAATATGAAATTCATCAAAGCTAGCACCTCGTCTACGTGGGTCGTCTATGATTTTCCAAAGATCGTAACCCGTTCTTCAACAGGTTTCTGCTCTTTCGATCCTGGAGACCCCTCCGGGCTTCCAAAAACCAATTGCGCACCGAGCTTCCACCCCTTGGGCACATTCCATGCCTCGGCCACGGGCATATCGATCAGCGGGTTGTAGTGCTGCAGGTTGGCGCCGAACCCAAGTGCTTCGAGACCCGTCCACACAAGGGGAGAAAAAAAGTACCAGACGAGTCAGCCAGATCATTAGATATTTAACCCTCCACCACAACAGCAAAACAAAAGCCAAATACCAAAAGGCGGGCTCCAAAAAGCACTCACAAAAGTACTGATGCATCGCATTTGAATGCTGCGCCCACGGCTCAAATTGATCTTTGTAGAGAGAAAACTTCTCTGAATACGGCTCGATGTGCGCTGGATCCTCATAGAAAAGAATCTACAAATTCATAGAAAGTCAGCAACCAACTTCAATAGCTTACTTCTTCTTCTTCTCCAAGGAGATAAAAATAGGCTCACCGTGCCTACCGCGGCCTTGAATCCTTTTAGCTTAGGCAAGGTCTGATTCTTCCACACCCGCTCAGGTACTGCGCCCGTCTTGACCAGATTCTGGAACACGCCTATTACGATATCCCACCAACGCTCATGCTCCTGGTGCAACATCACCACAAGCCGGGTAGACTGCGTGTTGAAGGCGCTTGGGACGTGCAGGATGGCCTGCTGCACGAGCACCTCGATCTTGGCATCAGGCACAGAGTGGTCGCGGCCGAGTTGTAGATCGTGCGGCGGTTCCGGGCAAGCGCGATGAGTGTTTGTACGCCGGGAGCAGAGGAATTGGAGGAAGAGGACGACAATCGAATGGCGGTTGTTGGAGTCCGCACCAACAAAGGGTTCGTGGTTGCAGTGCGGGGCAGGGTGAAGCGCACCGCTGGACTGCAGCGACGTAGGAGGACTCGTGGCATAGCCATTGGTGCTGGCTTACTAAAGCTGTGTAATTGTAGGGCAGGAAGAAAGCTAGAGATGGTTCATTCTCGCTCGGGAAAACATTGCTGGTCTTATAATTGTGTTGCATGAGAATGTATATCCGACGGGATCTCGTATCCGCGCGGCATTGCGGAGATACGCTTATTACAGCGTCATCTTTTTAAATACCAATTGTTAATACTAAGTTCTCCCAGGCTTTACTTGGTTAGCTAAAGATGATTTAGGATGAGTCTCGTACCTGTGAGATATGCTTTGCGAGTAATTGTATCCGCAGTTGCTCACAAACCTCACGATACCTCGTATGTAGATACCACTGCTGGCTTTTTTGTTTGGTTCTCCATGCAGAATGACATCATTGTCCGCAACGCCTTAGACAACACGATCGATAAAGATATATAATTGAATGACCGTAGCCCTTCAGATTGATGGTCGAACAAGTTGGTGAAAGTTCCACACAAGTGCACCACCGGTCTCGGAGAACTCTTGAATCTGGACTCGTAACTAGGTCGTAGACTTATGGGTGCCCTACGGTAAATCTTGAGAGGCTATTGGGTTGGCTAGTCAGCTTGATTATCTGTTATTCTTAGCAAATCTGGGAGAGGGCTGCTCTGTGTGTCAATGAATTTGCAGTGGAAGATCATAAAGAAAGTAATCCTGTATCAATACTTATCGATAATGAATCCAGTCTTTCGGTATATAGTCATTTCCTGGACATGGTGCAACTTGTCGTCAGGGTGGGTAAATCCCTGCAGTTATTTGGATCATCATAACATATATAATCTCAACAATACTATTTCTATACCAAGCTTAGCCACTGACCCTGCCAAGGTCCACGCAGTCGAGCTGCCTCAGCGGCTAGAACGCGAATGAACTTACCAACATCATCCAATGACCGTGCCGAGTTGTTGCAATGAGTCAATGAAGCAGTGGTAAAATGGAGTAGCTGATGCCAAGTGGTTAATCTCTGAACCAGAAAAATTAAAGCTGCCTGGAACTCCACAACCATATGTATTTAATTTACAAAGGAAAAAGAAGCGCTGAAAAATGAAATAGCGCTGCGTCGACGCCCTCGCAATGCGAAAAAATGAAGCCCGAAATGCATTCATTTCCAAAATCAGAAGAAATCCTCCTCATCGAGCCAGTGGGAGTCAATGGCGTAGGCGACTAGATCCGCAGCACAACACATGTCTTCGTGTCCATGATCGAGATCAAGTAGTTCCAAAACCGCAGTAAGTCTCTCCTCGAGCGTTTGCCTCAAATCAGAGACAGTTGTCTGAGCGGAGGTCACCGTCGGCAACGTTTGTGGCTTCGCAAGCTTGTTGTTGGATGCGGATGTCAATTTAACACCCTTGTTAAGTGAGCGTGGAGCAAGGGGTTCACGAGGTGCTGGTGGCGAGCTGCACTCAGATTTTTTGTTCTTAAGCAAGGATTTGAGGAGGAAAAGCAGCCAAACAAGGTTCGTCCGGGGCGCATATTCTGCCCAAATGCCCGGGATATCCGGGCACTTTCCGGTTTGACGAGAATCGCCGTGATAGAGTTCAGCGCGCATGCTATAGGTCAAGAACATTAGCTGATTATTTCTGGTGCCATACATAGGTACGTCCAAGTATACTCACTATCGGTATGTGTCTCTGAGCATGATCTCATCGTCGTCCCGCCCGATCGCGTCAAAAATCTGTTTCTTGTCGAGGTCCGACGAGGCAATTTCGAAGGCCTCAACCTCTTCACTGAGATGCAGCTGTGCGCGAGACAGGGAGTAATCTATGATGGTCGTCTCGAGGGTGCTAAATCCGAAGCCACTTTTGTACGGTTGACTCATGATCTCAGCATTCGTGGGTGGGTCCATGCAGCCCCCTGCGCGAGTACTTCGAATACAGACGTTGCCTAAGTGCAGATCGCGGTGCTATGAATGTTAGATTGAGTTACCTGGTAGAAATTCAGGAGCTTACCTCGAATGATGCGTACTCCTCTGCCCGAGCCAAGGCCATGGCAACCCCCCAGAAAATATCGTAAATCTGAAAGATGGACGTCCATGCAAATTTCTCCAGCTCACAACCAGCATCATCCATTTCCACAATCGCCCACAATTGTGAGTCTGGATAAGCTCGCTTACTGGACGGATTCGGATTCCAACAGTCGTCCTTGGTTTTCTTATAGTGATCCCAAGCTTTCTGGAACGAACCGGGAAACCGGCCCTGGACCACGTGGATTTCCCTGAAGCGAGCGAATCCTGGGATTGGATCTAAATATTTGAGCATCTTGACTTCGGACACAAGCTCGTCGATACTGGTAAACTTCTTCGAGCCTGGCCCGCTCTGAGCCCGTAGGGGCACAACCTTGAACACCCCGTCGCCATAGGCCTTCAGGCGTGCGAGCTTGGACCGGGACATCTCGTTCTTGCATACCTCCTCTCGTAGTCGAAGCTTGTAGACTTCTCCATATGACCCTTCGGCGATTTTGACAACTTCCAACAAGTTTCCAGCTCGAGCAGCCCACGAGTCGAACTTCTGGACGCTCTGCGCCGCAATCGCGGACAACGCTTCGTTCAGGATCGGGCGAACATATTCATTTACCATTTCATCCAGGACACATCCCGATGACATTCGAGCTCCTGGCTTGGCTCTGGATTTTTTTGTTGTCCTCGTCTCGGGTTTTGCGGAGGTTTCGCACGGCTTATTCTGTCGTCGGTTTCTTGCTGCAGGGATATTGGGATTGATTCGGACCTCGACCATTTTTTCGTAGCGAGGATCTGATGATGCGGCACCTTCCTCCAATGATTCAGTCTTCTTCCATTGAGCTGGCTTTTGTTCCTCGTTTTCCTGCTCATGCCGTGGTTCCGAGTTACGAATGGGCGTATTTGGATCCAATGTAGGTCTCACATCCACTCTTTCGACTGACTGTACCACCCCAGTCCTTTCCTGTTTCGGTTGTTGCTGCTTCTTTGTCTCTCCAATTTCCTCATCTGTTCTCTGAATCATCGGTCTGCTCTCCTCCTTGATGGCTACCTTCGCGAGCTTCACCCGCACATCCTCCACAGCATCTTCATCGCTCCCTTCCTCGTGCTTCTTGACGCTCAATGTTCCCGGCGACTTTGCCGGACTTCTTTGATCAAAAACAGCTCTCGGTGCATCTGCTCTTCTCTTCCCATAGACTTTTTTCTGAGCGACAGTGCGGGTTCTCGTTGTCGGTTGGGGAGTCGCGGCTATTTGGAAGTATGGTGAAGACATGACAGTCTGAAGTGTTCTTGCCGATGAAAAGGCCGACAGGCTAATGGCTCTTGAGCGAGCTGCCCGCTATTATGAAACTTGGTGAGAGATTGCGGATTGCATCGATGTGAAAGAGACAGCTGCAGCGGTAGGATTCCGCGGAGGTGGTTTATTGTTCTCTTGCCGAGTTAGGTCTAGTGGCTGGCGTTGCTGAGGGAAAGCCAAACACAGGAATTATGTCAGTGGATCTGACTCAGCTTAGTAGCATTGAACTAACCTAACTAACTGCACAGTAATGCGCGCTGTGTTCATTACGGTAAAGGCGGGAAAGGAGGTGTTTTTTCTATACAATTTATGATACTAGGAGAAAATCAATAAGGTAGAAAAGGGGGCTTGGGCAGGAGAGAGAAGAAGGTTGCCGGAGGAGCAGTGATTGCAGGTGAACATACCAGTAACTAGTTAGTTACTCGTGTATTCTAATGATTACTTCGTCCATTCACATGTATTGACTTTTACTTATGACAATGAAAACAGTCCTCTGTACAATTGTTATTTGATATTCTCGAGTTGTCAAAGAGACAGATTTGTATTAGCTTTCGAGACAGTCCCTCCAGACAGTAAGCAGGCGGGCACGATTGGGATCCCGTCGGGCAATCTTCATTCAAAACAGAATCTGGAGTATCCGTCGCGGCCTGGAATTTCCTCTACAGTCACTGGGCAGAGGCACTTTCAGCACCACATTCGAGACAAGGAGGATCTCAGTGACTGTACCCCGTATTACAGAGTACTCCGTAAATAGCGTCCACACGGGCTGGCCGGGAGTTTCACAGGGACGGGTGGACCGAGAATGCGAAGAATTCCCACTCTGCGATTCAGCACGGGCCTGCCATTAGGAATGCGCAAGTCCAGTCAGGAGAAGCGGGAATACGGAGTAGGATAGGAACTAATGCAAAGGTTGGACGGATGGGTCAGCAGATACTCATCTTCAATTAGTGAACAGGAATTAATTATTCGGATTCATTCATAACTTTGGAAATAAAAAATAGTCAACTCATATTGATTCGGAGCAGAACGGAAGAGCAAGACTACAGGTAGAAGCCGACAGCCTAGCTAGTGACGTTATCCCTTCCCTTCTTGGCTGCTGAGCCTTTCTTTTTTTTTTTTTTTTTTCTCTTTTGTTCTTCTTTCTCTCACATACTCCGTACTTTCTTTCTCTTTATCACAAAAGAAATGCATACATCGCGGCGCTTGCGAAGACGGCTGCTTACGCAGAACAGATCACATCTGTCAAATATACAAACTCAAAGTAAAGCTCCTATGTCGATTTAATTTAACACCCTACGAAGAAGACGGAAGCTATTGTGAAAGCTACAGAGGCTCGTCGCGTCGATCACGCGAGCGCCGTAGGATTACCGAATCGGGTCAGTGAACCCTCGGGAAATGTTCGCCGCTCGTCTTTTTCCCTCTCAATCCGCCGCCATCCTTTTTTATTCAGTCTTCTCCCATTCACAGTCAGCTTATCGGCGCATCGACCCATTTCCACCATTCTCCCTCTCCATCTTATTCCCTCTTCCCCCTCCTTACCTCGTGTTCTTATGATTACCATCGCTTACTTATTGACCTTAACATTGAGAAGTCCATCAATTTAACCCTGCACTGTCTTGTTCACTTCCATAAGTTTCAGTCTCTGTACTTTTCCAATGTCGTCCGCTCAAATATAAGGGAGAAAATAAGAAGTGACTTCATCCTTTCACATGAACGGCGATGGCGTTCAACTTCAACTGGTCGCCGCTTATGGCGGACGCGAGTTTTTATACTCGTGCCCAAGACCTGCTGACTGCCGCCTTGAATAAATCTCCAAAACCACCCATCATCGTCGACGACATCATCGTGACTGAACTGAATCTTGGCTCGATCCCGCCTGAATTGGAGATTTTGGAAATTGGGGACTTGGCGGAGGATCGCTTTCGGGGCATCTTCAAGATGTCATACACTGGAGATGCCTTTCTCACTCTGAAAACACGAGTTCAGGCGAATCCTCTTAATACCTACCTCCTCACCCGACCCTCTTTTGCAACTCCAATGCCTGTTGCCGCAGCGTGAGTGACACTAACAAGCGAACTCTTTCTCCGAGGAGTCGCCTTCTGGGTATTTTTTGCTAATATATTCACTCAATACATTATAGAACCCCTCTGACCATACCCTTGCAAATTACACTCTCCGACTTCAAACTCTCTGGCTTCGTCATATTAGTTTTTTCAAAGCAAAAAGGCATCACTGTCGTTTTCAGGAATGATCCGCTCGAATCGCTTAAAGTATCCTCGACTTTCGACTCCATTCCCTTTGTTCGCGACTTCTTACAAAGAGAAATTGAGGCACAACTTCGCATTTTGTTCATGGATGAATTGCCTGCTATCATTCACCGTTTATCCCTTCGACTGTGGGTCCCGGAATACCGCGCTGGCGAAGAGCTGCAAAAAGAAGCTACAGACGCTGCAGGCGAAGGCCCAGGTCAAGATCCCTTGGCAAGCCCACCACAAGACCCCGTCGACGCTTCCGGAAACGCCTTGGATGAATCCGAAATCGCTTCCCTTTCTCTTGAATCTACCGTTGAAACTCACTCTCTATTCTCCCAAAAGAACCTTCTCCGGCTGGCCGCCCTTACCGATTCTCAACGGACGCTATCACTCTTCACACCATCCATCCAAGAAGTTGTATACCGCGCGTGGACTTCACCTTCCGACTCGGGCGATATCACTGGAGGCGTGATGTCACCCCTCAGTCCAATCCTCTCCAGGACCCATTCGCAGATTGGAGGCCTGTCCTCTTCATTCCAGGACACAGCCAGTATGGTGTCCTCACACAGCCGATCCTCCGTCAATACACACACTTTCAGCAGTTACGGATTGACTTTGGGCTCTGGTCGTCATTCGAAATCGAACGCGAGAAAGCGGAAGAAGCGCGTCGTCGATCTGCGTCGCCCCAAGACTACAGACGATACAGTCAGCGTAAGTGGCGAGACTACTTACACGGAGACCACGAGCGCCGCATCGGTCTACTCAGCTCCTCTACCTGTGGTGAGCGAGCAAACAGATGATCCAGTGACGCCCCCACTTTCGCCGAGCAGCGACCTTCATCTTCCCACAATTCCTGAACGGCATCGTGCCAGTCTATCAAGACCAAGCATGCCCCGGCGTAATTTCGCAACCGAAACGGCACGTGAAGTGGGTGAGACATCATCGTCCGCGGCTCCTCGTCAGTCTGCAGTCATTGACGTGGAAGCTACACCACGGGATCCCACAGTCGCCTTCGCCCGCGAGAGCGAAAAGCAGCAGGAAGCAGGGGCTACACGTAGTCTGCCTGCCGCAGCACTCCCGTTTACAGATATCAAAGCGACCTCTAGCATCGTGGACCAGGCACTAGTCGAAAGACTCGCTGGAGAAATTGCTCGTCGTATGCGCGATGAGAAAATGACCCCAGGCGGTACTTGCAGTGCTTTCTGGGATCGCCTGGGTCATGAAGATGCTCCCCCGGCCTATGGACAATGACTATGCCGAAGACTCTCATTGTGCCCTGTCTTCTCCTCCTTCTCCTTTTACCAAAGGATCTGTCACTGTGCTCAGTGCATACCTTCAAGCTCCACGTCTGGAGCGATGACGACGATACGACTGTTTTCAATCTTTCCGCTGTGATGTTTTCCGTCTAGTCTGATCATTCTGCGGGATGACCTTTGGAGCGAGTAATAGAACTTGTACATTGATTGGGCTGTATCGATAAAAGAATTGGGCGCGTATCGTTTGTGTTTATTTGATTTCTGCTTCTGTGAGCGACATGCTTTCATGCTAGGATACCACCTCGCTCGTTAACTCTCTTTGATTTTGTAAATACTTCTCTCATTTCTCCTCCATGCCGCGGTTGACATAGCATCACTTGCTGTCGGCGAATGCGGTCTCAATTGACATCGCGATTGATTTCACTCCTTCCGAACCTACATTGTACTATGTCCGGCTTAATGTCTCTATTCGACATAATACGTTGACTTAGGAATATCTGACAGGAGCAATGTTTTGAAAGGCTCTTATTGCCGTTCAGGCTGGTGGCCCTAGGCCGAGGGCGGCTCCACCAACCGAACTCGGCAGACTCCGATTGCGACAAACGTCAACCGACCCAAAGCTAAACCTCCTCCACGCTTTCCTCTCTTTTGCTTCCTTCCGCCGCCACGTCGCCAGATCCTCGCCTCTTAACATCTCGCACTTTCCAAATTCCTCCAACTTGATCATGGCGGGCATGTTTCAAAACCTATTTGGGGGCTCGCAGGCTTCTGGTCCGGCCAGAGTCGACGACGGTAAGTCACGCACGCAACCCCATTTAAAAATCCGGGGTCAACCTCCCCAGCTCCGACACTCAGAATCCTCAACCCTCCATCTAACATGAATATCCATTAGAATTCGCCGACTTTGTCGAGGCCCCTGAGCCCTCTCCGGCTTCTCTTGTCTCCAGTTCATCCACCACCCCGGCCCTCAACACCCATGGCGTGGGCGCCGGGAGTCCAGTCCCGTACACCAAGTGGTACCGGGTCTGGGAGCGGACCTCGCCACAGGACTTCATGCAGGAAGCCATGGTGATGCCCATCATACTATTGATTGTCATCTTCCATTTTTGGGGGACTCGCAAAAACCGGCGTCGGGCCCGCGACTGGGCACAGGCACACGTGTCCGCCCTACAGAATGAGTTCGCTGTCGTTGGATTTGAAGGAATCAAGTCCGATCAAGTCTCTTCGCCGGACGCCTTGCTCAAGGAACGATCCGCGCAGGAATTTACCTCGTACGCCACAGGTCGCCAGAACGTAGCCTTTGTGGACGTCTCCGTCAAGCTCCCCAAGCGGTACAACCCAGTAATTTTCTGGACGGAGTCGGTGTTCAGCTTTCTCTTCGAAAGTTGGGAGGCGCCCACCGAAACCTACGAAGCTACTGCGTTCACATTTGATGGCAGAGAGAAGGATGTGGTGCCCGTGCCTGCAAATGACACCTCGTTTCTGAAGGTCAATAACTCGACTTACGATGGCTTTGTCTGGGCGATCGTGCACAAGAACCACATGCGCAAATTCCGCCAGGAGCGTTATGATGCTTCTCTCACCTTCACTCGCGAGAATCCCAAGCTTCCCAGTTGGGTTACTGTCATGACTGAGAGCGCCGAAATCACGGACGTGCTCTTGACCCCCGAATTGATCCAGGCTATTGAGAAGGCCGGCAACAACTTTAAGTATCTCATTGTGACTGACCAGCCAATTGACAAACCCTTGAAGTACGATGATCTCCCCTTGTTGGCCCCCGTGGCCCCCGCGTCACTTTTAAGAAGACGTATGCTAAACCCATCGCACCAGGATCGAGGAAACCACCCCTCGCAAGCGCATTCAACTCGCCATGACCCTTCCCTCCTCACCCGCCGGTTACGCCGCCTCCTTGCCTCTCTTTTCGCAATGTATTCGTCTGGCCGACCGCCTCGTCGCTGTCGCTCATTTCCGTCCTGAGGTAACCCGCAAGATTCGTCATACCCGCGAGGAGGAAATCAAGAAGCTGCGCCGTGCAGATGAGGACGAGAAGGCCGAGGAACGTCGCCTTGCTGCTGAGAAGATCAAGAAAGAAGAGCGCGAGCGCCTCCTCCGCGGCATGTCCGCCGACGAGCAGCGGAAGTACCTGGATCGCGAGTCGCAGAAGGAGCACAGACGTATGATGAAGAGGAGCACCCGTCGAGCTTAACTGCATCGCAGATTTCTTTATCTACCGAAACGACAGACTGATTCGTGTTCGTGGTCTGCTTAAGGGAAAGTGGAGAACGCAAGATGCATAAACCAAGCCCACTTGCATCTTTATGGGTGGTAATGGTTTATTTCGCCTTGCCTGCTGTTTTCCTCTTATTGCTTTCTTGTCATCCTGACTGGTGATAATGATGATGATGCATACTTTCCATGTACAATGTATTCATAACTATTTCAGTGCAAGAGTGGGTTTGTTCGGCGTTGTGTAGGTCTTCCATTGATGCACCTATTAGTCCTGATTTAGAGGTTGGTTGCTTGCTGTCTGTGTATACCGACAGGCCAGCGGTGACGAGTGTATATCGGCCACATCAGCACCTGCACCTACGACATCTGGACTCAATAGATCGATCTTACTATGTATTCAATGTGTGAAACTCAATTGCACGGAACTAATAGTAGAGTAAGTGGCCGGATGTACAAATCTATAACGATCCAGGAATCAATCTAAAAACTTAAATTTAACAGGAAAGCAACTCCTCTCAACCCCCAGCCGCCAGAAAGCTTAACAGACTGCCGAGCATCAACCCCGTGACCAGCATCAGTCCCATGAATGCGCCAGCCGGCTCCCGCTCGTCTGTCGCAACCTGTCCGGCACCCATCATACAATTACTACCTAGGTAACCATTAGTGACCCCGAACAGCAGCTGCACGACGACCAAGTAGAACAGGTCACTCTGCACGACGGCGCCGCGGCCCCGGATGTTGCATAGTTGATACAGCGGGATGAACGCAGCGCGGGCGATGGCAAAGACAAATAGGGCCCAGGGCCGATGTACTAGCGAGAGTGCGGGCCACAAGACTAGCATGCGGCCGATGAGGTCCCCAGCGTTCCAGAAGAAGAAGGCGAGGGGGATGAAGACGGGAGCTTCGAAAAGGCGGTGACCGTGATTTACAGACTCGATCTGTGCGGTGAAGACGGGGAATACCATGGTGACGGTGAAGCAGAGGATCATGGCTAGGGCAGTAAACCGGAGTCTCTGAAAAAGTGTCCATAGGCCGATGGTTTTAGCCGGCTTGGAGGTGTCATCCTCATTGCTGCCAATACTCGTGGCAGTGTTGTCACTTGAGCAGGGGAGGTTAGAGCGTCGTTTAACGAGGGAAGTGAATGCGAGGAGGGCAAGGGAGGAGACCGCAGTTGCGGTCATGAAATATGCGAAGGCGGATTTGGATGACTGCGGCGAAGCGGCATTTACTTGGTCGTTTTCGTTGTCACCTTGGTCGGATGCCACGAAGAGAACAGAAAGAATCTGAACAATGCATGGAAGAACGCCCGCCACGCCCTGGCCGCTCATGATGGCCTGCGTATACTCCTCACGTCCGAAGCCGGCGACATATGCATAGACGCCATTCTGGTTGACGCCCGTGGCAAGGCTTGCGCCGAAGACCATGAACAGCAAAAAGATAAAGTAGTTGGCCACGGAGACATCTTTCATGAATATAGTCGAGAAAGCCAGGAAAGTGAAGACCACAATGTTCATCAACAGCGAGACAACTGTCCGCTTGGGGTAGGAGGCTCCATTCTGGAGCTTTGCGAGGATGAATGAGGAGCCTAAGTTGGTCACTGTCGAAACGGTCAAGATGGAAGGCTGAAAGTGAGTCGCGGTCCAGTCGTCTGTCTGGAATCGATGGTAGAAGTACGGAGCCGCTGCGAGGAACATGTTCCTGCGGTGAGTAATCGAGTCATGACAGTTAATTAGCAAGCTGGTGCCATACGAGGAGAACAATGGGTGAAGAGAAGCAGCTCGCTAATCAACCAGCCCTCCCATTCAACGTACCAGGCCCAAAGCATAGAGACTCCCAAGAGAAGAAACACGGCGTATTCGTATGAGGAGAAAGGGGCCTGTTGGGGACCCGGGGAGGCAGATTCATTGTCCTCCGAATCGGTATCCGCCGCGGCAGGCTGCTGGATTGCCTCATACGTCACTTGGGGAGCGAATAATCTGCGAAAACGATCCATTGTCGTGCTTGTGAAGGAGTCCCTTGATAAGAGATGAGGCGGGACTCAGGCAGCATGAATATCAATCCATAGTTGTCTTGCATGACGAGAAGTGACGGTAAGGAGAGGCAGAGAAGGTCATGAGGGCGTGTTGGACAGCTGCCAAGACAGGCAAACAGGTCACGCTCGGGTGACTAAGACAAGCAAGTTATTAAGTTTATCGAGTCAACATACGAAGTCATTAGTCAAATACTAAGTTACTAAAATGTTGAGGAGAGTTGGGTATTTCTGTACGATCTCTCTATCCAGTCATCCAGCAACAGTAGGAAAAGAACAGAAATCCAAAGATATTACATACATCATCAGGCGTCCTACCTTCTAAGAACAAGTATATATGAGCCACCCCCGAACTGAAAAGCAAGCCTGGTAGTCTACACGGCTTGAGAACGTCCAACATGTATGATAGAACGTAAGAATGCTTCAAGATGTGCAGTGATGCCTGCTATTGCTTCTGCTGAGCTGACCCCTCGGGAGACTCTTCAACTTCATCTTCAGCACCATCGTTTTCTAACTGCCACAACTTTTCTTCTGTCTCGGGATTCACGGGCACCCGAGGAGGAGTAGCGTCACCGCCACTCATTTGCCATTCCATGAGTTTGGTAAAAGCGCCATCAGGGCGACCACTGAGCTCCTCATAGCTGCCTTGTTCAGCGACTTTTCCATCAGGCGCAAGGACGATTATCGTGTCGGATCGTTTAATCGTGGAAAGTCGATGAGCGATGCTGATGGTCGTGTTGTTGCCACGAAGCAGGGCAGCAAGGGCACTGTTGACGAGGGTCTCCGACTCGGCATCGAGCGCAGAAGTCGCCTCATCCAAAATCAAAATATCGGGATCCTTAATCAGCGCGCGAGCGATAGCAATACGCTGCTTCTGTCCACCAGAGAGTTGGGCTCCACGAGGCCCAACCTGAGTGTCGAGACCATCCGGCTAGCGAGAACGTCAGTAGGGGATGTAACCAGCATTGCCGAGCCACTCACAAAATCACTGATGAACTGGCAATTGGCCTTTCTGGCAGCTGCTACAATTTCTGAGCGAGTCGCATGGGGACTTCCATAAGAGATATTTTCGGCGATCGTCCCGGAGAACAAGACTGGCTCCTGCGCGACTACACCAATCTTCCTGCGGAGAGACTTGGCATTCATCTCACTGATATCCTTGCCTCCGACTAGAACGCGTCCGCCGGTGGGGTTGTAAAATCTGAGCAAAATAGAGGCAATAGTAGACTTGCCTCCACCGGACGGTCCAACAATGGCGACGTTCGTACCCTGAGGGATCTCAAAGTTAAGATCCTGGAAGATAGGAACAGCGGGGCGGGTAGGGTAACTGAAGGAGACATTTTCAAAGCGAATAGGGCCACGAGCAGATTCAACTTTGATTCCTTTGGTGGGTGATATCGTTGGATTCCGGTCCTGTAACTCGAATAGACGACTAGCCGCACCGACACCTTTCATCAATTCAGAATAGAAGCTAGAGAGACCGAACATGCTGGAACCAGCATAGGCGGTATACATCAAGAATGATGTGAGCTCTCCGATGCTGATAGCGCCTGTTTTAACCATTCCACCGCCAACATAGAGTAGAGCAAGGATGGTCATATTACCCATGAATCCGGTCTATGAGCAGGTCAGAAGATGATTGATGATGTTTCAGCCAGAGTACCGTACCGAACTAAAAAATGTCGCGCTTATGAGAGACTCCTTCTTACCGAGCTCGAAAATCTTGCGAACCTGGGTGTTATAACGGTTGACCTCCAGAATCTCACCAGCAAATGACTGGCTAGTTTTGACGTTGCCCAAACGTTCTTCGGCAATCTTAGTCAAAGTTCCGAGGTTCCTTTGTATCTTGCGGCTCAGATTTCGAATCGCTCTTCCATAGAAGAAAGCTCCTAAGCCAATTGGAGGAAGCAGAAGCGCCAAAATGCTCGACAGTTTGAGACTGACGTAAGCCATGAGGCCGAACCCAGCCACACCGCTGACTGTCGCTCGTAGGCCGTCGGAGAGATTCTGGGTGATACTTTTACCTACTATAATTGTGTCGGAGCCGAGACGGGAGATCAGGTCACCAACGCGATTCGCATCAAAGAACTCCGCATCCTGAATGAAGGTCTTCCGAAACAAATTCGAGCGGAGCCGAGCAACAATGCGCTCGCCAACAATACGAAGTATGACAATGCGACCATAATTAGCGGCAGCGCCTAGGGTCATGATTCCGGCTAGTGCACCATAGAACATCGGTACACTCAGACCGAAAAGCTGATCCGGGCCGCCATCCTCCGTTGTTTCATTGACCTCCGGGGGCTTGGTAGCTGCGTCCATGATCTTACCGATAGAGAATGGAATAGACATCGTGATACCCGAAGAGATGAGTAGGAAGAAGAAAGCGAACCCAAGTTTCTTGGCCTCGGGGCGGGCAATGGATAGCAGTCGCCAGATCTCCTTGAAGCCAGCATTCTTTCCTGAAGCTCCATCTTTGGCCAGCTTCGCGCGCAGATTAACCTGAGCTGCCTGAGCTGCTCGTTCAGAAAGTTCAAAGCCTTTGTCCAAATCCTCTTCGTCCTTATCCTGTGTTGTATCTTTTGCGGTTTGTGATGGTGTCGTTCGACCGGTAGGCTTGGCATATAGTGATCTCGTAGCAGACGAGAAGAGACAACTATAGCGGAGTGATTGAGACCGATCAATTGCGGTCCATGCGCCATTGAGATGAAAGAGCGGCGACCTGGAATGTAGAGAGGTTCCGTGGTAGTTGCGTATTAGGCATGATGGTCCTAAAACCTGTCTCTTGTAACCAATTGGAGCCGTTTCAAGAGTAAAGGCACTGTTATGCGAATACAGATTCGAGACTATCCTTCCAGATTTTTGAGCTGTCTGCCTGGCGGCTACTCCTGGAGGCCAGGAGGCCAGGAAACCAGCTCCGCGCATATCTGAGGAGTGTAGAAAGCGGAATCAGATGGCTGCTGAAGAATTTGGCGTTTTGAGAAAACTAGGATGCCATGTCCGACTAGTTGCTCTCGAAAGCCATGGGGTACATGGCATAGAAGAGCTTGACTTGCTGTTTCGAGGGCTGAATGTGAGATTAATGGAGGGGAATGCCAGAGTGCAGAAGGCCAGCCGCGAAGTCCGCTCAACCTCCGGTCCCGAGCATCGCCGCTTCGGCCTCGCATCGGCGACGATTCTGCCCTCTATCACCGCCCGTTGCAATTCCGCCGCTATCGAAGCTGGTCGAGAGCATTCGATGGCTTTGGCGCATCTGCGTGCTGTGGTTGCGCACACTTCTTCCTTGATTACGGACGAATGGTTTTCTAAGCTTAAACTCTCCGCCTTGACCGCATCAGACTGTTCTTTGCAGAACTTCGTATAGTTGCTGCTCTGCTGTTTGCACCATCCCTACCCCTCATTAGCTATACATACTTGATCCACCATGGTTCTCGACTACAGCAAGTGGGATGCTCTCGAGCTATCAGATGACTCCGACATCGAAGTTCATCCCAACGTCGATAAACGTTCTTTCATCCGAGCCAAACAAGCTCAAATTCACCAGCAGCGTGTGCAGCGCCGCCATGAGATACAAACCTTCAAGTATGAGCGCATAATCAACGATGGCTTGCTGGTCCGCATCGATAAGCTCCTTACTCTACTGAAGCAGAATGAAGGCTTCTCAAAGAATCCCGAAGAGTTTGTCTTCCAGGCCCTAATGGAGTTCGCCAGTAACCCGTCGGAGGATCTGCCTCCCCCACCTCCGGAGGGAGTCCATACGCAAGAAAAGGAGCAGCCCAAATACTCCCAGATGATGGGTGCTCTAGTTGACCAGGTCAAGAAGGAAATCAGTGAAGTTACTGATGACAAGCTTTTTGCGGAGTATATCAAGGGCGTACAGGGACACAAGGATAAGGTGCAGGGTTTACAGAAGGAGCTTCAACAAAGACTTGCGCAATTGGAAAAAGAAGAGAGCAGCAAGATTACCAGCGATCAGCTACACACTGGCTTTAATACTTCGCACATCGCTAAGGAGGGAGCCACAAAGAGCCAGGGATCATCGGCGAAGACAGAGACAATTGAGCTCCTGAACCCTGGAGCATCAGCTGGTTCTTCGTCTCGAGAGACTGCCACTGGGGATGACGATGAGGAGGAGGACCCAGAGAGTATGAAGGCCAGTGACCTAGCCAAGCGGTTTGCAAAGATTGACCGCAGCGATTACCGCGCTCTATTGCAATTTATCTCCGCGAATCCCCAGATTGTTGCCGAGAGGGAAACCGATGGCCTCCTCGTGGAGGCTTTCAATAGCCAGATGGAAGGCAAGGATGACTATGCCCGTCAGTGTGTTCATCAAGCATTATTGCTGCAATACTGCCGGTCTCTTGGGCGTGACGGTATCTCTCTATTTTTCAAACGGTGCGTGAATAAAGTTTCAACTCGATCAAAGCAATGCTAACAGCTCAACTTACATGTAGTATCACAACGGCGAATCACCAAGCGGGAACTCTCTTCCGGAACGATGTGAATGAGACCTATAATAAGATTAAGACTCGTGCTGCAGAGCTTGCCAAGGATGGCTCTGCATCCAACGACCCGGCTGGTGTGGAGCAGATTCAACTGCATGCAGTTGATCCCAACACGAAAATCAGTATTGCTATACCTGCGACCGAGAGTCAAGATCCCGTGGAGATCGAGGCGCGCAAGGTCTTCGAGTCCTTTTCGAAAGAAATGCAGATTGCGTTAGCGTCGGAGTCCCTTGATGAAGTCAATAAGGTCCTTGGCAGATTGAGCGTTGAAGAGGCTGAAGATGTCGTTGAGAAGTTGGGACAATTCGGCATGCTAAGTCTCGAAGAGGGCATTGTTGACGCTACAACTGAGGAAGGTCGGAAGAAGTTGGAAGAAATTGAGGCGGATAACAAGCGAGAGAAAGAGGAGATAGGTGGGCCAGGAGGTGACATCACCGAATTAGACTGAGCACTGTTCATATAAGAATGGTACTTGAATAAATTTACGCAATGTGGCTACTTCCAGACCAGTCAGAGAATCGATGAAGTCGTATGTTCAAGCACGCAATAGCCTGGCGAAATTAAAGTCTCAAGCTCTGCTTTTGTGTTACGTTGCAGAATTTGTTGGAGGATAAAAAAAAGTTCGGTGATCCAATATGCACGATCTAGCTACAGGAAGGGAATAAAAAAAATATCAAAACATGTAATGAGAATAAAATAAGAGAACATGTAATTAGGTTGCTGCCACGAACTCAATCGATCCACATAGGTATATTCAAGTCAGTGGGGAACGTGAAGCCCTTGGAGTCAATGCGGGAAAACATGATGTTCATGAGAATGGCGCTGAAGTAGAAGTAATGAGGTATAGTCCCAGAAGACTTTCGTTTCACGGTCCAGTGCGCCAACCGTTTGTTTCAGTGTTGTGAATCCTAGACCCCGCTGGCACCGGGGGCGTTCTGGTCCTTTTTGAGGTCGAGCAGCAGTTCTCGGAAGCGCTCCTTGCCAGATCCACTAGCACCACCCTTGCTACCCTTCCCAGATACGTCTACCAGTTTTGCAATGCGTTCCCAGCTGGTGCCGCCAGAAGATGTATCTTCCCTGTTAGCGAGAAACTGTTCAGCTTCAGCACGGGTCTGAGCGCGCAGCTTATCCGTCTTATTGTTGTAAGAGACATAAAAATCATCAATGTCTTCCTGCGCTTTTTTGATTGTCGCTTCCTTCTTTTCCTCGGAGATCTCGGCACGACGCTGAATGTCTGCATTTCGTCTCTCACGCCATTCCCTGGAGTAGTCGCAAAGTCAGAATATGTGCAGCGCATAAGGACGGAAGGGTGAAGACTGAGATTATTAAGTGTTATATGATTTGGATTGGGAGGGCGTTACCTGACGGGCTCAGGCTCCTCGTCGGGAGCTTGGGAAGTGTAGTTGGTATATCCGGTGGGCGGGAAGGGCGCTCCCGTTCCAGTGATTGTACCACCAGGGGCAACCTGCTGTTCGATTGGGAAGGAATTAGCACTATTGACATATGATTGCTCATAGATTGGACGCAGTACGTGCCTCATTTTGTGTATCGAGAGCGGGGAATGAGGATTCGAAACCGGCCATCTCGTGAGGAGACGCATCGCCTGCGGCTGGGAAGGCATCCGCACCACCCCCAAGTAGATCGTCATGGTCGTTTATGTCTTCTGCGGCAGCGACGTGGTCTTGAGGGGTTGCAAACTGCTCGGCATCATCCCCAAGCATGGCTCTTTCGCGAGCCAGGAAGTCATTCTGATCTGAGCCACCATTGCTATCCACCACCTCGGTTTGGCCTATCGACGGGGTCAGTATTAAACGTAGTAGAGGCGGCGATGATGCGGCTGCTCACCCGCGGAGAAATCCTCCAATGAAGGAAAGCGGTCTGCCATGTTTGATCGGGTTGTGATGTTAGATGAAGTATGCGATCATCCACAGTGAAGTCAAATTATAGTCAGGAGGTGAAAGAACTGAGGAGGGATGGGAGGGGATTAAGATGTAAGGTACCAGCTGGCGGGTTGAGGATGCGGGCGGACAGCACGGTTGGACGGGCAATTGGAGAACCCCCCAGATTCTGCCGGTGAGGGCGGTGAGAGAGCTAGACTGCAGCTTGCATTGGAGGAGAGGGGTGACTACTCCTCAGGAGCCCTTCACTCTCACCACAGTAATTTCTCTCTCTATGCTCTCTTACTCATCTGGACTTTTGTTTGAACTTGCTGCATGATTCTTTCACTCTGTCTGTATCCTCAGTGTCAAATAAGCGGCTCAACGCGATACACGCTACACATCCACCTATAACAAGTCGAGTCGCCGGTCTAAACATACCGAAGTCATCCATCCTGCCTCTACATTGCGCAAAAGTAGAGTGCCGCCTCAAGAAGTGCAGCTTGCTACGATATTACGATGGCTTATTCCGATGACGCCGTCAAAGCCAAGCTCTCCGCGCTAAATGAGACTCAGGAAGGCATCGTCACGGTTGCACAATGGGTCATGTTCCACAGGTAGATTCTCTTGATAGACACGGACTGTCAATTGGCTTTGACTGACCACATTCGCGAATAATAGACGACATGCAGATCGGACAGCACAGTTATGGCTACAGAAATTACGTGAATCGCCCGCGCCGAAGCGACTGAATTTGATTTACCTTGCGAATGGTTCGTACGGCACATACTGCTGGCCTGAACCCTGATGACTGACACCCACCCAGAGGTCGTGCAACAGTCGCGTGCACGGCGCAAGGAAGACTTTCTCCTCGCATTCTCTCCGGTCTGTACTGTTCCAATCTTCGATTTATTCATGAGAAAGGCTGACATTCATAAGATCATCGCCGAGGCTACAGCCACCGCATACAAGGGTGCCTCAAACGACATTCAGCAGAAGCTGCGACGGGTGATAGAGGTTTGGAGATCGCGTGCGATATTTGAGCCTTCGATTCAGGATGTCGTGGAGGCTCGAGTAGATGGTAAGGACGCCTTGCGTGAACAACCCCAAGTAACTTGCGCTCATGTCCTATCAGAAATCGATAAATCTCGCTCTACCGGCAAGAAACCGCCCCTGGGCGGATCTCTCTTCTCAACTTCGTCCGGCTCTACTCCGTCTGAGCTACAGCCTCTGCTTCCATTACAGGTAGCTCTTTCGAAAGCTACCATGACATCTACTGCATCTACTACCGCTGCCAATGCGGAGTATGATAAGTTACACGATCCCAAAAACCCGTTGCCTACTCCTCCGGTGCACGCCGCGCGACTCAGTCAATTACTGAAGGCGCTGGCCAACGCCGAGAGCTCGGTTTCGGAGGTCATCAAATCACGGTTGGCTCTAATTGACGGTCTCGAGAAATTGTTGGAGACCAATCGCTCTGCTCTCTCGAGAGAGCAAAAACTCGTTACGCAGCTCGGAGAAAGAAAGACCGGGACCGAGGCAACCAAGCGGGAAGTCGAGGACGGAATCATGCGAGGTCTGTCTGCGGAAGCTTCGCCTGAGACCAACCATGGAGACCTCGGACTCGGGGGAGAGGCAGATATGCCTCGGCCGGAGGTCGAGGCTTTGACACCTCCACCTGTCGAGGCACTGACACCCGTCGGCTCTCCGCAACAAGCTCCGCAGGAGACAATCCCAGGGCTCACAAACGAACCCCAGGTTGCCACCGGATTCACACTCCCTGGCATCGAGCAATCCCTTAACCCATCATACCGCACTTCGGACTTGGCCCCAGCGACCTTTGATACTTCAAATGGCCTTCTCACCAAGAAGCGCAAGGTCACCCACAATGATGAGGACTATGCTCAATTCGCGAGCGGGGACCTAGATGCTGATGTTGCCGAACTTTTGAAACAGGAAGGCAATCATTAGAATTGATGCCAATGGTTGAATAGGTTGATATGTATGTCAATGGCCAAGTGACCCGGTCCGAATTACGACTTATTCACTAGCTTCCAATCCCCCTTCGTGTTATCTTCCACAGGCACATGCCCATACTCAAAACCCTGCTATTCGTCCATGCCTCGATAGGGAAACGCTTTTACAAGTATATTGTGATATTGCTCGGCTGCTGCTAGTATTTGCTACAAAATAATGACGCTGTATCGCCTTCAGTAAGCAAGAGTGTTGATTTGACAGCAAGTACTATCGATATATATCTGGATCTACCCATTTGTCCCTTGGGACCATAGACAAGAACGGCCGTCTCATTTTGCGATAACTTGAACTAGACGCGCGAGAACGCAATCCGGGTGATTGTTGAAAATGTGGCGCAGAGAGTGGCTCTGGTGCTGGTGAAGAAGGCGCAGGGGAGTCATGTCTCTTAGGTTTGACTAATAATACAATGAACAACCCTGCAACCAAGATTATCAGGAGGAGGAGAATCTTGCGTTTTACCGTGCGCCGCTGATAGTTGGTAGCCTATTAGGACTCAGATTAGTCCAAATTCATAGAATCGGCACAACACATAGAACTTACCACTTTGAGTTCTTTATCTGCTGCTTTAACCTCGGTTCCCATACGCTCAATATTGTAATCTATCCGATCCAGCATAGTACCCTGGTCAATCACCATAGCCTGTAACTCGCGGAAGATGTCCGACAGCTCAATAATGCCTTTAGCAATGTCATTTATCTCCCGTTCTCGTTGAACAATAGCGGCGTCACTGGACGTTGAGAGTCGCTGAGAGGTCTGCATAAGCGTCGACTGGGAAAAGGACTTGTCCGCATCCGATTCCATGAGGGAGGGATCAGTAAAAGGGTTTTGCATCGGGGTCGGCGATCGGTCAAAAGAGGACGATCCTTCCAAGCCTCGCAGTTCTACCAGCCGGCCAGCCAAAGTCAGCGCGATGAGCCAGTCGTTTGAGGTTCCAAATGGGAATGATAGCGGATAGACTTACTCTTAAGATAATTACTTTGCTTTTTCCTAAACCGAGCGCTGGCTTCCTGCACGCGGGCGGCCAACGAGATTTGTAGGTTCTTCGCCATGGTTTCATCTCCGCTGCTGACGCCGCCCTGCTGTTTGGCATCCCGTACCATTATCTCAATCCTCTGTACGGCCTTCTGACATGCGTGGAAAGAGCGCGTAATGTCCTGGGTGAGTCGCTCGATCGCTGCTTCATCCTGCTTCTTGATATCTTCGTCGCCAAACCCGGGGAGGAGGTGTTTCTGGTGTAGTTTATCCAACTGGGAGGATTTCTGCGCGGCTTCTGCGAGCATTTCTGTCACTTCGTCCTGTACGTCGATCCAGCGCGGGGGTAACACGTCCATCTCAATAATTGCGTCGCCATCCTCGTCCGATCCGCCCGTTTCAGTAATGAGTCTGCGGCTCTCTTCAGATTGTGAAGGGATATCAGAGAAGCCATTGGAGGCGCCGAGATAACGTGGCTTCTTGGCTGGATGATGTGTGAACGACTGACGGTAGGATATGTAACTGGGATAACCCGAGCGATCAGCGCTTCAAATTCACATATTCAATCAGTATAGGGACAGCAATACAGGTTGGTGCGGTCCCGCCACATCGTGGGAATTGACTGTAAGCGTGCCTTGACTTGCGGTGTTCCGTTGACGGGAGGGGGGTTTGCGCCTTTAGACAGCTGCCCTGATCATTGTCGGTCAGACAAGGTACTAGGTGGATCCGAGATGAGGCTCTTGCCCGCGATGTGTTGATAAGGGCACAATGGTCATGTAATTGTCACCATGTGAGTGGAATGCACCCAATGCGTCGGTTAGGACTTGTCGCTGTACTTGTTCGGCAGCTCAATTTCCCGGACATGTAGCACATGAAGGCCAATCCGGCACCTTTCCCCTTTCAGAAGGCACGGCATGGATGGATGGATCATCGCAATTACGTCAGCCATCTAAGTCAAATTAGTTAACGTTGAATGATTTGTACCCTGATCTCATTCGGTGTTCTCCATTGACTATGCACGGGATGTGACCAGCAGGTACCTTACGGGTGAAGGCACGAGGCTTGATATTGAACGTTCCACTCATTTCGGCCCTGCTATGTCATAGTACTATGCATACTTTTATATGTATTTTGGAGCCATGAATGCATCATACTAGTAGAATGATATCGAGCAGCTCGCGTACTGCTGCCATGATTGCACTGACTGGGTCTCGAATACACTGCTTGGTGCAGGGTAACAAAAAATAGCTTGATTATCCTACAGTAGTCCGAACATTTCAGTCTATCACATTTGTATCCATGATCACCCGAGTATTTCCCAATCATTGGTGACACCGAGATCGCCTTCCTCCTTCGTATTCTTCGATTCAATTATTTGGCGAAGGGCTAGATAGTCCTTATGAGCATCTTGATGCCAGACAGTATCTCCACACGTGAAAAAGGGCGTGACAGACACCAAAGTCTGACAGTATCACCCGTTGCAGTGGCTGGTATAGTAGGAAATCTTTCACATATTTCAAAATGTATCCGAACACAAACTTGGTCCTAGGATACAGCTGCGGAATTTGCTGCCTTTAAGCTTTGGAACTGATGAGGATCCACGGTTTGAGTATATATGTACAGTACCGTGACAGTACTCAGTTCTACGAGGGTTGGTGCGCACGAGGACACAATTATTACATAGGGCTCACAGACAAGTAAAGGAGCATGCAGCGGTGGCTGAGGCAAGCAACGACCAACAACAAGCAAGCAAAGCAAGCAAAAATAGCAGATTGACTACTGACCTAACTCAATCAATCATGTAGCAATAAATAATTAATGGTTGAGGACACATGGTGGTCCAGGCGGGTCACGTTTCGGGCATAAGCGACCGCCTTGCCAGGCAATCACCCTCAATGGTCCTTTTATTATGATGATGGATTCGGGTTCCCCTTAAATCATCTTCCACAACCATTACCGACTCCTCCTCCTCCTCCCCCACCACTACTTTCGCCTGCTCCTATCAAACCTCCGATTTCACTTCTCCTCCTCTTATTCCCCGACTATATTCTTTGCCCAACATATTCGTGAGCATATCACATATATCTCATTAACCATGGTTTGTTCATATTCTTCAGGCCTCCCGTCCAGTCGTGTTGAAAATCCCCCACTTTGCGGGGCAGATCGATCTGGAATACTGGTCAGGAATGCTAACATCCCATTCTTCAGGCCGACTCTCTGACCGAAGAGCAAGTCTCCGAGTACAAGGAAGCCTTCTCCCTATTTGTAAGCGTCTTCGATACTTGGACGTGTGCTTTAGAACAATATTTACTGATGCTCTTGTAATCCCTAACAGGACAAGGATGGCGATGGTTAGTGCAGTCCTTACCCCTCAATCAATCCACCCGGTACCATGATTATCACGACGCTACAACCATGACACCCTCCCGAATAGTGAACAAGATTTGATTGATTTTACATGACAGGACAAATCACCACCAAGGAGTTGGGTACTGTTATGCGTTCCCTGGGCCAGAACCCTTCCGAGTCTGAGCTCCAGGACATGATTAATGAGGTCGATGCTGACAACAACGGCACTATCGACTTTCCCGGTATGTGATGGTGATGAGTGGAGCTCGAGCATAAGATTGACAGGTACCAGAATTCCTTACAATGATGGCCCGTAAGATGAAAGACACCGATTCTGAGGAGGAAATCCGGGAGGCTTTCAAAGTCTTCGATCGCGACAACAACGGCTTCATTTCCGCCGCGGAGCTGCGCCACGTCATGACCTCCATTGGTGAGAAGCTCACTGATGACGAAGTCGATGAGATGATCCGTGAGGCAGACCAGGACGGTGACGGTCGTATTGACTGTAAGTCTCACTTTCTCCCATCCGGACTCTGTTCGATGATTAACGATTATACCTTTCCCCACAGACAATGAGTTTGTCCAGCTCATGATGCAAAAATAGACGGCTGTTGATGTTCAATTTGTTTTTTCTTTTCTGTTAGCGAAAGGGTGAGGGCAAAGAAGTGTACTCTGCAGATTCCCATCTTCTCCGTGATACAGGTTCTTGTAGTCTATTTGTTCGACCCCGGTCAACACTGGCTGGACATTAGCGCACTTTCACCACTTTCACTTGCCATAGTCATCTCTATCGTCATTGAGTTCGAGTATCAGCATATCCAGAACGAGTCCCGGCTGTCAAACAAGATAGAGCATTACTTGTGTGCTTCACCCACGTACAATGCTGTTCTTCGGCTGAAACCTGGTTGCGCCAAAGCTTGGCGCTTTGCCTCGTTATGATCTGCATTCTCCTGTCAGCCAGAGGTCAAGGGTCAATCTTTATAACCTGACATGTAAATGTAGATTGCCAAGTACCGAATGCTCTAGGGTTGAAGCTTTGCAGCATGCCAAGAGATCTTGAAGGGAAGCATGTTACAACCACTTCATCTTCATCGATATCATCTCTGTAAGTACAATAGCATACGCACTCGGGATATTTAATAAGAATCTAGCGATTGCCTCGGAGATAAATATCTTTCACGGTATCATAGACCTGATAATTTGCCGTTCAATTCTATATCAGCCACGTATTTTCAATAGAGGCATTACCGATTGAACCTGAAGATCTCCATGAACTGTCTCGCCGAATCCACTCCCGCCGCCGGATCCGGATCTTCATCCGGCTGACGTCCAAGTTCCTGCTCGGATAAACTCTGTAGATTTGACGCTTTGAGCCTTCGCAGCTGCTCCTTGACCTCCTTCCCAAAATCCGCCACCTGAATAGCCTCGCGCGCTCCCTCGACCCCCAGCCGAGCCCAGAACTCCCGAATCAGCGCTGCACTCGCGTCATACTCAGCATCAATATCCGCCTCTTCCACTTCCTCCGGGAAGAAGGCCACGTCGACCCCGGAATCGACGTCCCCCTCGTCAGCGGCCGCGGCCGCAGTCCTTGCAGATAATGCACCGGAGCCCAGTTTCTTGGCCAGAGTCTGTGAATTAATCAAGCTGACCAAGGATGGACCGAGCCATTCAATTTCCACCACCGTGCCGCGGATCCTCGCTGCCGGCTGCGTTTGGCGGACATCCCCAACACGCACACGGAAGTCGCCCACATCGTAGACGGCGCCACCGGGCACGGTAACCGTGTGACGGTGGCACCAGAAAGGCTGGCAGGCGTAGCCGAAGTGTTGGAAGAGTGTGCTGCTAGATGCTAGCGGGACAGTAGTCATGATCATGGGGCCGGCAGTGGACTGGGCGGCCGATGATGACGATGGGCTGCTGAAGGAAGGTGAGTTCGCTGCTTGGTCTGAGGAGTTAGTCCGAAGGGGGGGGACAGGTTCGGAGGTGTAAATAAAACCGTGGTTGGGGTGGTGGGAAAGTGAAAGAAACTGCATGTAGCGCGGTTGCGCTTGGCGCTGCTGAGGGGTGGATACTGGAAGACACGATGGCGTGTCGCGCATGAGCTTGTGTTCGAGAAACCACCGGCCGACGAGGGTTGGCTCTTCCGCAAGAGCAGTATGGAGGCGCTCAGTCACCGTTGCGAGCGCCGTTGAGGCATTGGGATTAGAGGGGATAAAGTACACCCTACAGTAGTTTTATCAGTTGTGAATGGGTAGGCACGATGCAAGAAGTGCTTAATGGCATGTTTACCCTGTGATGGGCATTTTTATGGAGCAAAAGACTTGATACAGAGCAACCCTTGTGCAGACAAGCCCAGTGTGAAGATCGAAGGGAATATGAGAGCAAGTGGCCTAGACTTGCATACAAGGTCCAGTAAGGACAGAGGCACGGCCGTCGTGGGCGTATACTACTTTCCAATAATATCTGCTCCTGTATTAGCATACTGATTGAAAGGAAAGTACGGGGTTTTCTGCATCTCGATCATATGCTTGTTCATATGCTGACTTTTATGTATTGTAGCGGTGTTCTGAAGCGGAACGAATGTTGTAACTTAACTTAGTCTTCGCTGTAGTTGAGTCGTCGATGCCTGGCCGACGAGGCGTTGATACAAACAGAGCAAACAAAGCTTGAGGGATTGGACCAAGTACTCCGTAGGTGCCAAATTACCAAGAAGTTTCCTGCTTCCAGCCTTCCAAGTTCCAGCCGTGCTTCTCTGCGCCCGCAGTCCCGCCTCCACTCCCATTAATCATACTCCGTAATTAACTTAGTCCATGCGACGACACTGGATCCCTGGGAAGTTGGGCCCCTCCTTTCTCCACATACACCTTTTAATCCGATACCCTCTCAACCCCGAAGAGGGCGTGCTTCTACGGAGTAGTTTGTCTCCTTCTAGACCCTAGCTGGCCTCACTCTCATTCCCAGGAGACAAGTCTCAGCATCCCTGGTATAACTGACTATCAGTGCGATGACCAAGAGGCGGGAGAGGCTGAGAACTTGCCAAAGGGACCCTTCTGCCCCCTCTTCATTCCCCTTCTCACAAGGGGCCATTTTCCGCGGGATATGTTAAAAGGTTAAGAATAGAAATTCTCACCACTCTGAGTCTCACTTAACCCGTTTTATGTCTTGGGATTCCAGGCCCCGCGGCCAGCCAGGGTCGAAAGCGCCACCAGCTTACGCAATAGGCAGATCCTCCCGCCGTGGTGCTTGTTTCCCTTGTCCGTCTCTTACTTTCTGTAGTAAGCTCTTGCGCTTTTGAGCCACTCTGGTGCGTCCTGTCTCCTCTTTGCGATCAGCATGCCACCCCCCACTGGCTGTCTGGAAAACGCAATTGACCTGTTTGATACAGCATTCCACTTATGATTCTGAAATCACCAATGATACTCATGCTTATGAACCTGGCCTAGCCTGATGTAGCAGAGAAGATCCCCAAGCTCCCTCCCCCGGGACCAGGGGTGATCGATCCCTGACGGCTATATACGGGACATATGCCTTTTTTCAATCATGTTCTTAGACAGTACCTTTTTTCCAGGGGTCCGACGAACCTGGAAGCGCCCCCTTCGTTCGCTCTTTTGCACAGGATTGGTCTCGGACTCCCAAGCCGGGTGACTTCAGACTGCGTCTTGTATCGAGCCTGCACTCGAAATTTATGCTTATTTCTATGTTATAGACTCTCGGGCCGGAATTTGACGGCTGTCCTTTCTCTCAGTCAAATGTTTTTTATTCTCCTGTGTCCTTACTACTTCGTTGAATCGACCGATCACCATGATTTACGCGCGGAGAAGCTATCTCCTTCCAACCATTATTCTCATCTGTCTCACCTATAGTCTATTCTCCAGTCTACCGCCCGGGGCGAGAAGACCACATCCGCATGCCAATGACCATGCGCAGCATCCCATTTCGACTTCAGCATCCAGTAGTGGTACCCAAATCCATTGGACCAAACATGCCGAACACCATCCAATCGATGATTATATCCCACTTCCTACAACGAAGCCCTCCACTATACCCAAGATTCAGTATGAATTTCGGAGCGAATCGTGGCTTGCGCGATTGCGGAGAAGGAGGCGACAGAGCGCGGTGAAACAAGCGTTCCAACATGCATGGAAGGGTTACCGAGACAATGCCTGGTTACGTGACGAGCTGTCACCCCTCAGCGGGCGCCATCGCGAGACATTTGCTGGGTGGGCAGCTACGCTCGTTGATTCTCTTGATTCTCTCGTTATCATGGGCATGACAAAGGAGTTCGAAGAGGCGTTGGAAGCTCTCGAACTTATCGACTTTTCAACGACACATGCTCTGCAAATCAATATTTTTGAGACTAACATTCGCTACCTGGGCGGGCTCCTGGGGGCTCATGATTTGACCAACGGAAAGCACCCAATTTTGCTCAAAAAAGCCATTGAGATTGCAGATATGATTTATGGATCATTCGACACCCGTAACAGAATGCCGCAATCTAGATGGGAATGGACGAGGTAAGGACACCCGGACCGACCAAAATGACGAGAGGTCTTAATTGCCCATGAAAATACACTTCTAGGACAAGAACATAAACTGACCAGTCTCTAGATCTGCAGGAGGTCATGGTATTATGCCCAGTCGGCAAACTATCCTTGCTGAACTGGGCTCTCTCAGTCTAGAATTTACACGAATGTCCCAGCTGACTCACGATCCTAAGTACTTTGATGCGATCCAGAGAATAACGGATTTCTTTGAAGAGAACCAGGAACAAACAAAATTGCCCGGGCTGTGGCCTATGTTGGTGAATGCACAAGACATGGAATTTAGCGATCCCAGATTTACTATCGGAGGGATGGCTGATTCTACGTACGAATATCTTCCCAAGGAGCATATGCTACTTGGAGCCCAAACAACTCAGTATCGCAACATGTACGACTCTTTCATGAGAGCTCTTAAGGGCCGTCTGCTTTTCCGCCCAATGACAAAAGATAATCAGGACATTCTTTTCGCTGGAAATGTCCAGGCCAACGTGATCTCTCACAGTAGGGAGAAACTTGATCCTCAGTGGGAGCACTTGAAATGTTTCCTGGGTGGTACTATTGGCATTGGGTCTAAAGTCTTTGAACGTCCCGAAGAACTGTCTATCGCGCGGAAGCTGGCCGACGGTTGCATATGGGCATACGACATCATGCCAACGGGCATCATGCCAGAAATACTCCATCTGAGCGCATGTCGTGATCCGGAGGATTGCCATTGGGATGAAAGCAAATGGCACCAGGATGTACGACATCGCTTGGCAAAGAAGTCCAGCTCTAATAACCCTACTCAGCAAGCCGAGTCACTAATTGAGACATACGGGCTGCCACCAGGAGTGGTTGATATTCCAGACCCGAAGTATCACCTCAGGTATGATATTCCCCGTTCCATTTGTGTGCGACCGGCATGTATCTAACGTCGTCCAAAGACCGGAGGCGATAGAATCCGTGTTTATACTATATCGTATCACGGGCGACATAAAACTGCAGGACGCTGCATGGCGAATGTTTCAAAACATAGAAAAGATGACTCGGACTCACTTTGCTCATGCCGCAATTGCAGATGTGCGCGACGTTGATTCACCGCAATTGGATTACATGGAGAGCTTCTGGCTAGCTGAGACCCTTAAATACTTCTACCTGATCTTCTCCGACCCAGATGTTGTCAACCTGGATGAATATGTCCTGTAAGTGTTATACCAGTGCCCAATTGTCATTGGAATTGGAAATATCTGACTCAAATGCAGGAATACTGAGGCGCATCCATTCAGGCGCCCTGCAACGTGAATCGATGGCAGATACTCACTGTGAACGCTCTCAAGCTCAAAATCAATGCCTAGCACTTACGGTGTGGGTTTACTCCTCCTTTGTACATAGAGTTGACTTTTCGATCCGATGCTTAAAATCATGAGTCAGGAGCAGCAAATAGGTAAGCTGTGCCTGAGTCATTGTATAAATTAAGGTTCAAATTTTCCTGCTTAAGAACTTTTGTCTTTCTGCATGTCGAACACCCCGTTGAGCACTATCCGTGCGCTGCCACGGCCAAGGGTTGCTGCCAATATCTTTCTGGATGCCTGTACAGAGCGAGTATAGCCGTCGCATTTGAATTCGTCCCGTTAGTCTGACTGCTATCATTAGCTAGTCTAAAACAGTCCGTTCTCGCAAAGGATCACACATGAAGCTGCCTCTACCAGGCTCTCTGTGACAAGGACGAAGGCCCATTCATCGTGCGGGAGTTTCACCGATTCTTGGTCCTATGAAAGCATTATCATGGTTGAATGTTAAGATCGGGCTATGATCCGTCCCGTGCTCGAGATGCTGGTACCACCTCCGGAAGAAGAAAACATAACCCCTGTGGTCAGCTGCTCATCTACTCTAACCTCAGGAGAAAACATCACTAGCCAAGAAGGCACTTGCAGGTCAAGCCTGGTCAACTATTGGTACGCCAGTTGTAGGAAGCTTTCACAATGATCGTAGGTCTTGAGCGTTCATTTGTTTGCGATATGTGTAATATGTTGGCGGGTGCCTACTTTGTCCCTCTGCTACACAATGGAAACTCGTGGGCATGGTCTTCAACATAATCGCTCAATGGCCACGAGTTCGCAAACCCGGATGTGTAATGAGAAATACTAATGTATTGCAGGGCAGATCGCTCTGCCATGTGTTCGCACGTGTACATGCTAGGATATTTGGTCACAGCAATGAAGGCATTGATAGTATTTGAAGTAAACTTTTAATCAAAAAATCTCCTGCCATCAATGTGGTCAAATATTCAACCGGGAAAAAGGCCCGTAGACGGGCGTCTTGTATAGCCTATTGTTTGCAGCGAGTCTGCCGCCCGTGCTGTGACTTCTTACTTCAATCGTTTGAATTTCTGATGAGGAAGGCGGGGGAGCTTCAATAGTAGTCGAGTATTGAACCCATGGGCTTTGCCATAGTTAAGCAATGGGGTTTTACCTCAGTTTCTCGCTCCTTATCCCGTCGGATTCCGCGGAGGAACTCCGGCGAGGACTAGAGGCAATAACCATACGGCAGTGTTCAACTGGAACTGTTTGACATCATCTACATGCTCCAAAACTCATTGCATATGTACTCCGTAATGGAAAAGCCCTTTCTGAGCTAGCAAGCGTAATCGTATAAGGCCGGGAGTAGTATCATGTTACTTCTGAATCGGTATGGATTTGTATCAAATACCCAGATGGACTCTCAACCGTCATGAAGTTAACAACTATGGCAACAGACTAGTAGTATTGCCTGTCTTGGGGCCACCACACGTCTTCCAAGATCGCCACTGATTTCGCTGGGCCAATCGGCTTCCGTCCATCCTTGTCGGACGCCGCCGGTTAGCAGTTGTATGCAGTGTACAGAGTACGCAGTGCACGCACACCCCCGCCAGTCTAATGAAACGGGGCTCTGGTAACTAGCGCTTCCTTGAGTTGCGAGACAATCAGAGCAAGGCCGGCGCGATTTTCAAGTTTTTAGGGTTGAATATGCGATGGATCAGGTCACTGTCAGCAGAAACTTCCCTCACCCCGGCGGATCAAGAAGGAGGAACGCCTTGCTCGTACTGAAGCGGGAGGAGACTGATGGTGTGCTCGGTCTAGACGGCCTGTTGGGCTACGAAAAAGTTCCGGCCTTGGATTAGTCTGCTCCTTTCACTCTTTTCGCTCCGCACAATCGGGTTTCAGCGCGATCAGATAAGAAGTACTCCAATGAGTCTAATTTAGTCTCGTCCACTAGGAAGGTTGGCTTTATATCGCGTGTTTGACGTGCTTTCTGACCGATGAAGCTTGAACTCCTTCCTACCCAGCACAGCTGCCATAAATCAAACGAGAAATCATTCAACGGCAACTTATCATTTCTCCCGTATATTCGCCGGATATCAGATATGACCGACTTGATGGACCTGCCGTCGCGGATAACATCGATTTTTAAACCCTGTTTGAAAATGGCAGATGGCCTGCTAGGCACCTAGACTTTTCGAGAATGGGTTAAGTCGGCACGCCGGGTCTTTGCGATCTATGGGGTACGCGGCTGCCCTTAACGAGATTGGGCGCCAAGGTTCAGTGGTCATCGAGCCCCTGAGGACTTCCCTGGAGAATTGGAGCTGGTTGAGACAAGACATGCGTCTCCACAGCTATCTGATTGATTGATTTGATTGATACGGATACTCTGTCGGCCGATGTCGGATGGCCCCACACGGTCTGGTTACTGGACCTGTTACATGAATTACAGTATTCGTTGGTATCCGGCTGTCGACAGTCAATCCTGGTTTTGTAAAATTTAGTCCCAACAACCTGTTTCTGGCAGGAGCATGGTCTATCGATTGTGAGGAATCGATATTTTACAGGCAAAGATTCCAACTTGTTTCTGCTATGCCGGAGTGAAGGAGTACAATGTATCTTTCTGCCTTAGGTATTTCGTCCTGCTGCGGGTGTTGGAAGGAAAGGGTGGGATGAAACCGGAGCGAAAAGTCCCGCCGGCCACTTATCTGATCCGGAAGAGGACACCCTGGCTTGGCTACACAAAGGCAATACGTAGTAACGTATGATTCAGACATTACCTACTGCGAAGGTACTGTTGATCAAACACACATCCCCCACTTACTATTTCTCGCTCTCAAGTGCTCTATCAATTTGAGCATTTCAGATGGACCTGATGGCTGAGCTGAAATTTGGGCCATTGCATTTGTGTTTCCTTTTAAGCCGAGTAAAGTCATGTATTAGCCGAGGGACAGGCCGCTCCCGGATCAGATTAGATCAGTAACGTACTTCGGCTGCTAGGCGGTTGTCACTTACCGTCCTATTGCCGTTGTCGTCAGGCCACCGGATGAATCCATAATTCTGCATCATGCTATCCCCCTATCGAGCAATGGGATTTTCAGGAATGGTGATGACCTGGACCCAGGTAAAGTGATCACAAGAGGAGAAGCAGATCAGCTTCTGGGCTTGCATGCCATTCACAGTACCTCCAACTCGTGATAGCTTTCCCACTCAAAGGTCTCCGATAATCCGATTACTACCGACTCTAGTAAAAAAAACCCGCTAACTAGCTGCAGATCAAGACCTACCCCACGGAGAGACTGGGGTCTGTTCGCTCGCAGTACCCAGTCGCCTGGCATAATGGCGGAAGACGATGGAATTCGACACCCGTTCGATACCTATCGTGGGATAACCGTTCCCGAATGGTCCGTTGTAAGTGGACTGGTAAAGTTACAGTGGAGTGATACTGGAACCGGGTATCGATGGATCTGTACGAGACATTATTTCCTCACCGGGTGGCAACCAAAGTCATGCTTTCATTCTTGAATAATTGTTCGGTGCAGGTTTTCGCCTCGCATTCTCTCTCCCCTATTTGAACCCGTCATTGGTAACGTTCGCACGTGCCCGAGCTCATCGGTTTTTTTTCTCTGTCCAGCGAGTTTTCGGGGCTTTTTCTTTCTCGTTTTTTAGATTCCCAATCCATCTGGTTTTTCTTTTTCGAGCGAAGAAACTCACTCCGAACAAGAGATCCTGTTTGATACATACAGGTGCTAGCGCAGTCGGAACCATCCTCCCGGTGCCGTCTCGCTCCAGGCACATTGTACATTCAACCATTTGCCTCCTCCTCTTCATCTTCCTCCTCCCACCCTCCTGAAACAGCATCGCTCTGTTCCTCCGGGAACTTCTTTCATTTCCGATCTGCTCCCTGCGTCGTTCGTCCTTATCTGTATGCCCATCTGATTTGCGGTGTCCACGGACCTAGTGTATACCGTCACTTGCCACTACCTGCGCTCACCCTCTTTCCGTTTGACTGCTTTTTGTCTTAAATTCTCTCTTCGACCAGCAATCGCCTCCGCCAGACCTCATAGTCTTAGACCAATTTTCTCTTTTCTTTGTGCGCCTCTTCGATATCGATAGAGGCTCTGAGTCGTGGTGCACTTTTTGCGTGTTCCATATTCTATACAAAAATACAATGGGTAAATCACTTCTTTCATCATTCCTACGTCCTCGCCTTGTGGCCAATCACCACGGCCGTTCATTGACGCATAACTGATGTTTCATCCATCTCTCCCCATAGTCCACGCCGTACCTCAGGCGCCTTCGTCAAGGCTGGCAACGCCACAACCTCCCCTCCCGTCCAATGGGGAGCACAAGAGCATCCCATTGTCCTCGACATCCCATCCCGATAATCCGGTTCCTGAAGAGCCTCGTGGAGTCCGGGCGTTATCTGTAACCGACATCAATTTCAGCATCTCCTCACCATCATTGCGCGTGCCCGAATCCACGGATTCCGAATCGCCGACTCCCGCGCAGACTCCCGACACAGAATTTTCGTCGGATGCAGAGGAAGCCCTGCAAAAGTCCTCGGTTCAAGATGGCCCTGAAAAGCAGCGCCGAGCATCCACCGTTCTGATTTCCCAGAACTCGGAAGACATGAGAAGAATTTTGGAGAATGTGGGTGTGGCTGGGACTCAGAAGCTTCAGCCTCTGTGCTGCGGTGGTGGTTGTTGTCGCAGCCAGCCTTTGGCCAATATCCCTTCTCCAGTAGCGGGAGCGAACGTTGTAACTCCTCCGGACAATCAGGCTTATCAGAGCCTCAAGCTCAATGTCGCCTATCTCACCCTGGACAGCGAACTAACGAATATCGTTTCTTTACCCGAAAAGACGGTCTCCTTCTCTACAGTTCCGAAATCGGCAGTAGACCTGCAATTAGGCTCTCCGAACCACCCGCCTTCTTTCGTCCAACCTCACCCCCCTTATGACGTCTTTCGTGCGCCTCTGCACCATGCCCGGGAACTGACCAAGACCGGTGCTGAGAAGCGTACATATCATTTTGACATCGATGTAACGGACTATCCTGCGGAGAGCGGCAGTGTTGATTTCGTTGTGGGTGGGGCCATTGGAGTGTGCCCCAAGAACAAGACTGAAGAAGTCGACGACATCTTCACCATGTTAGGTGTACCTAAGTCGATTCGCGACAAAAAAATCACCGTACGCACCTCAAAGGGCCGGTGGCCCACAATTTGGGGCGACGATCAGCCCCGTGAGTTGATCACCACCCGAAGGGAGCTATTGAACTGGTGTTCAGACATTCAGAGTTATGCACCCACCAAGGGACTATTCCGACTACTTGCCGAGTATGCCAGTGAGCCAAACGAAAAGAAGATCCTTTTGTTCCTGGCCTCTGCCCAAGGACAAGGTGCTTTCTGTGACCTGCGCACTAGTTCGCACATAACTGTGTCTCAACTGTTGCACGCCTTTCCCTCAGCTCAACCTCCATTGGATCATCTTTTATCCGTCTTGAATACTCTCATGCCTCGCTTCTACTCCCTTTCTCAAGATCCCCTGTTATCCTGCAAGGAAAAAGGGACTCAGACTCGTCGTCTTGTTGAAGTAGCGGTGACTGTTGCGGAGTCGGATGACTGGAAAGGAGGTATGCGTACGGGTGTCGGATCTGGATTTCTTGAGCAGCTCGCACGCCAAGTGATTGAGGCGGAAAAGAAGGGTATTGACCCTTCCACCCTCGATCTTCATGTCCCTATGTTCCGGGGCTTGATGGCCAATCCATTGGCTAAGCAGTTCACATCTGATGGGCCTATGCTCTTGATCGGTGCTGGTGTAGGCATTGCTCCCTTCCGCGGATTCGTACAGCGACGTCTCCAGTCAGCCAACTGCGCAAACAAGGTTTGGGTCTTGCAGGGTGTTCGCGATTCCCTCTTGGATGAGCTCTATCGTGGAGAATGGGGTGTCGATGAAGAGAAGGTGCGCACGGTAGTCCAGAGCCGCCGCGGTGAGAGCAAGTATGTTCAGGAAGAAGTCCGCCACCAGGCTGATTTGGTATGGTTCGTGATTAACGCTCTGGATGGTCGAGTCTTCGTCTGTGGTAGCGGCAAAGGTATGGGCGAGGGCGTCGAGGATGCTCTTGTTGATGTTGCTATGGCCAAAGGCAACTTGAACATGGAGGAAGCGAAACAATTCTGGGCAAATAAGAAGGAAGCTGGACAGTACATTGCCGTAAGTTTTCCATTCACATTTTGGCTCTTCAATTGATGGATCCTAATTTCATTATAGGAAACCTGGTGATTCGGTAAATCGTAGGCCGGATTGATTCCAGCCATGCCATATGCTTCTCTATTCGGAAATATATGTGTACCACACATGTGTTCATTTTGAAAATATTTGTTGTAATGTTGCTTTAGCGGGTTGGATTGATTTAAATTTCTGTTCACGGTTGATCCGGAATTTCTGTCGTGAATGAACTCAATATAGATTACTTAGTGGTAGCAATTACCTGATGCACAGTCTGCAGTCAAGAGTCAGTAGTCTTTTGTTTATCTTGTTCTCCGCAGCAGCAGCACCTGGCGGGACTCAAGAAAGCTGCTTCGTGGCGAGCAGCACATCGCCAGATTTGGCTTCCAGGAAGGGCGCTAAGAAGAGGTTGTCCCACTTCGACCCCCCGAGAGGTCATCAGCTGTTGACTAACCACAAGGTTATCTCGGCTAAGATGTCTACAATCCGGTGACTGTGGAGATTCGTGTTCAAAACTATGCAAAAGGCTTGGGGCCGCAATGGATGATTCCCCTGAATTGTTCAATGGTGTTCAGCCGCAGCTCGGCCTTTTTTGCCTGACTGTTTTTAGCTCTCGTATCATCGGTGTTTTTAGCCTGGCTTGAGGCGACGAAGAGAATGGGATACCTTAGTACGAGGCTGGCTTCAGTTCTTAAGGGCGTCCCCTCGTTCCTTCCTTCATTCTTCCGAACCAGTCTCTCGTTCTTACATTCGTTGTCTTTTTAGACTCCGACTGTCAGGTAGACAGACCAGTCTCACTTGCTTTTCTTCATTTCTTTTCCTTCCAGGCAGACTTTCGTTCCTTACTATGCCTCGACTACAGTCTCTCGTTTCGCTTCTGTTGCTTTCGCATTCCCTCCTCCCTGTTGTTTCCGCTGGAACAACCGAGGTCGTGACATGCGCGACATCAACTCCCAATCCATTTTCGAACCCATCCTTCGAAAGTGGAATTGCTGGCTGGGGGTTCGCCTCTGGAACCAGCGGCAATGTCATCTCAGGCGATGCAGCGGACGGCTCCCTATTTGTGTAAGTACCAACAGATATCGGGGACCCTCAACTCAACGTATGCTAATACTGAGGTAGTGAGACGTCCGCCACCTCCACATCAGTGACTGTACTTCTATACCAAAGAAGTAGCGCGTTCATCACGAATGGCCAATATGCCGGATCATTCCAGTATCGCATCAAGCCAACCTCCTCTCACGCCAGTATGACCTGTTATATCAAGGCTTATATGGACTCTTTCACTACAGCCGGCCTTCTTGGAAGTGCCACCCAGTCTGTCTCGTCAAGCACTGTTGGTTGGAGCACTCTTTCTTTCAGCTACTATCCCACCACCTCTGGCACACATACATTCGAGATCTATGGCTATTGTACCGGCACCACCGAGTACTCCGGAGCAGCTATCGACCTTGACAACGTGCAATTTATTGGTCCAGCGGTCACATCATGTTCTACCCAGACCATCACTCTTACGCCGACAGTCACACCAACAACGGCCGCGATTCCGACCACTCCAATCGAGATTTCTTCCTCGCAAGTTCCATTCCCGTCTCCGCTCTCGTCGTCGGTGGCCTCCTTTCCCAGTCCTCAAACTCAACATCGATCTGTTCCTGCCGTATCTCCCTTCTCCACGGTTGCAGTCTCAATTCCTTCTTCAAGTGGAGCAGCTACTTTGTCTAGCTTCTCTTCTGCTGTGTCTTTGTTGGGATCTCCAGTTACTATTCCTAGTCCTAGCTCTTCGGGTGCTGTTTCAATAGCTCCTTCAGCTTCTGGAGTCACTCGTTCTTCTTCCACTGTGATCACGGCCGCGTCTTCAGTCACACCACTTCCCCATTCCGGCAGTGGCGTCATTGCCTCTCATGCAGGTCAGACTTCTGGCACTCCATCCACAAGAAGAACAACCTATGTCACCGCGACAATAACCGTCTCAGAGACTATCTGCTCCACAAGCGTGTCCCAAGCTCAGTCAACTGCAATCATGACTGCTCCTGAGGCTCCTTCTCAAAGCAATGCGGGCGTTACGGAGGGCCGAAGCATCACGTCGACCGTCCTCAGCACTCGCACTGCGACCATCACCGCTTGCCCATCGACCGTAACGGACTGTCCTGCCTCTGCAAAGAGCACATACCTCACAACTGAGACTCTTGTAGTTTCCACAACCATCTGCCCCGTCACAATGTTCCAGTCTGAACCGACCCCTGGTGCCTCGGTCACGGGAGGATTGAGTTCTAGCCTGCCAGGAGCTGAAGACAGCAGGAGCACGACTTCGACTATCCTAAGTACCCGTACCGCAACGGTCACGGCGTGTCCCTCCGCCGTCTTGGATTGCCCTGCTTCTGCAAAGAGCACTTTTGTTACTACCGAGACTCTGGTTGTCTCAACTACAGTGTGCCCGGTGACTGCTTCTGCGACAGCCCTTCCGATGGCGAGTATTGGATTGAATTCTGGCTCCTCTGCGGGCTCTGCCTCTTCTGGCTCCTCTGGGGACTCTGCTTCTTCTGGCTCCTCTGGGGACTCTGCTTCCTCTGGCTCCTCTACGGGCTCTACCTCTTCTGGCTCCTCTGGGGACTCTGCCTCTTCTAGTTCCTCTGCGGGCTCTACCTCTTCTAGCTCCTCTGGGG